TTTATTCATATGTATATAATCATGTTCTACCTAACTAGCTATACTCTCTACTATTTACTTCTGCTACTAACTGTTCATTATACCACTAACTACGTACTCCCATGATCAATCCTAACACTAACTACCGTTCTCTAGCTCTACATATTACGACCGTCTCTGACCGCTTCCTAACACCTCGCTAGCTAATCATCAACTGCTGGCCTATCTCCCTACTGATCCACGCCTCAGTAGTCAGCTGACCGTCCCACGTGACCGGTCAGTCCTGTGCGCCCATTGGCCTCTCTAACCAACCAACTAGGCCTATAGTCTGTTTCTGCTAACCTATACCTGCTAAACATGTCTGACGTAATCTTGCGTCATCACATATCTCCCTCCCTTTCTGTAGCTGACAAATTATATTTTTCAGCGTCTGCTACCAATCTAATACATCAACAACTATCTATCTTACTACTCTATTCTATCCCTAACATCAATCAAATAAAAAATGGGACAGCACAGTTTACAAAAACATAAACTCTTGTGTCTGTGTGCTTGAAGAAATGTCATTGTTCTAGTTCCTGAAATCTTGTGGTGTGACTGGTGTCTCTGCTTGCTAATGTATGTCTATATTATGGTATGTGTGAATCCAATCATGTGCAACTCAGTTCTGGCTAGGTTGTCGTGTACTGGCCTTGAGCTAATCTTAGTAGAATGTGTAACTGGTTGAACGGGCTCTGCGAGCAGTGTAAGTGTATGTGTAAGTGTTATGTAATTGCTGGCGTTCCTCTGTGGTGAGTGGGTTGTGTCGAGTTTTGATGTAAATTCCCGTGAGGCGGGTGTAGGCGTAACTTTCGTTGGTCAATGTGATGACGCAACAATCTCAACGCTGGTTGAGACGTCCACGTAGAGTGGTTATACGATGAACTGGAGCTGTCTGATGCGAGGGCGAACAATGACGTAACGTTCCGACGCTGGGAACTTGGACGATGGGTCTTCTACCCTTTGTATGTGCCCACGTAGGTGTACGTAGCTGGCGGTCTGTTATTCAACCCCAGTGCGGGGGCGAAGCGGTGGCGATGCGTCCGCTGTCTTGACCAGGTCAATTCTCTGTTAAGCAGGGCTGTTCGCTGTCCAGGTAATTCAACGTAATCAGGGCTTCAGGTGGCGGCACTCTTTGAAGTGTGTTCCTCATCTCGTCTCATTCTGTGTAAGCGTTAGTGGGTCTGAAAATGGCATTTCGAGACTATGAGCAATGGCTTTACGTGAACAATTTAGTGCCCGCGCAGACAAGTATTCAGACAGAGGTACCTTCCATTAAATAAAAACCTCAATCCCAAATTTATACGTGCTGAACATTTGTCTGGCGGTACGTACAGCATACAAATATAACATTACAAAATTAACCAAATAGAAAATCAGTACACTCTAACAACAATGTGTAAAGCCTAATAAACTCAATAGACGTAAACACTACTAGAGCTTAGAAATAACTTCACAAAAAGAATAGACATGTAAGTGTATATCAATAATATCGTGCCATTTCAAATCAACATTTCAACACGTGATCAAATAGTGGAGCAGCTCTCACTATGTGACTTCTGACTTGACTTAAACTGGCTGGCTTGACTCAATGACTGACTTCACTTTTGACTTCAGTAACTTGACTTATTTCACTTTAACTGACTTCAGTAACTTCACTTATTTCACTTTGACTTCAGTAACTTGACTGACTTCAATTTAACGACTTATTCCACTTTGACGACTGACTTAATTAGACCTCTCTGACTGACTTCGACGACTTCAACTTTAAAGACTTCACTGACTAACTTAGACTTCGACGACTTAAACGTCTTCACTTTGACTTCAAAGAATTTTCCTTGACTTCAACGACTTCAATATGACTTCAAAGACTTCACTTTGACTTCAACGACTTCAATATGACTTCAACGACTTTATTATAACTTCAAAGACTTTTCTTTGACTGCAACATGACTTCAACTACGTCACTAAAGACACTATGACCTCAACTACAACTTCAACAACTGTATTGACTGACTTGACTGACTTCAAATAACTTCTTTGACTTCACGCCGATTTCTCGGCGACTTAGATGCACACAAAAAACCTCGACTTGACTTCACTATTATGTCCGTTATTCAAAATCATTTATAGGGACGGTCCGGGTCAAATTCTATCCAGGCATTAATATACCACACTATGACCGATAGGCTGGTGCTCGGTGTCGACAAAGGTGGTGTGAGCTTTCACATGGTCTATGATTACTATACTTGTGTTTGTGTAGGTGTGTTGATGGGGTCATCTGGTTTAAGGCTGACCAGGAGTAACAGTACTGTTTGTCTGCTATCAAATTCCTTGTTACATATTCCTCTGATTCATTGTTTACCGATTTCTCCAATCTCAGCAATCTATTACTGACTGTGTCGTTCTGAAGTCTTAAGTTAAGAACAACTGCACCAATCTCGGTAATCTTTATAGAATGATCCTCAATAACCTCGTTAACTTTTTCTATCAACTTGTCCGTTTTGAATTGCAATTCGTCTACTTTTTCGTTGTCTCGAATACTGGGCTGCTTGTTTACTTGTTGCTTGTGGCTCATAAATTCTACATTAAATTGCTTCACTCCTGTAATGTTGCCTCATATCATATCGTATGGTCCGTTTTTGAAAACATTTGCTTCAACTGTTTTACACGCTGAGGGTGTGGCTATGGTGACTATAGCTGTTGGCCAAACATATGTGCTGCCTCTTGAGCTGTGAACACGTTGTGTTCTGCCTGTGTATTGGTGGTGTTGCACGAATGTGTTACGTACTGCCACTGTGGAGCATAGTGTATCCCTAATTGCTGTGGCGTATCTGTTATTAATTTTTGACGTAAATGTGTCTGTTCTTTTACTGGCTTCTGTAAACGATGACATAAATGCTATTCTATTAATCTGTCTATATTTTGGTCTGTTGCGTTGTGCGTCTTGTTGGCGTCTATCATAATATCGTATTCTGCAATTTATTTGTTTGTGGCCTGTTCTATTACAATAGTAGCATCTGACACTGTGATAGTCTTCTGGTTGACTGTAGTACATGTGTATGTTGTGGTTTCTTGTATTATATTGAACTGAATGAGCTGTATCGCTTTCTTTTGAAAATCTCTCGCTTGTTTCACTGGATGATTCATCTGAATAGTAATATGTTGGTGCATATGCTATCTGGTTGTTTTTATTTGTATCTAAACTTTGCACCATTTCTTGTTTGGCTTGGCGAAGTTCTCTCATTTTTTCTATTTCTTGACGAATTCTTTCTGTTTCTTCTTTAATTCCGGCAATATATGTTTCTGCTTCTCTTTGTTTCTCTGCTAACTCGGCATCTTTCTTTGCATCATATTCTTCTTCAGTCAACAAGGAATCTGGATCTCTGGTTACCTTGTAATCTACAATTCTATTGATCAAATCTTCCATAGCATCTGGATCATCTAGAGTTTTTGCGTTAAATTCTTTAACAGTTAATAACCAGTCTCGATTTTCTGTTGTCGTGTATTGTCCAAGCCTAATAATCAATTCATCCAGAATATCTGGATCCTCAATAGTTCTTGAATTGCTTTTCACTTTGACTGTATTCTGAGCATTTATATCTAGCAACGAGTCATCAATTCTACCTGACTCTTTTAGGCCTGACTTGGGCTCAGTTTTTGGGACCACTTCGTACAATGGAGGCATTTTTAAGGGTAGTGTGGTTGACGAAACAGATAAGAAAGAGGCAGAAAAATCGCTGGTACCAAATATCCAGCACGAGTCTAAACCCAAACGTTTAAAAAAATTTTGGAAGGTACTTATTTTTTTGGATATGTAGACTGTTCCCTTGTGTTGGTAATCCACACTCGTTTCGGTTGAAGAAGCCCGCTGTTGTGTTGAGTTAAGAAAGCTGTACATCAGTACACTCCGTCATGAGTAACCCGATATACAGTCTTTCCCGTACTCGACCTGCGCTCCACCAGTTGTGAGGGTGGGGATTTTTAAGAGGGCGTCACGAATGAATCCAATAACACACAGTTCAAGTTCCAAATACAAAGTTCTTTATTCATATGTATATAATCATGTTCTACCTAACTAGCTATACTCTCTACTATTTACTTCTGCTACTAACTGTTCATTATACCACTAACTACGTACTCCCATGATCAATCCTAACACTAACTACCGTTCTCTAGCTCTACATATTACGACCGTCTCTGACCGCTTCCTAACACCTTCTGCTCTCGCTAGCTAATCATCAACTGCTGGCCTATCTCCCTACTGATCCACGCCTCAGTGGTCAGCTGACCGTCCCACGTGACCGGTCAGTCCTGTGCGCCCATTGGCCTCTCTAACCAACCAACTAGGCCTATAGTCTGTTTCTGCTAACCTATACCTGCTAAACATGTCTGACGTAATCTTGCGTCATCACAACTCCTATAAAAACAACTGGATCAGCCATCTTTTCTCTGCGTATATCTGCGTCAGCAGTTAATTAACATCTTCGATTATCAGTTTTAGCTTAATTAGCTCGTGTGTTGCTAGTTGTTATATAATCAGCTGGGGCTGTTGGGACACGTTAAGAGAATTTCATGTAAGGTGAAGCTTGGGAGCTCAAGGTAAACTTTTGGCAAATAACTTTTAACAGCAATAATGTTTTGTTTGACATATTATTTTATTCAGTTTTAAATATTAATTTAAACCTCTGACATTAAATCATGTGTAAAGTGTCTGTTATTTAATTAAGCAGTGATAGTGGATATATGCTACATCTCTAATGTCGAATTTATAAGTTTCCATATGTCAAGATCTGTGTTAACTTGAGCAGTAACCTTTCATAAACAAGATATTTTATAAACATTTTAAAAACAATTACTATTTACACAATGCAAAGTATAAAAAAATAAGTAAAAACTAAACTCTTTTTTAATTTAAGTAAATTGCTTAAATAACAATGTAACAAAGCTGAAACAATGTCACATTGAAATATATTTCCAGCATTTCATCATCATGAAAACCCCATTTATTCTGCTGGTCGTCGCTGCCATAGCGACGGCACAAAGAGGTGGCATCAAATGTAAGTTTTGCTCTTGACTTTGTATCTATGGTACTTCTTAACTTGACTGACCGCAATAATAAAATACACCTTCAGTCTCGACAAAAGATGGGAAGTACAGTAACTGCTATCTGCCTATGATCTCAACATGAGAAATCGCTGTGTGTACAGAACTGTTTATCTCTGCTTTTTCTTAAACTAGCTCGACCCCGTAATTTGTTTTCTTATATTGACTGATGGAGATGATTATTGACACGTATTATTAGATGTTTTGGGTGTAGTGTGTTTTTTCCCCAATTCATCAGCATCGTCTTTTCCCATTTATGCTCAATACACACGGGGCATTACATTAGACTATCTGTTTCAATGCCCAGTCGCCTGTTTCCCTAACGTGAGTTAGATACCAATCAGAGCTGGATGAACTCAGGGACGTTCTACTGACTTGAACCCAGATTCGAACACGAGACTTTCTGGTTAGCAGTCTCGCGCTCTACCGCTAGGCCACGCCGTCCCACATTTCCCCAATACGGCTGGCAAGTAGGTCACCAACCAGTTCTACGGCTCAATAAAACATGCATGAGTCATAGAACTGGTTGGTGACCTATTTACCAGCCCCATTACTCTAAGCATAAGTTATTACATATATAAAACTTAATGGCCGCTACACCCGTCCATGTTTGGTGTCCCCCCAGTTACTCCCCCCTGCCAACCTGTAGTGGACATCGTGTTCCTGATGGTTCAGTCCGCCTCCATCATGCCTGAGGAACACAAGGCCCAGGTCGAGTTCCTGACAGAGCTGTCCGAGAAGTTCAACGTCGGCCCATACGACGTCCAGTACAGCGCGCTCGTCTACTCCATGTCACCCAACAAGCTGTTCGACTTCAAGAGGTTGAAGACCAACGCGAAAGTGACGCGGGTAGGTAGTACTCACGTTTTGTGTTTCAGCAGTCAGGTTTACAGGAGAATGTCAAGTTGATACGTTAAAATACTTCCTTTAGACATTAAAACTCATACTTATTAAAAAATACAAACAACAACAACAAACAAAAAACACAAAAAAAAAAAACAACACACACACAAAGTAAAAATTAAAAAAACAAAGCAACAAAAAAAAAAAAACAACAACAGACAAAAACAATAAAAAAGCAATAAAATAAAAGTAACATAATAAGCCTAACAAAACTGTTCATGCCATGTTTTTTAACGTGTGTACGTTCTCCAACAGCAACTGTCTCGAGCCGTGTACCGTAAAGGTCAGACCCTGACAGGCAAGGCTCTGGACTACATCTACACCTCCAACATGTTCGACTCGTCGTCTGGTGCCAGAGATATCGCCACCGACATCGTCGTAATGATCACCGACAGCGTTTCAAAGGATCAGGCCGCTAGTAAATACATTTTATACACGTTTTATAGAAATTACACAGTGCTTCAAATGATCAGGCCGCTAGTAAATACATTTTATACACGTTTTATAGAAATTATACAGTGCTTCAACTGATCAGGCCGCTAGTAAATACATTTTATACACGTTTCATAGAAATTATACAATTTGTTAAAATGTTATAAATTATCTAAAAGATAAAATGCATCGTATTTCAGCTTTATAGAAATTATACTGCTCGTCTGTAAGATCTGCTAACAATATAAAATATAATTAAAACACTTTTGACTTATGGTGTAGAATAAATAGAATATTAGGTATAATAGAACTTTAAAATAAATATCATTCATATAAAGCAGCTAATTACTGGTTGTATTACCAACATTAATGATGCTATGCATTATTGACCAAGACACAAAACACTAGATCAACACATTAAAGATTAACATATACGAATTAATCTTTAATAAATTTATTAATGTATTAATGGCCAACGCATACCCTTGCCGGAACGGCTAGCATATAGAAACTATAAGTGACATCTTTTCTTCCCTAATTTTGATAGCATCTGCCGCGGCCAAAGTGTTGAGGGACAGGGGCGTGAACATCCTGGCCATCGGCGTGGGTGACGCCTCTGACAAGGAGCTCAACCAGATCACTGGAAACTCCAGCAATGTCTTTAAGACAGAAAGTTATGACCGCTTGTCCAACCTCAAGGACACACTCGTCAGTCGGATCTGTGCAGGTAACTTGATTCATATTTTACAGGTGACTTGTAGCATATTTTACAGGTGACTTGTAGGGTATTTTACAGGTAAATTGTAGGCTATTTTACAGGTAACTAGTAGGATATTTTACAAGTGGTCTATAGACTCTTTTACAGGTAACCTGTTGACTATTTTACAGGTGGCCTATTGGCTATTTTACAGGTAACTTGATGGTTAGTTTACAGGTAACCTGAAGGTTATTTTAAAAAGTGATTTATGTTTATAGCATTAATACTTACTGAAAGAAATCTTCTTTGTTTTCCTCGATTGTTCCTTATTCTATCTGTAATTTTTTGTTACGTTTGAGATTGTAGAAGAGTATTGATCTATTTTAATGTTTTAGACTTGAAACGTTACTTCAATAATCTTGATATTGAGCTACATGTACAGTGATTAAACTATATCGTACTATATTCTACGCATTTTCTATTTGTTTCATGTGAATTATTTTAAGTTTTACTTTTTATATAATTTCAGTTTTCAAGGAAGACGAAGGTAACAACACCATACATATTTTTATTTCTAGCCATTAGTTATTAGCGTATTTAGAATGTGCTTTTACTGGTAAAAAAGTAAATAATCCTCTTTAGACCAAGCAATCCATTAGGCAGATGAAATAGAGTTCATATGTTTTTTGAACTCGGCATAAGAGGGAAGGCGTGGTCAGCATTTTGCCCTAACATTAGTTAGGTACCTATCAGCGATGGATGGACTCAGTGACACTCAACTGACTAGGATTCTTACAACGATAAAGACTAGATCATTATTAATCATGAAAATTACAATAATTTAAAAAAAAATGTTCAAAGACAACAAAAGACAGTTATGGGTAATAAAAGAACAATAAAGAACACCAAAGACTACCAACTTTAAAAGCCATAAGAGATCACAAAAAATAAAGATTACCAAAGTTCGCTGTAGACAATTTATCGTTAGCGGCATCAACATAAAACGACAATAAGATAACATAGATGAGTTCAGCAAAGGACCGGTAAAACATTTATTGGCCAATCCATAATTAATTTGCTTGTCGTAAATTTAAAAGAAACATGCAAATACAAGCGTTTAAAAGCTAACAAAACAAAATAAATACAAATAATGTAATGGCAGTTTAGCGCATTTTATATTTCTTGTACTTTTTATTTTCAGATAAACAAGAAGTTGTTGGTATGTTTCTTTCTATTTCATCATCTTGTCTTTAGTTAATAGTAATTTAGTTAATTACTGGTAACTTGTCAAGTAAATGTTAATATTAATAAGTGTTGTAATTATTTTCAGGCATGTTATCCTAAAATTATGCTTAAAAAATATAATATTTCTAGCAATACTTGCATCAGTGACTGTTGTGTTAATGCCAACTATTAGACAAGGCTACACTGTCTTCTTGCAGGTCCGTGCCGCACCGTAGCAGACATCTTCTACGTCCTTGACTCCTCTGGCAGTATCGGAGCAGAGAACTACACCAAACAGCTGCAGTTTGCTGCCGAGATAGCCCGGGCCTTCACACTAGGACCACAAGACGTGCAGTTTGGTGCGCTCATCTTTGGCACCGTGGTGCAGAAGTTGTTTGATTTGAATACCTACAATACACAGTCCACTCTAGCTCGGGTATGACGTATCTGGTTAAATCTCTCGCTGCAAATGTTAGGGAACATCTCTCACAACAAACTGTTTTCTCAAAAGCTGCTAATTTCTCTTACTTTTTTTTCTGATACTCTCCATTCTGGAAACACAGAATCATTTATTCAGCAACTTTTACATATATGTATTATGTAATCAGCACATTTCTGAAATCTTTTGTTCTTATTCAAATAAAACAATATTTAAGAAGCCATAGGAATACTGATTTCTACAGGCCACATAGATCACAACCCTTCTATCCATAGGCACTGAACTCGGCCCCCTACATGAGATCAGCGACACAGACTCATCTAGCCCTCAACTACATCACTGAGAATGACTTGTATGGACCACAATATGGCGGCCGCCCTGATGCCAAGAAACTCATCATCGTCATGACAGATGGGAAATCTGAAAATATGATCGAAAGTAAGTGCATATATATATATATATATATATATATATATATATATATATATATATATATATATATATATATATATATATATATATATAATGTATTTAAATGCAAATTAACAAACACACCATTGTCGTAACCCAAATCCAGCCTCCAGAGCCGCTGAACGACTAAGGAACAAAGGATTCATCATCATCACCATCGGTATTGGCGACGCCTACGATCAGGAGCTCAAGCTGATGGCTGGTGATCAGGACAACGTCTTCAGGGTCGCGACCTTTGACCTGTTGACCAAGCTCAAACAAAAAGTTTCGCAGCGAACTTGTGACGGTAAACGAAACAAAATTGTTAGACCTTTTTTTCTTGGAGCAACAGTATCTTTATTCTAATAAATAAATAAAATAAATAAATAAACATGATATTTATGTTACTATTATTTATCGGTTTATGGTGTTGTCTGTACATAATAAACTATTCTGAAACTATTTATTTAAAGAAATATTTGTTTTTTTTTCAGTACCAATCGGGACCACGGCAGGTAAACTAAATTAATTTATTCTTTTAAAAATTATACTTCGAAAAAAAAGTCTTAAACGGTTAATAAGTAAAAAATTTAGCCAAACGCCATTGTGTCTATTGGTTTTAAACACTATTGGTAATTTACATTATTTATAAGAGCAAATTAATTAAATTCATGTTACTGTGAAACACAATCACACATGCTAGCAAACTTCCAAACATATATTTGAATGTACTATTTCGATTGTGTTATTTAGTTGCATTATCACCAAATATATTTGTATGTACTATTTTAATTGTGTAATTAGTTGCATTATGACACACATATATATTTGTATGTACTATTTTGATTGTGTAATTAGTTCCATTATTTTACTCTTCTTCACAGCACCGAAACCAACTGAACGTAAGAACCTACTTTATAAATACAGGGACTGTTTGTTGCAAGCATAGACTTTCGCTAAAAATAAATACACCGATACATTAATTTCTAATGTTTTATCAATCAGCGTATATTCGTTTATACGTCAAAACCATTTATTGATCAGCTTTAAGGAGATACATTTTATACTATCATGTCAAAATATAAAATTCATAATGTTTTTTTTCAAACTTTTTCAGCCACGATGGAGCCTGGTATGATTTTAATTTTATTGAAGTTCGATTACAAGATTGGAAATTGATCTGTTTTATCTAATCAACACGTTAAAGTTGACCGCCGAAAAAAAAAACTATAATTTCCAACTGATTCGTTAGCCGAAATATACTATTAGTTGTTTATATGTTAAAATTTACAAAAAGGATGATAAGCATTTAGAAATAGTTTTGGGTAGATTAATACAAATTATTCTGCATCAAATATTTTCCGCAGGGTTAAACTATTAATTATTCACTGATTTCTTTATTAAATGCGTTTATTTCAAGCATTATATTAAAGATGAGAAGAGTAAATAAAATGTTGTTATAGATACATAATCTAAAGCGTAAATTATCTTTTTTTCAGCCACTGTACCAACGTTGAGCCGTAAGTAAAAAAAAAATCATAATTAAGTATAGCACACCAAAAGAAAAATATAATTAAAAGAAATAAATTGAAGAGTAAACACGATAAAGTAAGTTATAAACAATGTCTGAAGATAATATATACATCCGTCACCAACTTTCCCTTTCCAGCCACTGAACAGCTTTGCCGTACAACAGCTGACGTGATATTTTTGCTGGACGCCTCAGCCAGCGTGGGCAGAAGTAATTTCATCAGACAGCTGACCTTCGCATCCCTGATAGCCCGGGGGTTCGTGGTTGGCCCCACCGACGCCATGTTCGGCAGCATCGTGTTCAGTGATGTCGCCCAGAAGATGTTTGACCTCGATGATAATCCGGATCAGAAGTCGATCGTTGAGGTTTGTATATAGAGGCCAGCTGCTTCATACAGCATTTAGAGCCCTACAGCTGTATACAGCATTTAGAACCATACAGCTTTATACGGCATTAAAAAAAAATACAGCTGTATACAGCATTTAGAGCCCTACAGCCTCATACAGTACTTAAAACATGTGAAACCAACAAAACTGCATTTCGAGTTAAACTTTTCCAATTTTAAACTGCCTGGCTAGTTTGTTCCCAGCTGTTCTATGTACATTTAGCTGAATTTCGATTAGACTTTTAAAACCAAATTTCTGCATTTTGAAATAATATTTAGTAAAAACTACTTTTGTTATTTTATTTTAAAGTCATTTACGGCTTACACACAATCATATAAAATATATATTCAATATAGCTCTGTTTTTTTTTAATTATTTTAATTCTTGCTTGCACAAAGCTGACGTCTTTTAATTGCAGGCATTGATGTCCACTCCCTACGCCGGTAGAGGCACCAAGACCCACAAGGCCCTGCAGCTGATATCCTCCAACAACATGTTCATGTCAACATCCGGTGGGAGGGACGACGCCAAGAACATCGTCATCCTCATCACCGACAGCCCTTCAGATGACTCTGCCAGCAGTAGGTCAAGATTACGTCCCCTGTTTTCTAAGCGTTTTGCCATCTATATAATCCCTTACCTGCAACCAATCGGGTCATGTTTTCCATGTATTAGTTTGTTTCCACTATTTGGTCAAATACATACCCCCCCCCTCCAGGTTATGACCCGGCAGATCAATTACTCCTATACATACGATCACCACCATTATAAATACCACCCTCAAAAAATGGCATGACAAACTGAAAATGTTGTATTCTATCGAGGTAATGCCTGCCGTTAAGTTTGGGACCTATGATTAAATTTAGAACCTGCAATCAAAGCATAGACCGAATACTAAAAATTTGGACCTGTTATTAAATGTTCTACATGTTATTCTATTACATCTGGAACCACGGTATACTATTTCTGCGTATTGTTACGCGTAAACTAACCACATTATTGATTACGTGTGACAATAAACGTTCGATTTTATTTTACCTAATGCGTATGACTTGACTTGACTTAGTCCTCTTTGCTCCTTAAGGAACATATGTCCACCACCATTTCCTTTCATTTCGTCCGATCCCCGGCTATTAATTTTGTCATCTCCCAAGATATCCCTGTTGGCTTCAGTTCTTCAAGAAGACTCCGCCTCCAGGTCTGTCTTAAGGGCCCTCTCTTCCGCTTTCCCTGGGGGTTCAACTCAAGCGCCTGGCGTGCCACAATAATTTGTATATTTAATTGAATAAATAATGACATGATAATGTAAGAAATGTATGTTGGAACTGCTTACAACACACCCCTATGTAAAAGATATGAGTGTCCGATTACAGTGTTTACTAATAAAAGATGAACACATCTTACGTTTGTCCTACCCAGCTATTCGTGCGGCTAAAGAGTTAAAAGACCTTGGTGTGTCTATCATCACTGTTGGTATCGGCAAGTCCTCAGAATCTGAACTGCTATCTCTGTCCGACGATCCGAAAAATTATTTCGTGGTTAGCAACTACCAAGACCTACTCAATCTCAGGCAGAAGGTCACTCAGCGAGCGTGTGAAGGTAAGTGTGTTTGTGGATGTCGGTGTGGGTGCGTGTGGGTGTCGGCGTGTGTGCGTGTGGGGGGGGGGGGGGGGAGTAATGCAGCATGAAATACGTCAGGGCTTAGAACTGATGACACTAACACTTCAAATGCCAAGTTTACGAAAAACTAGAGGAAATCTGTGTCAACCACTTCTTTGACATCGGATCCGAAATTGGGACGTTCAGTTAATTATTAGCTTCGAATTACACATGAAAAAACATATTCTTAAGATACATTTGTAATCTACACGTATAATCTTTATAAATATAAGAAAGAATTTAAGAATGAAAATATTGTAATTATTTGTCTTATATAAAAACGTTTTGGTTTGAAATTCTAGTGTCGAAAGAATCGGTGGTGTTTCCCACAGAAACAGTGAAAGTACCATCTACAACAGCAACTCCAGCCACGGCATCTACTACTATTACAACACCTACAACAACAACTACAACAACATCTACAACAACACCTACAACAACAACTACAACAACATCTACAACAACACCTACAACAACTACGCCTACCACAACAACCACAAAAACTACACCTACTACAACATTTATGCCTACTACGACGACCACACCTACCACAACAACAACAAAACCCACACCAACTACAACCTTTTCTACTACGATGACCACGCCTACTCTATCAACCGTAACAACACCTACAACAACAGCAACGCTTACAAGTACCACACAAATTACAAGCACAATAACACCCACCATTACAACTACACCTACAGTGTCTACTACTACAGGTAAGTACATTTTACTTTCCATTATACACCTACAGAATTCAATACCTATCGTGTAATGACCCTAAAATGACACGGCCATGTAATGACTTCTAATTTCAATCGGATTAAGTACATATTTTTAAATACTAGTAATAAAACTTTGACAAACCACCTTGCTAAATAACAATATTATAAATTTTCATAATCATTCTAGTAACCCCCTCCCACTGAGGTTTTTGTTATTTACAAAATGGACAGGTCTCACATTTTTGACAAATTAGAATCTACCAAGTAGAGACTAATATCGTGTTTAGACTAATGTGTAAGCAATTTGTATCGGGGTATTTGTTAAAGCATTGGAAACTAAAAGCAGAATCCCGTAAAACATCAGATTACCTAAAATCAAAGTTGTGTTACATAATATTGCTCTATACTACACTTACCTTAATATAACAATATAACACAATGACGAATAACTGCTACCCTATGCTTATAGTATACTCTTTGTAAGATCCATATTTACTATGTGAATATCCGTGCTACAACGTAATTAGCAGTTAGTGCACCATACAAGCTAATCTCCAGGAATTGTTACACTTTTTAACCTCCAGCACTGACCACATGCCAGCCTGTGGTGGACATTGTCTTCCTGATGGTCCAGTCGGCCACCATTCAGGCAGACGAACACAAGGCCCAGATGCAGTTCCTCGCTGACCTCTCGGAGAAGTTCAAGGTTGGCCAGTACGACGCCAGGTACGCCTCGGTGATCTATGCCCAGGCACCGTACAAACAGTTTGACCTCAAGTCGTCCAAAAGTAATGCTCAAGTCACAAAGGTGGGTGCTCATTCTGTCTGTCCACAGAATGTGTAGATTTAAGACATTTTTCTCCGAGACGGAGTAGCGCTCTTGAAACTTCCGGGGGAGGAGGGAGGACGGTATAAATTCCCGAAGTGGGGGAAGGTGCGAGTACTGGTTAAAGAGTATATTTTCTATAAAATGTTTATATTTTTCTATATCCTCCGGGGGAAGGAGAGGTAGTGGACTTGCTCCGAGGGGAGTGGGATGGCGAAGAGATGCCTGAAAGAAGCTGTATACCGCAACAGCTTGATGCGTTAATCAGCATTACATAGTCGTATTATTCATTAACCAGGTGTTGCTCACATTACCCAGGTGTTGCTTACATTACCCAGGTGTTGCTTACATTCACCAGGTTTTACTTACATTCACCAGGTGTTGCTTACATTCACCTGGTGTTGCTTACATTCACCAGGTTTTACTTACATTCATCAGGTGTTGCTTACATTCACCAGGTGTTGCTTACATTCACCAGGTGTTGCTTACATTCACCAGGTGTTGCTTACATTCACCAGGTGTTGCTTACATTCACCAGGTGTTGCTTACATTCACCAGGTGTTGCTTACATTCCCCACTTTTTGCTAACCCTCCCCAGGTGTTGCTTACATTCACCAGGTGTTGCTTACATTACCCAGGTGTTGCTTACATTCACCAGGTTTTACTTACATTCACCAGGAGTGCGTTACATTCACCTGGTGTTGCTTACATTCACCAGGTTTTACTTACATTCATCAGGTGTTGCTTACATTCACCTGGTGTTGCTTACATTCACCTGGTGTTGCTTACATTCACCAGGTGTTGCTTACATTCACCAGGTGTTGCTTACATTTAACGTATTTTGCTTACATTCCACACCTTTTGCTAACCCTCCCCAGGTGTTGCTGAGAGCGCTGTACCGGCGAGGTTCCACGCTGACGTCCAAAGCCCTAGAGTACGTCTACTCGACCAACATGTTCGACTCGTCTGCTGGTGCCAGAGACATCGCCACCAAGGTGCTGGTCATCGTCACAGACAGCCCGTCCAAGGACCAGGCCGCCAGTGAGTCAACTGTCCCCATAGAATTCAATTCGCCAGTCGTAAACTATTTCTTGTAGCCAGTCTGGAACGGAATAATCTCTATGTCTATGTATCACTTACCGTAGAGAAACGTAGATTTGCATTTCAATATAGTTGATATGCAAAGGACATTGTTTTTAGCACTTTCACCAGTTGTCAAATAGGTTATTCATTGTTAACCTTGTGTTCTATTTGAGGAAGATACGCGTATGATAGGAATGATTATTACTGGACTTAGAAAGGCTTATATCGATTGATTGAGTTGAGCGAATGTTCGAGCAGGTTCTGCCGCGGCCCAACAGTTGAGGGCAAAGGGTGTGAACATCCTGGTGCTGGCCGTGGACGGGGTGTCGGACAAGGAGGTCAACGCCATAGCAGGCAACACCAGCAACGTCTTCAAGACGGAGAGCTACGAGCAGCTGCCTCAACTGATGGACAAATTTGTCAGCCGAATTTGTACAGGTAGCAATAAGAAATGGTTAAAATGATCAAATGTTCTGCCATACTTTTACTTCGCTACTTTCAAATGCAGATACATTGAATATCACTTGGTATCGTATTAAGATCATATGCATGCATCATGCGTTTTCCTTTATACTGTAGCATTTTTATTTTTATATTTTCAGTGTGGAAGGAAGATGACGGTAAGTCTCTATTATTACGGCACAAAAAGTCCAATACTATACCATATGCGCATCCACCACACGCATGCATGCATGCACGCACGCAAGCACGCACACACACTTATATCTCTTAAGAGTAAAATGCTTTTTATACACGTGAAAAAGTACATGTCAAAAAGTAGTCTAAAATTAAACTACAACGAGCACAGTGTTTTCCCCAAAACTTTACTTTGTCTGCTACAGAACTATCTAAATGTATCCATAAAGCTGCTTTTATGTTCTGGCAATGAATGTAAAATATGCCTATGTTTAGACCTACACCAATAACGGATAACGATTTTACATATAGTTACGGCTTACCTTATCTTCATTAGTTCTGTATACTATGCTAAATCCATTAAAAAGTTTTTGCATTATCAAGGTATGCATTCTAAGTATCCTAGCACTGCTACTATGATTCATTCTATTTTTTGTTTATCCTTATCTTTGATTCTTTGTTTAACACTTCTAATAACTAAACATCTGATTTTCTCATTTGTTTAGATAAAAAACAGACTGTGGGTACGTTCCTTTATTGTTGGTTCTTAATGACGCACTTAAAATAAAACGTAAAATATTTATTTGAACAATTATATAAACATACTATATTGTCAGGTAATTTTAATTAATAATTATTCTTAAAACATTTCTGAGGTTAATCCCTGTGGCTTAACTGTCTAGTTAGGGTCTCAGTAAGCTTAAGGTTTTTGTCTACGTGCCTAACATACATTTTCATTTTGTTGATATAGCTGATAACGGTACTTCGATACTAAGCTTAACTCTAATTAGAATCTTCTCTGTAACATTTAACATAACCCTAGCTATCATCAGTAAATTGTAAATGTGGGTACGGCTGCTAGATGACAATTGTTTAGGGTTCGTTAGGGTTCGCTAGGGGTCACTAGGGTTTGCTTAACAACGCGACTGGAAACCTTACAGACACCTGCAACACCGTAGCAGACATCTTCTACGTCCTGGACTCCTCCGGCAGCATCGGAGCAGAGAACTACACCAAACAGCTGCAGTTCGCTGCCGAGATCGCCAGGGCCTTCACACTGGGGCCACAAGACGTGCAGTTTGGTGCGCTCATCTTCGGGAAAGATGTGAAGAAGCTGTTTAATCTGAACAAGTTCACTTCTCACTCTGAACTAACTAGGGTGAGTGACAAACTATACCAACCGCTTATCTAATCTTTGTTTCTTTAAAAAAAAGAAATTCAACTCGAAAAAAACGTATTATGATCTTTCAACCGTTATTGGCTTAAAGGTATGGTTAGGAATAAGGTATGGTCAAATTTAGGTAAATAATAGCAACATTTCCGTTGCTAGTTGTAATACATTTCTACACAAACTAAATAATCAGCGATTAAGATCGACTATAGTTTGAAAACAGGGACCGAATTAGATATTAATTCGATAAATATTGACTGATTTAGATTTTAGTTTGATAAACATTGCCTGAGTTAGATATTAATTTGAAAACCTTGACTGATTAGATATTAAATTAAAAACATCGACTTAATTAGATACTAGTTTGATAATCACCGACTGAATTAGATATTAAATTGAAAACATCGACTGAATAAGAAACTAGTTTGATAATCACTGACTGCATTAGCTTTTGGTTCAACTGCCTAACTGCGTTAGACTAAATGAAGATATCTCTACCATAGGCCCTAGTGACGGCACCCTACATGAAGACCGCCACCAACACACAGTTAGCCCTCACTTACGTCATGGACAACGACCTGCTCGGTCCCTCGTACGGGGGGCGCCCGGGGGTCAAAAAGTTGATTATTGTCATGACAGATGGCAAATCTGACAACATGATCGAAAGTAAGTAACACCTTCAGTGTATAGACAAGTCAAACTGTGTTTTACTCAATACAGAGATGTTTCAGTAGATCCAGCGGTGCTATTACTAATATTGAAGATTTTAATATATTTAATGGTGCTATTTTTAATACTGAAATATTTCAATAGATTTAACAGTGTTATTTGTAATACTAAATATATAAATAAATTCATCGACATAATTTTGAAATATTTCAATAGATCAACGGTGGTATTTTTCGATGCTGAAATATTTAAATCACTTCAAAATTGTTATTTTTAATACTGAATATTTCAATATATCGAAAGGTTAGTTTTACTGCTGAAACATTTCAATAGATTTAACGGTGTTCTTTTTATTCTGAAATATTTCATATATTTAAAGTCCTTATTACCAATACTGAAATATTTCAACATTTACACACATACACAAGCCGACACACACTAAACCCCCTTCACACATCCTATAATTCCTACAAATATTTATAACTATGATAAACGGCTTGGTTTATTTCTCTCTAACTCCTGAACCACCTGTACTCCCTGTGTCCCCCAACAGCCGCCCGTGCCGCAGAACGACTGAGGAACAAAGGATTCAACATCATCACCATCGGCATTAGCGACGCCTACGATCAGGAGCTCAAGTTGATGGCTGGGGATTCAGACAACGTCTTCAAAGTTGAAACCTTTGACCTTTTGAATAAACTGAAGCAAAAAGTCTCACAGAGAACATGTGCCGGTAAAACAAATATGTTCTGGTTATAGAATAATAACAATACAATTCAATGATATAATGGCAAGAAATCCCAAAGCTTCACGGCCTGAAACCCTATTTTGATAAAATAAAACAATTCTGTTATTTGTAAAGCTATCTGTTCTGACAAGGTAGGTAATCCCTGCAACGTTCTAGAGCTGGATTCGACATAGCTACCTCCCTTTGTTATGTTGAAGCCAAACAACAATGTACGCCAGAAACTTCAGTCCAACTTGGTTTTGATAGCAAAAAGATAATTTTACAGTTATTAAAGAGTCTGTTCAAGTAGATAAAATAACATATATTAAATAGTCCGCTGAAATACATACATTTATGGGTGTTAAGTAGTCCGTTCAAATAGATAAAATTACAGATATCTGAAATACAATTGTTACAATCATTATCACAAAACTCGTATGCATAATTTTGAATACGTTTCGAATTAAAGCCATTATCATTAGTATCTATGTGGTTTATTTTTAATTACGTTCTTAGAATGTGTATTGTATAATTCATGCCTTTTTTGTTGATGTTACAACCGGAATTTTTTTTTATTTTTAAAATTCTTTTTTTCAGTTACAGTTGGACCGACGATAGGTAAAAACATTTGATGTTAAGAAAAATGTAAATGTTTCATGTGTCAAGTCATTGTGATGTTAAGAAAAATGTAAATGTTTCATGTGTCAAGTCATTGTGTTGTTAAGGAAAATGTGAATTTCTCATTGGTAGATATGTGTGAATGTGTTGTGTGTAGTTAAATGATAATCAGTGCCGACGCTTTTTTTGACGATTTTTACCTCCGTCACATGTCGTCACAAAAAGCCAGCCCCCCCCCCCCCCCCCCCTAAAATGACGTCACACCTCAGCCTACAACCCCCCTCAATATTGCAGTTGAATTATTTTTAAAACATCGATATATTTCTAAAATCTTGTCTGAACTCTGTCAAAATAGAGTATTTTAATCAATTCCTATTACAATTTATTAAAACGGTTTTTTACAACGCGAAATAACGTCTAAAATTCGTTTTCTAACATTGCCTTTTTATAATGCAAAAGTGTGGCGTCGCACAATCTGAACCCCCCCCCACTCCCCCTCATCACACACCGTCACAAAATTACGGACCCCCCCCCCTCCCCCCTACGAGTGTTACGTCATTTATGGACGACCCCTTAGGCAAAACTAACTAAAACGCCCCCTTTCACACAAATTAATTACTAAAACATATGTATAAGAAAACAATTAATTAAAAGTGACATATTAATTTATTATCAATTGCATACACGTTATAAGTAGACATCAACATAAAATGTTTCTTGCCTCCTTCGTCTCAAAAGTTTGTACTAATTCCTTCAATTCCAGTTTGCAAGCGTAATCAAATTTTATTGAAATTGTCGCTAAGTGCACGAGTCTACTTTGTAATTTACGACATAGCCCCCCTCCCTCCTTAGAAAATTTTAAGTGCTTCCCCCCCCCCCCCCCATCCCGGGAGAAAAAAGTCTGGGGAAAAACCACTGAATGAAAAAAAGTTCTTTTAGGGTGGGGCTCCCGGCAGTCCTCCCAAGGTGAGTTCCAAAACGGAACTTATCTGTTTTAAGCTTGACAGTCTTTAGTTCTAATTATAGATGCCTATATTGTGTGATTATGTAACAAATTATTTTTGTTTTTGAAAAATAAAAGGTTATTAATAATATAGATTCAAGCCTAAAATCGTTTAGGAGAGGGTGAAAAAAAATGAAAAGAAATTAATTAGATGTTTAATTTACAATTAAGATTGTATGTCTACTACAATAAAGTATTGCAATCTATAACGGCTACTGATGTATTTGTTTTTCAACTTGATATTAATAATGCTAAAAAAAACACCTATTAAACTAATTTGTTTAGAATTTAAGATTTATTTTATTTTTTCAATATCAAATAATAACTTAAAGTTGTAGCCTATTTATATGTAAGCGGTCAACCTAAGGTGCAGGAATTTGAAATGAATGTAAAGTTAAGCAACGAATTATCTCCCATTTGAAAATCCAAATAACAATATTTTATTCAAGGGAAATAATTTTCACAAATATAGCTAAATTAACCTAGTGTAACTAAGACAAGCTTGAAAAACCCAATAAAACGGTCTCAATTTCATTACTTAATAATTATAATAAACCTTTTATATTAGCTATGTAACCTGTAAAAACAATATGTTTTACTTATTGAATACTTAAATGTAGGTTTGCTTGAAAGTCTAAAAACTTTAGCTTTATTGTAACATACTTCTATATAATTTCAATAACATACTTTACAACGCGAGTAAACTTGGGAAAATAATATTAAATTTTGGATCCCCAAAATAAAGGGACGCCTTTCAAAAAATCAAATACTGGTAACTGTTTTAGACATTGCTAGAATTATTGATTCATTATAAAAAAAAATTATAATTTGAAAAAACAAAGTTATAAATTCCAGCCTATTTAATAATATATATTAAACTTTAAGAGTGGTAATATAGATTCCTAAAAATCTAAAGATTTTTCAACTAGAGAACGCCTACCTTTCTTTGTACTGTGTTCCGTACTGAATTGAAATCATCTACCTTACGATAAAGTCATTTTAGCTGCAGTTTTGCATTATAAATATTAAATAAAAAATTTATGGGAGGGGGATGCAAATGGTAGGTTTGAAGGAGGGGGGGGGGGGGAATCGAAAGTTTGAAAGGGGGGGGGGGTGCAAAACGAAAGATTGAGAGGGGGGGGGGGTGCAAATTGCAAGTTTCTCTCCGGGAAGGGTCGCTACGCCTCTGTGATACCTTAAAACCATAAGAATCAATACTCCCGTACCTGCATTCTCATTTCTCTATTACCAATCAGATTCCACTAGACCTTCGACTACAAAACAGCCGAATAGAAATTGACACTTAACACTTCGATACTTACTTTATACCTACAAAACATTATCAGCAACAGCCTTCCGCCGTTACTCCCAAATCTAAACGATTCATCAAAACTTACCAAACAAGTACAATACTTTGAACACCCCGTCATTACAAAACTCTATACACCAGGACATATTTCTAACTCAGAGTCAGAGAAAACGAGACTTAAAAGCCCTTTTAAAATTAGATATCATTTTGAAATGTTCGAAATTTAAATAACGAACTTATTTAATCGTTTTCTACATCAATTATGTGACACCAAATTAAAAAGTCAAAGTGACTGGTAAAAAGCGCCCCGACCTTTCCAAATTAGAGAGGTGGGGTTGCATTTTCACCATCGCGAATAAATATAGGCCTATATAAATAGACCTAAATTTGGGGTGGGGGTGCAAAATTGATAGTTCGTCTTGGGTACCGAAATAGATCGCTACTCCTTTATAAAAGTTATTAATTATTAGACACTTTTTCATAATAGTGATTAAACATTTTGCGCCCCCCCCCCCCCCCCCCCCCCCCCCCCCCCCCCCGCGTAGGGATGGCGCTCTAGACGACCGCCTAGTTCGCCTTATAGTATAGGTTGCGCCGGCCCTGATGATAATTCATCCATTCAATCTTTATATACATTTTTGTAATGGCAACTTTCAATTCTCTTTTTATCAGAAACAAAAACTAACGAACGTAAGTATCAACTACCTTTTAAATTTCTAGACTGTTGTAAATATTTTATTTACTATGTAAATAATTAATTTTTTAGACTAGAAATTGATGAATCATTAAATTGTTAATTTTAAGATTGCTGTGTCTGTTTAAATTACCACGTAAAATAATTTTCCACCTATATTACATTTTATTTACTTTTGTTAGCGACATGTTTACATCGCACTTAATTGTATGGAAAGTTTCATATTAACATTATTTAAATCGATATTTTCAGCCACTCTTGGAACTGGTATGTTAAAGAAATTATAATTAAACTTAAACACGCAAATCGGTTGTCCTAATTTTGAAAAAAAATTGTTCTTCTAGATTACTTTTATCAGATGGTTGATATACATAATTAATTTTCTAAACACAAATACATTTTCTACTGATTTGTTGTCTAGTAGACCTACTGCATTTAACTTATAAGTAAAAAAATGTTATTAGTTAAGTTAGTATAATATGACGAAAAGAAAAGTTAGTGTTTCTGTTGCCCCTCAGTGTTGTTAATATTAAAACCACTTTTTTTCAGTCGTTATACCTACCATAAACCGTAAGTAGAATGTCGTTTTTAAAGATTTTTTTTTATTAAGTCTTTAATTTCCTGTTGACAAATATCACCCCCCAACCTGTCGCGACACTGAAGTTTGGTAATATCGTACCACAAGATGTGTAATGCAATCATCCCTGAGCAGCGCTAAGTTTCCATGTTGTAAGACCTGGTTTAACCTCTCCAATCATCCCTGAGCAGCGCTAAGTTTCCATGTTGTAAGACCTGGTTTAACCTCTCCAATTATCCATGAGCAGCGATAAGTTTCCATGTTGTAAGACCTGGTTTAACCTCTCCAATCATCCATGAGCAGCGCTAAGTTTCCATGTTGTAAGACCTGGTTTAACCTCTCCAATCGTCCATGAGCAGCGCTAAGTTTCCATGTTGTAAGACCTGGTTTAACCTCTCCAATCGTCCATGAGCAGCGCTAAGTTTCTATGTTGTAAGACCTGGTTTAACCTCTCCAATCATCCATGAGCAGCGCTAAGTTTCTATGTTGTAAGACCTGGTTTAACCTCTCCAATCGTCCATGAGCAGCGCTAAGTTTCTATGTTGTAAGACCTGGTTTAACCTCTCCAATCATCCATGAGCAGCGCTAAGTTTCCATGTTGTAAGACCTGGTTTAACCTCTCCAATCATCCATGAGCAGCGCTAAGTTTCCATGTTGTAAGACCTGGTTTAACCTCTCCAATGATCCCTGAGCAGCGCTAAGTTTCCATGTTGTAAGACCTGGTTTAACCTCTCCAATCATCCCTGAGCAGCGCTAAGTTTCCATGTTGTAAGACCTGGTTTAACCTCTCCAATCATCCATGAGCAGCGCTAAGTTTCCATGTTGTAAGACCTGGTTTAACCTCTCCAGCCACTGAACAGCTTTGCCGTACGACAGCCGACGTGATATTTTTGCTGGACGCCTCAGCCAGCGTGGGCAGAAGTAACTTCATCAGACAGCTGACCTTCGCCTCCCTGATAGCCCGGGGGTTCGTGGTCGGCCCCACCGACGCCATGTTCGGCAGCATCGTGTTCAGTGATGTCGCCCAGAAGATGTTTGACCTCGATGATAACCCGGACCATCTGTCAATCATTGAGGTCAGTGGTGTAGGCAGGGGGGGGGGGGGGGGTAAGGGGGTCATAACCCCCATAGACCCCTCGGTATATATATAAAAAGTATGAGGGGGGTGCAAATCGAAAGTTTGAGGGGGGGTGCAAATCGAAAGTTTGTCTCCGGGTAAAAATTGGAACCCCCCCCCTATTGAGACGATCCTGGATACGCCGCTGATTGAGGTATGGCCTTTGACATCCAGCCTTATCCCAACTAGCCATCGAGTTCAATAAAATATCCTTAATTTATCATTCATGGCCAAAGTTATATCCTTTTATTCGGCTGCAGTCACTTTTCTTATCAGTGTATGATTCCCCACACCTAGGTTTTAAACTATAGCCTCTCTAAATTAACTCCCCCTCCCCGCTCTAGTATAATCATCCCCACCCCTCAATAGACTATGATCTCTCCCCCAGGCTCTCCTGTCCACCCCTTACGTGGGTAAAGGCACCAACACCCACAAAGCCCTAGAACTCGCTGGAAACATGTTTGAGACAACATCCGGGGGCAGGGAGTCTGCTAGAAATGTCATCGTCTTGATCACAGATGGTGGTTCTGATAGCCCAGCTGCCAGTGAGTAGACTTATACATCATGGTAGCCTTAAACATCAATGTAAATTTTTGTAACCTAAAACAAGGTAGCCTAAAACAAGGTAGCCTTAAACATCAAGGTAGCCTTAAACATCAATGTAGCCTTAAACATCAAGATAGTGTTAAATATCAAAGTAGCCTTAAACATCAAGGTAGCCTTAAACATCAAGGTAGCCTTAAACAACAATGTAGCCTTAAACATCAAGGTAGTGTTAAATATCAAAGTAGCCTTAAACATCAAGGTAGCCTTAAACATCAAGGAAGCCTTAAACATCACGGAAGCCTTAAACATCAAGGTAGTGTTAAATATCAAAGTAGCCTTAAACATCACGGAAGCCTTAAACATCAGGGTAGTGTTAAATATCAAAGTAGCCTTAAACATCAAGGTAGCCTTAAACATCAATGTAGCATTAAACATCAAAGTAGCCTTAAACATCAAGGTAGCCTTAAACATCAATGTAGCATTAAACATCAAGGTAGCCTTAAACATCAAGGTAGTGTTAAATATCAAAGTAGCCTTAAACATCACGGAAGCCTTAAACATCAGGGTAGTGTTAAATATCAAAGTAGCCTTAAACATCAAGGTAGCCTTAAACATCAATGTAGCATTAAACATCAAAGTAGCCTTAAACATCAAGGTAGCCTTAAACATCAATGTAGCATTAAACATCAAGGTAGCATTAAACATCAAAGTAGCCTTAAACATCAATGTAGCCTTAAAAATCAAGGTAGCCTTAAACATCACGAAAGCCTTAAACATCAAGGTAGCCTTAAACATCAATGTAGCCTTAAACATCAAAGTAGCCTTAAGCATCATGGTAGCCTTAAAAATCAAGGTAGCCTTAAACATCACGGAAGCCTTAAACATCAAGGTAGTGTTAAATATCAAAGTAGCCTTAAACATCAAGGTATCAAGGTAGCCTTAAACATCAATGTAGCATTAAACATCAAGGTAGCCTTAAACATCAAGGTAGTGTTAAATATTAAAGTAGCCTTAAACATCAAGGTAGCCTTAAACATCAATGTAGCCTTAAACATAAATGTAGCCTTAAACATCAAGGTAGCCTTAAGCATCATGGTAGCCTTAAACATCAAGGTAGCCTTAAACTTCATATTAGCCTTAAAAATCAAGGTAGCCTTAAACATCACGGTAGCCTTAAACATCAAGTTAGCCTTAAAAATCACGGTAGTGTTAAATATCAAAGTAGCCTTAAACATCAAGGTAGCCTTAAACATCAATGTAGCATTAAACATCAAAGTAGCCTTAAACATCAATGTAGCATTAAACATCAAGGTAGCCTTAAACATCAAGGTAGTGTTAAATATCAAAGTAGCCTTAAACATCAAGGTAGCCTTAAACATCAATGTAGCCTTAAACATCATGGAAGCCTTAAACATCAAGGTAGCCTTAAGCATCATGGTAGCCTTAAACATCATTGTAGCCTTGAACATCATGGTAGCCTTAAACATCAAGGTAGCCTTAAACATCAAGGTAGCCTTAAACATCAAGGTAGCCATAAAAATCACGGTAGCCTTAAACATCAATGTAGCCTTAAACATCAAGGTAGCCTTAAAAATCAAGGTAGCCTTAAACATCAAGTAGCCTTAAGCATCATGGTAGCCTTAAAAATCAAGGTGGCCTTAAACATCACGGAAGCCTTAAACATCAAGGTAGTGTTAAATATCAAAGTAGCCTTAAACATCAAGGTATCAAGGTAGCCTTAAACATCAGTGTAGCATTAAACATCAAGGTAGCCTTAAACATCAAGGTAGTGTTAAATATTAAAGTAGCCTTAAACATCAAGGTAGCCTTAAACATCAATGTAGCCTTAAACATCAATGTAGCCTTAAACATCAAGGTAGCCTTAAGCATCATGGTAGCCTTAAACATCATGGTAGCCTTAAACTTCATATTAGCCTTAAAAATCAAGGTAGCCTTAAACATCACGGTAGCCTTAAACATCAATGTAGCCTTAAACATCAAGGTAGCCTTAAACATCAAGGTAGCCTTAAACATCACGGCAGCCTTAAACATCAAAGTAGCCTTAAGCATCATGGTAGCCTTAAACATCAATGTAGCCTTAAAAATCAAGGTAGCCTTAAACATCACGGTAGCCTTAAACATCAAGATAGCCTTAAACATCAAGGTAGCCTTAAACATCATGGTTGTGTTAAATATCAAAGTAGTGTTAAACATCAAGGTAGCCATTCCACTACACATTTACATGCACATAAATGCTTACAAAGAATGAGCTCTGACAAGCATTTCACCCCCCCCCCCCCCTCCAAAATTGCTCAATGGAAAAAAAAAAGATTCCAATTTATCTTGAAACCAACTTGTTTACACATACATACCCAGGCAATTTGATGTCTATTTCTGGACATAATTTTAAGATCAACTTGAGGATTGATTTAACTTTGGCAAAACCATTAAAGTTAAAGGTTAATGTATATATCAGCTGATATCATGTTATAAGGCACCACTTAATTATATTGCACTAAGATAACCTTATTTTTCAATCAATTGCAGAACTTTTAAATATTTAAAAAATGTAGACCTACATCTAGACCACAATTATAGAGAGTATGAGTGTGATGCTCGTGCTCAAATAGTTAAAGATTTCATTTTGTTAAGGATTGAACAACTATGGGTGGTTGAAATGAGTTTGGAGAAACAAGACTAGCACAGCTAGATGTAGCAAAAATATATATGTAACAGATGGCTGTGCTCAGTATTTAATGCTACTGAAAATAGGAAAAATTAAATAAGCTAAAGAATCAATCCACATAATTTTAGGTAAAACCTATTTTATTTAAAAAAAAAACAAAAACATCTGTTTAGTTCTTCAAAATAAATAAACATAAAAATATCTGCTTCAGACAAGGTTAACTAAATGTATAAGTATGAATTAGAAATGTTTTATGCAATACAACATTAAACAAGATATACAAATGATTGCAATGTGAAGTGGTGTTAGATCATTATGTGTAAGCCATCAGATATAACAAGATGGTTTTAAATACCTAGATAATAACAGTGACATAGGAAATACAAAACATTTAATAAGAGCCACCATGGGTTTCTTTCATTCCTTTTCCTGTTGAATCCTGCTCTGTTTGGTATGTGCCAAATACAACAGTGTAAATGCATGGCAAACAGGTTAAAAAATATAAAAATTATTAAAACAAATAGAAATTTCCTTAGTTGTACATTGAATAAGTATGAACTATTTTGTCAAACATTTTAGTTTGGAAAATTAATTTTGTTCTTGTCAACAGCTTGTAATAAAAGTAGCTATATTTTAAGAATCAGGATTTAGAATACAACACATTAAGCTAAATGTTTTAAATAAATAGCAGTTTGTTTTGTTGCCTTTTCTCTAAAACTGATTTCTGGTTAGAATAAAAATAGATGATCAAATTTAATACTGATTTATCTTCCTTTATGCAAAGATAAAAAAAAAACCCACATAAATAAGACTACCAACCAAAGGAAATTACATTTTTCTTCATTCTAAACCTTCACATTTCAGCATCCTGTTTAAATTTGGTAGCCTAAACTTTAAATTGTACACTCCAATTTTTGAATATAGAGAACAAAAAATAATTAAGCAATTAAAAAAATATAAATAATTTGTTAAAAGTAGCACCAGTATTTAATAACTTTTATGTTTATGACAAAAATGAATGTTCTATCAACATAAAGTTCCTACTGATTAGTTGAAACATATGCTGAAGGTTTGGTTATAAAAATAAATGCATACAATTTCTACATATATGTTAAGTTCCTTTTAAGTGATTTACAGCCCATTTTGGCATTGTAAAATCTGATAAGTTATGGAATAGATGGTCCAATTTTGTGTGAGGTCATGCACATATATAATGCAAAAGGGGTTGGGGGTGTTTTATTATTTGTTAATTTTTATTTTTACAGGAAAGGGTGATGGTATAGCAATGTCATTTAACATAGAGTTAGGCTCCCTAGAAATGTTATATAATATGGAACAAAATTTTAGTCTGTGAGATTGTTGAATTTTGTTATGCAGGAGAAGGAGCATACAAATTGTCACATTTTAGTGTAATATGATAACAGGATCCCCTGGTTGTGGGTTGAATGGGTGCAGGTTGACAAAGTCCAGTTTTACAACCTGCATACAAGTTAGTTATAGGCTTGCTGCAACACAACCATGATCTGTTTGCTACATACTTTCTTGTTCACAGACTTGTAAGATTGTTATTTTTAAAAAAATGTAATACGTAAAAAGCTGCAAAGAACAGATGCTTGATTCTTGATGGCTTTTCATAAGCATATTAAACAGTATTCTCCTTAACCTTCTGGTTGGCAGTGATAATAAATATAAACATATATACTTAAAGCAGAAAACACATGGAATATACAACTGTAAAGTAATTAAGTATAAATAGACAAATATTTTACTAAGGTTTTATTTCAACCTTTAGACTAACAAAAATTGTAAATTTTTCTTTAAAATGCAAACATGCATATAGTTAAAAATAATAAAAAATAAAAGCAAAATACCATCTTAATATGTGACACTGATAAAAATCACAGATATATTTAATTTAAAATCACAAATCTGAATGAAGGGAAAAAAATCAATCTAAAACAATTGTGTTAACTTATACTGTATCACTATTTACTCATCTCAGGCCAGTAGCTGAGACAAACTTTTTTCACAGATAGACAATCCTGCTAAAATTTCATCTTCAAACAAAACATTTTCCTCTGTAGTCTTGCCCTCATCCTCTGAGCTGTTAGAATCAGAGTCACCAAATCCAATAGCCTTTGTTATATTTTTCCCATGCTCTCTTCTCATCCATTTTTTAGCTGGCTTTGGATGATAAATGTAAGTGTTTGCGGTAGCCATTGATGGCAGGTATAGTCCAAACACCATTGTGGTTGTTGATGTTCTTTAATGCCACCTTAAAATCCATGCTAAGCTCTAGAAGATGGTGGTACCAGTCTAGGTAGTATTCCAGTTGTAAGAAGGCAAATGTTCATCAACAAGCAAAGTCACAGTTAATCCTGTATCTGCCTCAGAGTTTAAATTCTAAAAAGATTCATACTTTAATTGATATAGGTGAACTGTCTGGTTATCTGGAGAGCAAGATGGTGGTCGTGTTTGTGTTGTTCTAGCCAATCTTTTCTTCTTCAGTTTCTCAGTCTCAGCATGGACTAGCTTGCCATTGATTTCAAACTGTAGGACACAGCCCTAACAAATGACAGAGCTGCTATTGCTACAAGTAGTGCCAGACCAGGCTGGTGCAAAAGTGCATAATCCTTTCATAACAGTCATGGAGTTTCAAGAATATTCTTGTAAAAAGGCCCAGCGTATGCTCAGTATGCTCCATATGCTCAATATGCTCATCGTACAACTCAGGCACGATGTCTTTGTAAATGAGAAGAATATCCCCATTCAAGATCTGGGTCAGCCTCTTTTCCAATTTTTCCCTAGACAGCGGCAGTGTCTCTGTGTCTAAGCTCCAACCATGCTCAAGGAACTCATAGCTCAGTCGATGACTATTTTGTCTCCATATAATAACAACTTCAACCACCGTCTTTGATCTTGTTTCATTCCCTTTGGTTAGAGCATTGATGAAGCTCTGCTGAACATCTGCATAAATGTAAACAAATTTCACTCTCTCATTGGGAACTCTGGTGTGCATGGCAAAATGCCTGAAGGAGTTTCTAGCTTCATCATGTTCATCCACCTTCTTGGTCACAAGGGCAACACACAGTTTTCTCTTCTTCATATTTGGCTCTACAGGACATAGCTCATCAAAAAAACTTTGTGATGAGAGACGCGGGAGTGCCAAATATTTGTAACTTGACAAAACCTCATCAATTGTTGATCTTGAAATATGCGGCATACTAATAGAAACTAGAGTGGAATCTGTAATTTCATTCCAAAGTAATAAGGTCTCTCTGTATTGGTCAATGTTGAAGCGCTTCAGTAGTTTGTCTACATCAGGGCCCATCATGTGAACATAGCCAAATGCAACCCGGTCTCGATAATAGAAAGCAGATGCTAAAATCATGAGGGATGGCTCTGCTCTAGAAGTGAAAACTACAGCTCTGACCTTATTGTCGTGCCAGCCTTTTAAGAAACTGTCAAACGTATCATTATTGATCATAGCTGCTGTTCCTGATGGGAAAAGATGCCTGCAAAACCTTCGTAAATTATTGAAAGAAATGCCATTTTCTTTGTAGAAGGCGACTATTCCAGACACAACACCATGTATATTTGGGGCTTCATGGATCCCGAGATGACTAGCCAGACCTGGAGAGCGCCTCAAGTTGACAGCTATAACACACATTCCTATCTTCTGCAGATCAGACATAAACTTAGAGACCAGTGGTTCCAGCTTCATACAGTTTAAACAAAAGTCTGAATATGCATACACAAAGCAAGGATTTCGATGAGAGCCTGGGTGTAGGACTGTTTCATAATGGCGCATTGTGGTCAGAAATTTTTCCAAACCACTACTCTCACTAGATCTACTACCAAAACCAAATCCACCGAAAAAGTCATTTTTAAAGCCACCTCCAGAACCTGGCCTTTGTTTCCGCGCAGCTGTGTAACCAAACTTGTCATATTCTGATCTGCGCTGTGGATTGCTTAACGTTTCATAAGCTTCATTAATTTTTATGAATTTATCAGTGGCAGATGGATCCTTATTTTTATCAGGGTGCCATTCTTTGGCAAGATTTTTGTATGCCTTTTTGATATCTTGACTGCTTGCACTCCTACTAACTCCTAGCACATCATATAAATCATCGGCCGCACATAAGATTACACCTAAACTGACAAAACACCATAAAAAAAGTCCAAACAACTTCATTTAAAATCTTTACCAAACCGAACGTCTAAGTGGAGATGTAGATTCTTGATCTAGTCTAGATTCAAGGCCTCAAATATCGTCTCTAGGTTCTGTGATTAATGTTTTTGACGTACTCATGTTTGCTATTCGTTTCCTTGATAATTAAAAATGAAGAAGGATATTAATCGAAAAAAATGTAATGAGAAGGATTTAAAATTTTGAATTAATTAAATTCACCAAACAAGCCCAAAATAATATTGTGCGTGTTTAATTTTTTTAAAGTATATAAATATAATTATTATTCTGTCTTTTAATATTTCATATAATCTAATTTTAAAGTATAAAAAAAGTCTATGTGTAATCATATTTAATTTTAGAAAAAAAATGTTTAAAAAAAAACGGCAAACGATAAAATTAAAGTTACATTCGTAAAAATTAAAGCCGCATGGGAACAATCGATTACATTCGTTTATATATTTTTTTAATCTAATATAAGCTGTTGAAAAGCCGTTTAGAATTATTTATGCTAATTACAGTATGCCGCGAATTCGCGACATCAGGTACTAATGGACTAAACAGTAAATTACAATTTCTTTTTAGTCCTGGACATTTTACTATTTTTTAACACGTTTTTCTTAACTCAGCTTCGCGTTTGTTTGTTTGTTTGGATGTTTGTTGTTAAAATTGACATCGAAAATTAGCCCACTTCTGATTGCTCTATAGATCTGAAATTTGGCATGCAGGCTACTTTTGCCTAACAATTTCAGATGCAATCATAAAAACTAGCAATTAGAGACCGTAATTAGCTTAATTTAATTACGCCCCAAGGACCATAAAATTGAGGACATGATTTCTAAAGATACCGACAAGACTGGAGGCCTATTGACACAGTTACTTCGGCCCCAATCGATGTGAGCGCGCTGGCCGTGATCGTATAGTGGTTAGTACTTCGCGTTGTGGCCGCGACAATCCAGGTTCGAATCCTGATAACGGCATGTAGGCTTAATTAAATTACGCCCCTTCTCTTTTTAAAGCGTATCGGTCGCTCAAGATTTTTAGTCCGTGTATTTAAAAACTCTTAGTCAAGTCATACTTAATCAAGTCATTAGATAAAGTAGAAAATAAACTATATAAAAAACTTTTTAAAAACCACGTTTTTCATGTGTAGCAACGGACTAAAAAGGAGAAAATAAAATACTTAAAAAAAACTTTTTAAAAAACCACGTTTTTCTTGTGGACTAAAAAGTAAAAAATAAATTTTTCTTTTGTGCTTCCTCGAGCTGTGCAGGTTCTTGTGATGACTGACAAAAAACGTGGGTCGGGCAGATGGGTCGGGAAATTTGATGGTGAACGTACCCACGTTTTTTGTCAGTCATCACAAGAACCTGCACAGCTCGAGGAAGCACAAAAGAAAAATTTATTTTTTACTTTTTAGTCCACAAGAAAAACGTGGTTTTTTAAAAAGTTTTTTTTAAGTATTTTATAGTGACATGTGTTTCTCTAAATATCCTCGCACAAGCAATAGAATATCACAAATTAAACATATTGACACGCAAGGAGATGTAGACTCACTTGTTAAATTAATGAAAACTATAGCTTTAGTTGCTCAGGCATAGAGTTACATAACTCTGCTGCACCTGCTCACTGTATACCTCTTATGAATGGGTACATTGAAACATTTCTATCGTGGTTCTACTACACTACAGTAACACACTACATATGAAAGGACTTCCTCAATGTGTACAGCCTTAGTTGTCCCTGGTTACGTCCATTTCGTGAACTCCTTTTCAAGGTCAACTAATAAAGACGCATATTTCTCATCTGACCTATATTTACTATACATAAAAAGCAAGTGAACAAATTACAGTGTTCAGCCGTTTTATATTCTTACATGCTCAATGCAGCTGCTGTGGGTACTTAGTGACCCTGTTGTGGGTAGGCCTACTCACTGTTGGTGGTAAACAATGTTTCTGATTTTTATAGTTCGTGCTACTGCTGTTGTACTCAAATGATACTACTATGTATTACCAATGAAAGTGCTGTAGCTACATATTGCCACGCTATGGTTACTCAGTGCTGAAACAGTGGGTACTGAGTGTTGAAACCTTGTGTACTGAGTGCTGAAGCTGTGGGTACTCACTGTTGAAGCTATGGGTACTCAGTGCTACGGCAGTCGGTTCTCAGTGTCATTGTTGTGGGTACTCAGTGCTGTCGCTGTTAGTGCTCGATAATATAATTTCATGGATTGATGAAATGCAATGTGGTAGGAAAAACACGGATATTTTTAATACTGCTTTTTATTTATTGTATCCACTGAACGTAATGTTTACTAATTATTATTTGTAATCAATAATAGTTTAGAAGCCGCTCCTAAATGTGCTGTATGTTTACTTTATCTTTAGGCTTGCGGACAAGCTGGGGGTATTTTAGTCGTTAACTAAATTGAATCAGACGCGTCCGCATGCACCCTGGATGGGTGCGATTTGTGCCCTGGGCTATCCTGTGAGCGCCATGGTGCATACATTCGTTTCCAACAGTGCGATAGATTATGGATAAGAAAGGATACTATAGTCTTTAACTAAATCGAATCCGGGCGTCCTCAGGTGCCTTGACAGTGTGCTATTTGGCGCCCCGGGCCTTCCCGTGAGCGCTATAGCGCATACGGTTGTTTTACACAGTACGATAGGGTATGGATAGACTATGAGTTAGAAAGATTTGACCACTAACCAACGGACAAACTTTAGAAAAATAGGGTAAATTAAATTTACGATAATAATAAAAAGGAATCATTGTAATATTGATAGTACAAACAATTTCCTTTAAACTTTTCCTCTTAAATTTTCTCTAGCACTGGCCGCTGGGCAGCAGCTAGCCAATCAAAACGTCACCATCATCGTGGTCGGCATAGGCAAAACACCAGAGAAGGAACTTGCTATTCTGGCAGGCGACTCGAACTATTTCAGAGCGACAAGTTACCAGGACTTGATGGAGCTGAGGAAAAGTGTCTCTGTGAGAATCTGTCAGGGTAAGGCTTTGTGTCTGTGTATTGGGGAATCAATCAATCAATATTCCCTTACGCCATCTCTCCCCCCCCCCCCCCCCCCCACTCCCCAAAAGGTCGTAAACCATCTCAAACCATCTTAGTTGCTTGGCTTTGTCCAGGCTCAGCAAGTTCTCAAATGGATCAATCACACTAGTCAACCTTTCAGGGGAATATGGGGGAATATTCAATTTAATTTTAGCTTAATTAATTTATTCAATAACGGTAACAACAATAGTCCGGGAGGCCGTTTAAAAAAATAAAAAAAATAATATACGGTTGATAACTCACATTGATGACTGTAATTGTAAAATATAATTTGAAATGTTATTTTCATTATGTGTGAAATAAGATGATAGAGTTGGTATGGCGATTTAATAAACATTAATTAAACACATTGTAAATTTTCTAACCCGATTATTAAAAAGAATTACCTCTTTGCTTTTTGTGTACTAGGTACAAGTCCAGCTGTAACTACGGCATCAACGACATTAACTACCCCAACCACTACCCCAACCACACCAACGACAACAACCACACCAACTACCACTACTACCACACCTACCACAACTACAACAGTAACAACTACTACAACAAAAGGTAAGACGCTTTAATAGTCACTATAGTTCACTAAACAAATCTACTTTTAATCTAACTATTCTCGACCTACATTTTCACATTGAAGTTTTACTTGATAAAACTTAGATTAAATATACTGAAAATTTCTTATTTTGTTATAATGTTACCTCTATTTCACCGTTACACCGTCAGTTTTGTTTGTAAAAATATTGGTACGCCTTAAATCAACTTTCGCCAACCCCCAGCCCCCATCCCCGTGTGCAAGGCTTTGGCCGACATTATCCTAGTAATGGACGAATCCGGATCGATTGGGGAATTAAACTTCGAGAAACAGCTCAGGTTTACGGCACAACTGGTCAGCAACTTTAAGATAGGACCTAACGACGTACGGTTCGGCAGTGTCGTGTTCAGCACGTTCACTCGAAAAGCTTTTGACCTGAAGAGTTTTTCTACGGTCGATACACTCAAAAAGGTATCCTTTATGTTTTTAGTCGAACATAGTTCACTTTTAAAACAAAATTTGTCATTAATCTGACATCGATTAACGACACCAATTTTTTAAAAAAAAGTAGTTTGTCGATTATCGAAGCGATATAATTTTAAAAAATATATCCTTGATTAATGCCCGAATTAAGTTTTTAATAACTGGAATGTAGATATTTCTTTAACGAATAATATCTATTTTCAAACAAAAGCTGTTTCACAAAACACCTAGCATTTCGTTCATATGCGACTGGGCATAGTGCTGACAACACCATCCCTTCAAATGCCGAGGTCTTTGATAAAGATTAACTCTACTTCTACTGCCCCATATGCCATGGGCACGAACGGAAAAAGATGATAATATCATAGCAGAGCACGAAGTTCGAAGGTTTTAAGCATTAAAGTCATCCATTCTAGCAGTGGCGTAGCGAGGTCGGGTGTCACCCGGTGCGGCACTTAATGGTGTCACCCCCCCCCCCCCCCAGAGGCGTTGCGACCCTTCCCGGGGACAAACTTTCAAGTTTTCGATTTGCACCCCCCTCTCAAACTTTCGATTTGCACCCCCCCCTCAAGTTTTCGATTTGCACCCCCCCTCAAACTTTCAATTTGCACCCCCCCTCAAGTTTTTCTCTATATATTTTGCTATTTTTTTGCCTTGGTGTCACCCCCCTAAATGGTGTCACCCGGTGCGGTCCGCACCCCCCGCCCCCCCCCCCCTCGCTACGCCCCTGCATTCTAGACATATTCTACCAATTCATCACTGACATAAAAACTGTTGAAATGTTTTACAGGCCATACTGGAGACAGCCTACCTGGGTGGTAGAACCAGGACACACCTGGCCCTTAGACTGGTCAGGGAAATGAACATGTTTGATGTCGCCTACGGTGGGAGGCCTAACGCAGCCAAGGTTGTCATTCTATTGACGGATGGGGCATCTAACGAACCTGACGAAAGTAGGTTTCAAATATAATTATTTACTCTAACGATCCAGGCGATAGTAGGTTTCAAATTATTCTAATGAAACAGACAAAAAGTGGGTTTCAAATAAAATAATTTATTCTAATGAAACAGACAAAAAGTAGGTTTCAAATGAAATTATTTACTCTAGCAAATCTGGCGAAAGTAGGTTTAAATAGGATATAATTTATTTTAATGAAACAGACAAAAGTAGGTTTCAAATAAAATAATTTATTCTATTGAAAATTGTCATTCTAATGATCAATAGGGCATCTACAAAATGACTCTACAATAAATATTCGATTTTATTGTCAAAATAAATAATAAAAAGCAATTTTTAGCTAAAGAAAACGGTAGACTAAATCATCAGGTATCTTTACATGTTAACCTATTAAGTTCAACATTTTGTGAGTTTGATCAAATGTTTTCCTAATACAGAAGTTAAAAGAAAACATTATAAAATTTGAATTTAATGATTGAATTTTCTTTAGCTCTGAAAGCTGCAGAAGAGCTTAAGCGAATTGGCGTGACAATCATCACAATCGGCATAGGAGTAACAGTTGACAAGGAGCTAAAGGCAGTGGCCAGCAAGGATAGTGACGCCTTCATGGCCGCTAGCTACGACTCAATTGGTCTCATTGAGGGGGAGGTCACACGAAAAACGTGCAATGGTAACATTTTACACACACAGATTTTTGAATAAGTAGACAATTGTACAAACATATTGTTTTGATATGAATAAGTACACAATTTTAATTTTACTAACAGATTTCTGAATAAGTAGACAATAGAACACACATAATGTTTTGATGTGAATAAGTAAACAATTTTAATTTTACTAACAGATTTCTGAATAAGTAGACAGTTGTACAAACATAATGTTTTGATAGGTATAAGTAAACAATTATAATTTTAGACACACATATTTCTGAATAAGTAGATAATTATACAAACATAATGTTTTGAGAGGAATAAGTAAACAATTTTAATTTTACACAAAGATTTCTAAATAAGTAGACAATTGTACAAACATTTTTTAATTGAGTAAACAATTATAAATAAGTTTACACGGATAGATTTTTTAATTTGAATAATTAAATTTTTCACTTACGTTATTTTGGGATGAATAAGTAAACAACTTTAATTCTACACACAGAATTTTCAGATTAAGTAAAAAAATTTACACACTTTTATTTTTGGTGAATAAGTGATGATTTTAATGGGACATAACTGTTTTAGATCTAAATGGTGATGAGATGTTTAAGACACATTATTGTTTCTGCACTGTAAATAAGAAATATATTTGTTATATTTGTTATTTTCAGAAATTGTAACTGTTACGCCTACGATACCCAGCACTACTACAACGATAGGTAAAAAATATAAGGGGAAGCTACTGTGAGGTTATCCAGACCAAAGTATAGGGTTGGGTGTGATGGTTGGTGTCAGAGTTTCTTCGAGGCATCTCTTCGGGGGGGGGGGGGGGGGGGGGGGGCTTTCCCCCCCTAAAATTTTTTACCCCCCCCCCCCCCCCCCGAACGAAATGAAATCTGTATAATTTATATAGAAAATATATACTTTGAACAGTGTCCCCCCCCCCCCCGAAGAAAGTTTACCGCCCCCCCTCCCCCGAAAATTTCAAGTGCCCCATCGGAGAAAAAAGTCTGGAAGAAACACTGGTTGGTGTGATGTTAAAGCCAGAGGCGTAGCGAAGGGGCGGGGGTACATATATCCCCGGGCGCCGACCCTAGGTGCGCCAAAATGGGTCGGACAAAAATTAAAAGCTCATTTTTGTTGCAGTTTTGAATTATAAACATAAAAAATATACCGGGGGGGGGGGCCGCCTAATTGAAAGCTTGTATCCGGGCGCCGGGAGGGGTCGCTCCGCCTCTGGTTAAAGCCATCATATGCGGCTAATTAGTTCTAGCTGTAATATAAGTTTAGTGAAAGTGAAGTGATACAATTCATGCAAGCTAATAAACATTTCTAATTCATCACAGCTAATTAATTTTTTGTAACCCAATTCACACTTCGTAATACTTGTACACTGTATCGCTGTTTATAGGTGCTGCTAATATAAATTAATTCTATATACTATGGACATTTTTCCCCCTCTTAACCCTTAACCCCCCTCTCTAACACAGCAACCGCACCCCCTGCCACTAAATGCCCACCCAACACCCTCGCCGACCTGATCCTAGTCATGGATTCCTCTGGAAGTATCGGGGCAGACAATTGGCCAAAGTTGCTCAAGTTCGCCGTGGACATCACCAAACTCTTCACCATCGGCCCTAAAGACATCAGGGTGGGAGCACTGACCTTCAGCCACGACATCAGGAAACTCTTTGACCTCAACACATTCTCAAACTCTGCTGACATGGAATACGTAAGCCGCCGAGATGGTTGGGATCCATAGTTATCTATTTACCTGAGAAATTACGACGCTAATGGGTTTACGTTAAAACATGGAACAGGTTTTCTACAACACAATTAGTCTATTCTGTTATAGAATATTTTTTTTCATTGTATCAGCATTTTCAATAATTTCCGCGGTTGGTTAAATGTAACAATGATAAAAATCAACCAAAACAAAATAAAAACAATCAAAATCCATATATCTTAAACAGAGCAACAACAACACATAATCTCTTGAATTCTCCGTCTACTGCTATGATTGCCAATTCAACCGATATGATAAGCATCATCTTCCTTTCACTTTCGTGCGCAATACACATGAGCAGATGAAGTAGAGTTAATCTGTTTTATGAGGATAGTATGATCAGCACTATGCCCAGCCGCCTAAGCTTCTTTAACGTGAGTCAAAGACCCATCAGAGCTGGGTGGAGTCAGCGACTCTCTATATGCGTCAGATTAACGAACTTCAGAATTTTGTTCTAGCAGCCCTAAACTCTAACTTTCAAACACGCCATCCCTACCCACTATAATAAAATCACAAAAATATTCATGTACTGCATTAAAAAGAAATTGTAATTTATTTTTAAGAAGTACGTTCATTCATTAATTTTGGATCAACTGATTAAAGATGACATCCTGTTCCAGGTGTTGACCTCCGCACAGTTCCTGAACTCTGACACCCAGACCCACAAGGCTCTAGACTTCATCAGCAACACCTACATGTTTTCTGCACAGCGAGGGGGGCGAGATAACGCCAAACACGTGGTGTTGTTGCTCACTGATGGCGTGTCGACCGTACAGGATGAGAGTGAGTACATACAGTAGTTCATCGTTATAGTGTGAGTACAGTGTGTAGGGTGTGTGGGGTGTGTAGGGTGTGTAGGGTGTGTGTAGGATGTGTAGGGTGTGTGGGGTGTGTAGGGTGTGTGGGATGTGTAGGGTGTGTAGGGTGTGTAGGGTGTGTGTGGGGTGTGTAGGGTGTGTAGGGTGTGTAGGGTGTGTAGGGTGTGTGGGGTGTGTAGGGTGTGTGGGGTGTGTAGGGTGTGTGGGGTGTGTAGGGTGTGTGGGGTGTGTAGGGTGTGTGGGGTGTGTAGGGTGAGTTGGATGTGTAGGGTGTGTGGGGTGTGTAGGGTGTGTGGGGTGTGTGGGGTGTGTAGGGTGAGTTGGATGTGTAGGGTGTGTGTGGGATGTGTAGGGTGTGTGGGGTGTGTGGGGTGTGTAGGGTGAGTTGGATGTGTAGGGTGTGTGGGGTGTGTAGGGTGTGTAGGGTGTGTGGGGTGTGTAGGGTGAGTTGGATGTGTAGGGTGTGTGGGGTGTGTAGGGTGTGTGGGGTGTGTAGGGTGTGTGGGGTGTGTAGGGTGTGTAGGGTGTGTGGGGTGTGTAGGGTGTGTGGGGTGTGTAGGGTGTGTGGGGTGTGTAGGGTGTGTGGGGTATGTCGGGTGTCTGGGGTGTGTAGAGTGTGGGGTGTGTAGGGTGTGGGGTGTGTTGGGTGTGTGGGGTGTGTAGGGTGTGTAGGGTGAGCAGGGTGTGTAGGATGTGTAGGGTGAGCAGGGTGTGTAGGGTGTGTAGGGTGAGTAGGGTGTGTGTGTAAGGTGTGTAGGATGAGCAGGGTGTGTGGGGTGTGTAGGGTCAGTCCTAGATCAGGTACACGTGTCCGTGTGAGACAGACAGGTGACGTCACGTGGTGAGTACATCCAGAATTTACCCCAGTAGGTGTGAGTAGATTGTAGCTCAGGTAATGGTTTATGTGTGGGTCAGACTTACACAATGAAAGAACAAATAATCGAGGATTAACCAAATAAATACATTATCATTTAACAAGTTAGGATTATCCAATCTAACATCTCTACATGATTTTGGTTTGATTTAGCTATTCTTACTCCTCTACATGATCCCGATTAGGATTAACTACACTAACACCGGCTACTGATTCCAGTTCTAATACTTTCCTTATCTTTAAGATCATTACCTGCCTATATCTGTAAAAATCTCGTTTCCCTCTAAACAGCTCTCAGTGCCGCCCAAGCATTGAAAGACGATGGTGCCATCATCATCGCTGTCGGTATTGGTGACCAGATATCTCTGGCAGAGCTCAATGAGGTGGCCAGCTCGCCCAGAGATGTTGTACTGACCACAGGCTACGATAGTTTGAACTTCATCAAAAAAACTGTTGTAGAGTTGGTATGCAATGGTGGGTGTATGTTATTGACTTATCTCTATAGTGGTATAGGTTCTTCGTCTATTTCTATAGTGGGTGTATGTTATTGACTTATCTCTATAGTGGTATAGGTTCTTCGTCTATTTCTATAGTTGGTGTATGTTATTGACTTATCTCTATAGTAGGTATATGTTCAAGACTATCTCTATGGTGGGTATATTTGATTGATGTATCTCAATTTGATTGGTTTATATCAATGCAGGGTATATTTGACTGATTTATATCAGTGATGGGTACATTTGAGTTATATTGGTAGAGCCGATAGATTTATTCCCACACATTAACATAACTAAGTAGATCGCAGTTACATGGTAAAGTATTTGACTTAACTGGGTAGATCGCAGTTATATGAGAATGTATATGACTTAACTGGGTAAATCGCAGGTACATGAGAACAGGGGCGTAGCGAGGGGGGGGGGGGGCGGGGGGTGCGGACCGCACCGGGTGACACCATTTAGGGGGGTGACACCAAGGCAAAAAATAGCAAAATATATAGAGAAAAACTCGAGGGGGGGTGCAAATCGAAAGTTTGAGGGGGGGGGGGGGGGGTGCAAATCGAAAATTTGAAAGTTTGTCCCTGGGAAGGGTCTCTATGCCTCTGGGGGGGGGGGGGGGGGTGACACCATTAAGTGCCGCACCGGGTAACATCCGACCTCGCTACGCCACTGCATGAGAATGTATTTGACTTAACTGGGTAGATCACAGTTATATGAGCATGTATTTGACTTAACTGGGTTGATCACAGTTATATGAGAATGTATTTGACTTAACGACCTTCTATATGGAGCCAGGTCACAGTATCATCTGATCTCTTATTTTTCTGTCTATGACACATCCCCAGGGCAAGACAAAGATTTGCTAATCACAACCACTACAGTCATCACGACAAAAGGTGTGTACTCTCTAGTAACATGTGTACAAAACTCTCTAGTAACATGTGTACAAAACTCTCTAGTAAAATGTGTACATAACTCTCTAGTAACGTGTACAAAACTCTCTAACAACATGTGTACATAACTCTATTAACGTGTGTACAAAACCTACAACATTTTATTGTATCTAAGAGAAAAAAAAAACCATACTTAACATGAAGGAGAAATGTTGCTTAAAATTAAGTAGAAAATTGTTTAGCTCTATTTAGTTTCATGTGGTATCAAAATAAACAAATGCGTCATTATAAATACATATACTATATATATATATATATATATATATATATATATATATATATATATATATATATATATATATATATATATATATATATATATATATATAGAGAGAGAGAGAGAGAGAGAGAGAGAGAGAGAAAGAGAGAGAGAGATAGAGAGAGAGAGAGAGAGAGATAGAGAGAGAGAGAGACAGAGAGAAGGAGAGAAAGATACCAATATTTTCTCTATCCCTATATTTATTCTATCCCCACCCCTAGACCCCATCGGTATGACCCCAAGCCCTGCACCATGTACAAGCACCTCAAAAGCTGACGTCATCTTTATCCTGGACTTCCCCGAGAGTATTGGCATCAAGAACTGGCGGAAGCAGCTCCAGTTTGTGGCGGATATGACGAAACAGTTCACCATCGGACCTGCAGCCCTCAGGTTTGGGGTTGTCATCAACAACTTCAGCCCGCTCAAGTTATTCGACCTCAACAGCTACACGCTGAGTTCCGAACAGGTTGGGTTTTTCGTGTTTGTTTGTGTTTGTGTGTTTCCGTGACACTTTTACACAGTTAGGTGCATAGTTTCACAAAGCAGTTTGGTACAAAGTTTCACAAATCAGTTTGGTACAAATTTTCACAAAGCAATCTAGTATTTAGTTTAACAAAGATCTTTGGTACATGCTTTCACAAAGCACTCTAGTAGTAGTACAAAATTTCACAATGCTGTGGTACTTCTTAAACTGAAACTAATATTTCAGAAATTCTAATTACATATTCAAAAATTTATTTTAGAGGACCTCTAAGTATTTTCTTAAACCTAGTAAAGAGGAAGCTAATCGAACTTATTCAGATATCGATCTTCAACATAAACATGATAGTTATTGCTTATTTTTTATTTACTGAATAAACATTTCCATTCATCATACTGTCTCTGTAATGTTTCAGGCGCTAGATTCTATAATACTCATGTCTTTCATGAACTAACTCTAGAACTCAAATGTTTCAGGCGCTAGTCTCTACAATGTTCATGTCCTCATGATCTAACTCTGGAACGCAAGTGTTTCAGGTGCTAAGTGCTCATGTCGTCACTGAACTAACTCTAGAACTCAAATGTTTCAGGCGCTAGTCTCTACAATGCTAATGTCGTCACTGAAGTACACAGACAAGGCCTTAAACTTTGTCCAAACCCAGAAGATGTTCAGCCCGATTTCCGGGGGTCGGGATTCGGCCCCAGACATTGTTGTGTTGATAACAGAGGGTACCTCGAACTCGGTTGGGAACAGTGAGTGCATTTCTTCGTCACACACAGCTGTCTGCATGTGCGTTTATCACTTTACTAGCATGGTGATTTGTTTCTCAGCATTTGGTACTAACATGTCTCGAGATATCATGTGAAATACTAAAATATCTCGAGATATCACGTAAGACACTAAAACAGTACCCCCCCCCTCCCCCAACCAAAAGCTAATCTGCACAAGACGTACATAATCCCAAAACTGCTAATTTGTACTTGACATTCATGACCCCACTGCTGCTAATCTGTACATGACATTCATGACCCCACCACTGCTAATCTGTACATGACATTCATGACCCCACACTGCTAAGCTGTACTTGACATTCATGACCCCACACTGCTAATCTGTACATGACATTCATGACCCCACACTGCTAATCTGTACATGACATTCATGACCCCACACTGCTAATCTGTACATGACATTCATGACCCCACACTGCTAATCTGTACCTGACAATGTTGTCACCTCTCTCCTATCTGCAGCCATCAGCGCCGCGAAGAACCTCAAGTCCAGCGGCGTGTCCATCATCACAGTGGGGGTGGGTGGTAATCTTGCCGTGGACGTGCTTCAGACCTTGGCCAGCAGCCGCGCGGACGTCGTGGTGGCCTCCAGCTTCGACACGCTGGGCAGCGTCCAGAGGAAGCTGGTGGACCTCATCTGTAGCAGTGAGTAGACTGTGGTTTTAGCGATGTTTGTTTCATTACTAGAGATGTTAAGTGTTGTCTATGCTATCTGTAGCAATAAGTAGACGGGGCTTGTAGCGATGTTTGTTTCATTACTAGAGCTGTTATGTAACGTGTTGTCTATGCTATCTGCAGCAGTGGGCAGTTGATGCTTCTAGCAGAAGCTTAGATACAGGCGATGTTTGTTTCATTACTAGAGCTGTCATGTAAAGTGTTGTCTATGCTATCTGCAGCAGTGGGCAGTTGATGCTTCTAGCAGAGGGTTAGATACAGGCGATGTTTGTTTCATTGCAAGAGCTGTTATGTAACGTGTTGTCTATGCTAGCTGTAGCAGTACGTAGACGGTGCTTCTAGCGATGTTTGTTTCATTACTAGAGCTGTTCTGTAAAGTGTTGTCTATGCTATCTGCAGCAGTGGGCAGTTGATGCTTCTAGCAGAAGTTTAGATACAGGCGATATTTGTTTCATTACTAGAGCTGTTTATATGTAAGGTATTGTCCATAACAACAGCAGCTATGTGGAGAAAGGGGGCCTGACACAAGGGCACCCCTCCCCCCTCAAGTTAGAATCCTAACTCTAACTCAATTTCTATACCTATATATTACCTTAATCGTGACCTTAAGAAAAAGATCAAATCCTAAGCATTCACTTTAGCCTAAAACTTAACACAAATCAAAACCTACTCTAGACAATGGTTTAAGCCTGACCCTGACCATAACACTAACTTAATCCTAACCCTAAATCTAGCCCTAACCCTAACCTTAACCCCCTCTAACCCTAATCCTAGCTGAACCTTAAGCTGTGTCGGAGGGGGGGTATTGTCCTACTGGGCGGGGGGTAATTGACAGGGGGTAATTTCTCCGGAAGTAATGTCGGGGGGGGGGGGAGAAATGTCCGGGGGGTAATTGACGGGGAGGGGGGTAATGCCCTGTTCCCCCTAAATTTGCGCCTTGATTTACTTCTGGCATCATCTAGACGTCTAGACATCTATGTAGCAATGTATTTATGTTCGAACATAATGGTACACAGCTGTGGGGAGTATGTGTTCAGACTGTGGAGGCTATGTGATACATGTTAGAGGGTGCTTACAAATTATGAGGCAGCACTCCTTAAAATATTTTCTCTAAAAATAACAATGATGATAAACAGGATAAAAGTCGTAAGGGTTTATTTCCCCTGAAAAGGGTTATTGGGTGGAATTCTGAAGTTATTTTTAGGACGTTTGATGATAGAGTTCAGGCTAGTTGTTATCTAAGATAGAGTGACGTCACTTATGGACGACACCCCCCCCCCCCTCTACTTTGATGACATGCTACCCAGAGCGAGCTTAGTGCTTGCGCAAAGTTTGCTTTAACAAGATACAATCTGTTTCAATTTTGTGTTTTAAAACAAACAAAATAAACTCACAGCTGATTAAATTGTGTGTGTAATATTTTTACATAATTAAATATATATTCTTTTATACTTTCAGAAGCCAGCAATTAATAACAGCTGAATTTGTTTTGATCAACAGTTTTAATGTTCACTAAAAAAAAAAGATAATAAAATATAAGAAATTATATTAAAAATTCTCGTGTTGTGTTTTATTCTTCAGTATAAAATAAACACCAGTAAACCACTGATTTCTGTTACCCCACTACGTTCATAAGTTGATGGTATGACAAACAAAATAATGGTTGTAGGGGCGATCTATATAAAAATGTCCCTAATCTGTCTGTCAAGAACGCTTTAGAGAAAACAAAAGGAAATTAAAAACTTGCACGGGGAGCATATATCAATTTAGCAGCTATTTGCATGAATGAGGTTTAGCGGCCAAAAGTAGAAAACGGGTCTTGATTAAAGATGTATGGTCTACCTTTAGTCTTTTTTATCTATAAATGCGACCTGTGTTTCTTTCAGACTTTTTCCTCCGGGGATGGGGCACTTGAAATTTTCGGTGAGTGGGGGGGGGGGGGGGGGGGTCGGACACTGGTAAAAGTATATAGTCTTACTTTCTATATAAATTCTATCTCGACCGAGAGGGCGGGAGACGTTCTTCGGGATAATACGCGTCATTGATTGCTGGGAAAAATAGAAAACAAAAAATAGAATTAGAAATCGACTCGCGAAAACGATACACACTAGTATTGATGATATAAAAAAGAAATAAACTCATAGCTTAATTTTCTAATTTTAGAAGTTTTAAACAATACCAGAAATATATATATATATATATATATATATATATATATATATATATATATATATATATATATATATATATATATATAATTAATAGTTTCGCTGTCTGTCTATCTATCTATCTATCTGTCTGACAAGAACGCTCTAGAGAAAACACAAGGAAAATAAAAACATGCATAGTAATTCGAAAAACGAAGTATGACGTCGACACATTTAGCGCACAGAGTAGAAAATAATCTCAAGCCGGATAGTGCACACATTGATATGACGTCATTGATTTGGTCTAATTTGGTCTAATCTAAGTGGTTTGCGTGAAGTTTCTTTCATACAATTCTTCGGGTAGGGGCGAAGCCCCACCCCCGCGTAAGAACGTCTGAGCCCCCCCCCCCTCTCCCCAACTCAAAAGAAATTTCCTCATCGATACTCTATAATAAAATTACCGCCTAATTAATGTGTCTAATCTAAAAAGTGGTTTTCTTGCAATTTCTTTAATGCAATTCTTCGCGTAGTGGCTATGCGCGACACCAGTGTTTCTTTCAGACTTTTTCCTCCACAGAGAGGGGTGAGGGTACTTGAAATTTTCGGGGGCGGGGGTAGAATTTTCGGGGAGGGGGCGGACACTGGAAAAAGTAAATAATTATATTTCGTTGAATGGGACGGTAGACATGTTTTTAGGGGGGGGGGTGTGGGGGGGTGTGTCGGTGGGTGGGGGGTGGTGTGTGGGGGTGGGGGGTGGGGGGCGGTGTGTGTGGGGGTGGGGGGTGTGTGGGGGGGGGGGGTGGGGGGCGGTGTGTGTGGGGGTGGGGGGTGGGTGGGGGGGGGGGGTGGGGTTGGGGGGTGGGGGGGGGTGGTTTTAGTTTAGAGAAAAGAGACAGCACTATCAGCCTAGCGCCCGGTGTATCCTTCCTCAACGGGCCATTTTTCTCGTATATATAATAGTTTCGCTGTCTGTGTATATATGTATGTATCTATCTGACAAGAACGCTCTAGAGAAAACACAAGGAAATTAAAAACATGCATAGTATTTCGAAAAACGAAGTATGACGTCGTCACATTTACCATAGAGTAGAAAATAATCTCCAGCCGGAGAGTGCACACAGTAATATGACGTCATTGATTCTCGAGTAAACATTGAATAAACAGTAAATTTTGTCTAATCTAAGTGGTTTGCGTGAAGAGTTTCTTTCATACAATTCTTCGGGTAGGGGCGAAGCCCCACCCCCGCGTAAGAACGTCTGAGCCCCTCCCCCCCCACCCCAACTCAAAAGAAATTTCTTCATCGATACTCTATAATAAAATTACCGCCTAATTAATGTGTCTAATCTAAAAAGTGGTTTTCTTGCAATTTCTTTAATGCAATTCTTCGGGTAGTGGCTAAGCGCAACACCAGTGTTTCTTTCAGACTTTTTCCTCCCCGGAGAGGGGTGGGGGTACTTGAAATTTTCGGGGGCGGGGGTAGAATTTTCGGGGAGGGGGCGGGCACTGGAAAAAGTATATAATTATATTTCGTTGAATGGGACGGTAGACATGTTTTTTTTTTTGGGGGGGGGGGGGGGGTTGGGGGGGTTCTGGGGTGGTTTTAGTTTAGAGAAAAGAGACAGCACTATCAGCCTAGCGCCCGTTGTATCCTTCCTCAACGGGCCATTTTTCTCGTATATATATAATAAGCGTTGGTATCAGGATCACGGTTAGAAGTTATTAGGTGTTTTATCTCAAGTTAAATTTGAAGTCGATGTGGTGATTTTGGTTTTGAGAAATAGAAAACACTATCAACATAGTACCCTTGAAGCGCCATTAAAGAATGAACTTGCTTATCTTTATTTTCTGTAATTTAAATATTACAATATTTTCGTAATTTACATATAGTCAAGTTTTAATTATTTTAAAAAGTAATATGCAAATAAACTGTATTGTAAAAAATAAATATTTAACATTTACTATGCTAAGAGAATAAAAAAAATAAAATTAGTGTTTTTATTTTTATTTTGTCTAACACTTTATTACAATTAGGACTAGATTCTAATTAGTCTCCCATTGTATTACTTATTTTTAAGAATATACACGGAAGGTAAGAGAGGTAGCTTAGAATCAGTAAAGTCTAAGGGAGATGATAATGGTCTGCCATTTATAGTATTGATGCCAGAGCTGGATAAATTAGTTAAAGATGATTCACTCATAACATCTGGTTCTTCATCCAGTGGTAACGTGTGATGCATGCCAAGAGATATCTGCTCCAGCTTTTCTTGTTTTGATTGAGATGGATTGTGTTTAGGTGTGTTGACCACGCTGTAAATGTTATCACCTCCTGAAGCTTCACTTAACCCAGTGTCCTCCTTTACTTTACCGATGTGGAGGGCTGGTCCTAACTTAGATGCCAGCTCAATCAGCTCAGGATCTGTTTCTTTACCAGAGCTTCTATTCAGAGTAACAAGAGCATCAAACTGTGTCAGTAAATGACTAGCTTTTCGTCTGTCTCCCTTGTTAAATAGTAAAACTGCATAATTCACCAGTAGAGCTGGGTCTTTATCATCAATTTTAAGAGCATGTTCATGAGCTTGTGTTGCATCTTCTGCATCATTCAGATGAGTCATAGAGGCCAGTTAAAAAAGCACCTTGCTTAATAGCTGAGATTGTCCACGATCGTAATTATTGTCATGGGCTAAGCTCGTTTTTCTACATCCACTATAAATGATCACGAATTTCTATATTAAAGCATCCTGAATATGATGTAGAATTAGTGTCTCATTAAGTTAACACTGCTTTTAAAAAGGAAACCAGCTCGTAAAATTTGATATTGCAATAGATAAAGCTTTTAATTTATATAACATACCCATCTAATAGAGTAATTTAGCCCAAAGTTTTCTTCCTTGGCTATAGTTAACGTTTCTAAAGATTTACATGGGAAGTAATGCAGTGAAACTACACAACAATGTCAGCTTTAGTACATAACGTTGGTTATCTCCCTCTACTCTTGTTTGTTACTTAACACAAAGTTTCAATATAATTTTTATACATTAATAGATAAAAATGCAAATGAAAAAGAAAAAATCAAGACACGCAAAGAAATAATAATAAAAAAACCAACAAAAGCATACTAAAAGGCTTATACGAATTGATGTATTTGGACCTATTTCAATATATTGGACACTCTGTCTATTGGGTTGTATAAAATAAGTCGTGTTTTGGCGCAAAAAAAAAAAAAAAGAAGAAAAAAAAAAGCAAAATTGGCGCTTAACATGTTGACACTTAATGCTTGATTGTGTTGGAGGTAATCCCGTTACACATTGCAATTAAGTACGAGTAGGATCGTGCTTTGATAGGTGGGTTTAAAAAGTTTGCTACACATTAGTGGTAGTTGTACGTTCACATTGCCATAGGGCAGTGGGATTTAAAAAAAAAAGAAAACAAAGATTTCTTATAATTTTTTTTTACCCAACCCAATGTCAGAGTTTTGAAATTGGCGTTGTTACTTGTAAAGATCTTTAATACATATAGAGAAGCCTATGATTTGTACTGTTTTAAAAAAAAAGTTTGGAATGTTTTGAATTAAATTGTTTAGGAAAGATTTATGGAGTTTTTTTTAGAATTGTTAGGAAGACTTTAAAATATTTAAAACGTATAGGAAAGGTTTGTTGGAGTGAATTAAAATGTTTAGAGATGCTTGGAAGTATTTAAAATGTCTAGGAAAACTTTGTTGCAGTGATTAAAATGTTTTTAGTACTTTTACTAAATGCTAGTCAAATAGTGTGTGAAACGGGGAGGGTGTGGGCTGGTGAGATGACGCATCACGTGATTTATAACAACCAATCGTTCTGACCACACCTTGTATTCAACAGTCAAGCACCCCCCTCCCCGAACGAGATGGTACTCATATAGAAAATATATACTTTTAACTGTGTCCGCCCCCCCCCCCCCGGAAATTTCAAGCACCCCCCCACCCCCCGAGAAAAAAGTCTGGAAACATTGGTCAAGCGAAGGTGGATACTATGTACAGACAACTGCAGGTTGAGGGCCTTAAATCCCGACCAATTAACTCTAGTTATTGCCGCCCTGAAGGTCCCACCCCCCACCACTACATATCAATTAGCAGGTTAACAATTACCCCCAGGGTAGTCATTCCACTCTCGCCTTACCATCATGCACATAACAATAAAAAAAATACGGCATTTTATACAATGTCTGCAATGGGGAATTTTATATTTTGCCTCGGCAATCTATAGAATGCCTAACGGCAACTGTAAAACTGTAGAATAAGCTTTTTCTGTAAAGAATATTTTCTTAACTCCAACGCTTTCCTTTACCTTAATCTCTACACTATTTACAGTAAGAGTTAGGTTTATTGTTAGGTAAAGCTTAGAGCACTTTATAAATTGATAGCTAATGGAAGAGAGTAGTGCCGTATTTTTTGTGTTTGTGCAGGGAAGAGTTGGGGTAGTGGTGACTGACTTGTGAAATATATAGAATTGTAATAAGAAACGTAATGTCTAATGGTAAATGAATGTGGAGTAAATGACATAAGTTTGTGTCCCACTCAAACGCTGTGTGTCCATTGCGCTGAAACACATCAGATTATACGGCTAATGAGACTGATCCTGACCTAGCTAATTAACAAAAATCGAAAGTTTAATTAGGTTACTTAATTACATTCAGGCTTTTCGCAACACTTTGTTCAGCCCACATTTAAAAAAAATCTTATACTACTGTAAAATTCGACTTTATATAGACTACGAATAAAATTCAAATTAATTTTACATATGTAAATAACTTTCCTATACATCCGATCACCTACTTAAGTAAAGGGTTATTAATATTGTATTAATTACTAAATAACAAAACAAATGGAATATGTTTAATGCCATTATCTCAAAACTTGAGAGAACTTCAGTTTTACGGTAGAGTTGAAAAAAGTGAAGTCAGACACACTTCACCTTAACACATCTATACACAGCTGACATACGGTACGGGTGAGTAACTGGCTGTAGACATCACCATTCACGTTTACTCACCATAAACAATTACAACTCTCTTACATATTACATACTTAGTTTCAAAGTTTTTTTTTTATGTTTACATTTTTTAAAATTTAAACACTAACATTATGGTTGAGATAATTAAAATTAATATTATTAAATCAACTTTTATAATATTTTGATTTAGATAAACAGACTTATGTATACTTTTTATGCTTGTGTTTGCTTACATGTGTGTTGGTAGAACCAGATTTTATTATCGTTAAATAATTTTATCCTAGGGTTTTATAATAGGCGTATTTTTCTCTAAGATCTCATCACACATTCTCTACATTCAACATCACTCTTTGTATTTTTCTCAAAGATGCCACCAATCATTCTCTACTTATGGGTCATCCATATATGAAGTCACGCTTTTTTGGACGATTTTTACCTCCCCCTCCCACCCCTCCGTCACACGTCGTCACAAAAAGCCAGACCCCCCCCTAAAATGACGTCACACCTCAGCCTACAACCCCCCCCCCCCCCTCAAAACTACAGTTGAATTTTTTTTTAACATCGATATTTTTCCAAAATCTTGTCTGAAATATGTCAAAATAGAGTATTTTAATCATTTCCTATTATAATTTATTAAAACTGTTTTCTAAAACGTTAAATAACGTCTAAAATTCGTTTCCTAACATTTCTTATCTATACAGCAAAAGTGTGACGTCGCACCATCTGAACCCCCCACCCCCTCCCCCTCATCCCACATCGTCACAAAATTACCGACCCCCCCTCCCCGCTACGAGTGTGACGTCATTTATGGACGACCCCTTAGAACATAACACTTTGCATTTCTAATAATTAATCTAAGCCCAATCTTTCAATTACTTAGTTTTATTTAATTTAACATTTATCAAAATACGAAACTTAACCTTAGAGATTAACCTCACAGGGCTAAAGCAGCCTGTAAAATTAGGATCAGTATTTAGTAATGTTAGCTAAAAGAATAAATGCTTATCTAGATCACAATGTACATTATTTGTACACATGTCGGTGGAACTAATCATTAGTAACACAACAAACGTTTTTTTACATTCTACATGACAACTACAAAGTATCAAATCAAATTCTTATCAACGTCAAAATCTAAAATCATTTGAACACTTCCAATTTCCAATTTTTCAGAACAAATGTTCATCTACCTCACAACGAAAAATATTTGAACACAATCACATATGTATCTACATTAATATGTAAAAGTTTTTTTTTAACATTTCTATCTATCTCAAAATGTCATAGTATTTGAAAACATGTCTATCTCAAAATGTCAAAGTATTTGAAGACTGCTCTATATTTGTACTGTACTCCCTTTATATTTGTACTGTACTCCCTCTATATTTTTACTGTACTCCCTCTATATTTGTACTGTACTCCCTCTATATTTGTACTGTACTCCCTCTATATTTGTACTGTACTCCCTCTATATTTGTACTGTACTCCCTCTATATTTGTACTGTACTCCCTCTATATTTTTACTGTACTCCCTCTATATTTGTACTGTACTCCCTCTATATTTGTACTGTACTCCCTCTATATTTGTACTGTACTCCCTCTATATTTGTACTGTACTCCCTCTATATTTGTACTGTACTCCCTCTATATTTGTACTGTACTCCCTCTACATTTGTACTGTACTCCCTCTATATTTGTACTGTACTCCCTCTATATTTGTACTGTACTCCCTCTATATTTGTACTGTACTCCCTCTATATTTGTACTGTACTCCCTCTACATTTGTACTGTACTCCCTCTATATTTGTACTGTACTCCCTCTATATTTGTACTGTACTCCCTATTTAAACGTCACTGCCGTGAGTACAGCATGAGAATGACGTGTCGAACGTCCAGCATCCTGTGGTCAAGTGTCCTGCTCATTTCTGGCATCATCAGCTCTACATGGGCTGGGCACAGACGTGAGTACCCAGCGTGCATGACGTCACATTGAACGGCATATTTTTATCTAAACCGAAAAAATTCTACGCATACACTAGTTCGATTTTTTAAAATATTTTAAACGAATGCTATTTTATTAAAGGTGTAGAGTTACTTGTATGTTTTTATTGTCTATAGGATTTACATTTTTGGATGGGGATTATTTACCTTATCCAGTTGAACAAGACAATTCAGGTAAGTTTTATCATGCATTATTGCACCTCGATGTTCACTCCACTAATTATCTCATGTTAATACCCTGTGTTATTTTACTTAGATAACTTATTAGAACTGAACAGCTGCCATTGTGCTTCTTCTCTGCAGCTCTCAAGTTCGATGCTTTCGACATCTTTCAACCGTGGAATCCCCAGAAGGACTATTCAGGTAAACCAACACATCAAACAATCATTCAATAAGTTGTATCGTGGACATTCAATAAGTTGTATCATGGACATTCAATAAGTTGTATCATGGACATTCAATAAGTTGTATCATGGACATTCAATAAGTTGTATCATGGACATTCAATAAGTTGTATCATGGACATTCAATAAGTTGTATCATGGACATTCAATAAGTTGTATCATGGACATTCAATAAGTTGTATCATGGACATTCAATAAGTTGTATCATGGACATTCAATAAGTTGTATCATGGACATTCAATAAGTTGTATCATGGACATTCAATAAGTTGTATCATGGACATTCAATAAGTTGTATCGTGGACATTCACATACTGTTGTATATTTAACAAAGCACTTTTTGAAACAACATCACTCCTATTTGTCACCGTTAGATGGATATAAGCAGCACACGCATTAAGGTTTTCCTCCTTAAATATACGATTTTATTTCACATGCACTTACTCTGTGACTATTATTTGTGTTAATTATGTAATAGTTAAACATAATAACTTGAAACAGATCAACTATACTCCACCTGCCCCATATGCCGTAAGGTTTGAAAGGTTTTTTTACTTTAAGAAAAATAATGACAAAAATAATGTTTTGTTTTGTAAAATATCCGAAATTAAATGTTACATACACGATATTATCATAAACATCTCGTAATTTCGTCCTTTCAGACTTAGAGATCTGCAAACCGTTTATTGACGTCATGTTTATTTTTGACTCGTCCGGAAGTATTGGCCCCGATCAGTTCGTCAAACAACTCAAGATGGCGGCCGACCTGACGAAAAGTTTTGCTCTCGGCCCGAACAAGGCTCGGTTCGCGGCCGTCCAGTACGACTCATATTTCCATAAAGTGTTCAATTTCAAAGATTTTTCGGACCACGCTCAGCTGTATCAGGTAGTGATTTGTTGTTAGACGCTAAACTACTATATCACAGTGGCGTAGCGAGGTTGGGTGTCACCCGGTGCGGTACTTAATGGTGTCACCCCCCAGAGGCGTTGCGACCCTTCCCGGGGACAAACTTTCATGTTTTCGATTTGCACCCCCCCCCCCCCCTCTAGTTTTTTTATTTGCACCCACCCCCCCCCCCCCCCTCAAACTTTCAATTTGCACCCCCTCAAGTTTTTGTCTATATATTTTGCTATTTTTTGCCTTGGTGTCACCCCCCTAAATGGTGTCACCCGGTGCGGTCCGCACCCCCGCCCCCCCTCGCTACGCCCCTGCTATATCAGGTAGTGATTTGTTGTTAGACGCTAAACTACTATATAAGGTAGTGATTGTTGTTAGACGCTAAACTACTATATAAGGTAGTGATTGTTGTTAGACGCTAAACTACTATAATACGTAGTGATTGTTGTTATACGCTAAACTACTATACGAGGTAGTGATTTGTTGTTAGACGCTAAACTACTATATCAGGTAGTGATTTTTTGTTAGACGCTAAACTATATCAGGTAGTGATTGTTGTAAGACGCTAAACTACTATATCAGATAGTGATTATTGCTATACGCTAAACTACTATACCATGTAGTGATTTGTTGTTAGATGCTAAACTACTATAACAGGTAGTGATTTGTTATTACACGCTAAACTACTATATCAGGTAGTGATTGTTGTTAAGCATGGGATTTTTAATTAAAACTCTTCAAGCTTTCACTACACATTACTTTTTTGTACACATAAACCGCAACCATTTGATAGAAAAATCAACATACACTGATTACCAATTAAGATGAAACTTCAGCTACGAACTTCCGCCTTTCAGTAATGGAATTATTGTCTAAGCTCCACCTTTCTCCCTTACTACTTAGACAAGGATTACATCTTAATACGGCTACACAGAAACGTCACTGCTTTTAACTCTACGCCACGCCCAAGCGTATTTCTAATGTATTTCTAATGTATTTCTAATGTATTTCTAATGTATTTCTAATGTATTTCTAATGTATTTCTAATGTAATTCTAATGTATTTATTTACACACATTTTTCCACCACTGTAATACTCTCATACAGAACACGACATCACCCCCCCCCCACTTCAGTACTCGTCTCTTAGCACGCTTTACTTTACCACACAATCACCACACAACTATTTAACGTCCCCCCTCCAACGTCCACACACCAACCACACAGCGTCATTGCTTTACATAATTCAACTACCATTAAAATTGACGGTAGCCAAAACACAGCACTCAACTTTTTCGTGTCAGAAACATGTACTATGTACTCATGGGGCTAAATTAAACATTATCTATCTGTACTGATAAATACGATACTGCCTTAACTAATAAATAACATAAGTAAACAAATGACAACATAAATAAACAATAAACAACATATATTACAACTAGACTCACCACTGCCTATCTGCGTTCATGCCTAACCTGTACACACGTTGACAACAGAAAATCAGATCTACCCGCTATTACGAGGGCGGAACTGACGTCATGAAAGGACTTCTGGGTGTGAGAATGCTTGACCTCTTCCACGCTCGCTACGGAGGTAGAAAAGCTGCGGCCAAATTCGCCATTGTTTTCACCGATGGGAAACAACCAATCAATCGTCACAGTAAGATTCAGCTTTTTCCTCCATGACAGCAGTACACTGCTATTTTTTCTCGGAAAAAATTAGCTTGTTAAATTAGTATTTTGTTAATTTATATCTACTTTTTTTACTATTGACAAATATTAATATTTAACTTTGTAATTGCAGTTATTTAGAAGGTACAAATCTTAACTCGATAATGACTATTCGTCATTAATTTATGCTGGTGGACGTTAGTGTTCAATCAGATACATGTACACGCTGGTGTCACTTTAGTGTGTGAGCACTAATCACTATCATGTATGTGCTCCCATAATTTGCTTGTATGTGCATCTATCACTAGCATAAATATACACTTATTATTTGCATGTATGGACATTTATCACTATCATGTACGTACACTCATAATTTGCTAGTAGGTCCTTATCACTGGCGTGTGTATAGCGTGTCCTTTTCACTGTCATGTGTCTACACTGTGTCCTTACCACTGTCGTGTGTCTACACTGTGTCCTTACCACTGTCGTGTGTCTAGCGTGTCCTTATCACTGTCGTGTGTATAGCGTGTCCTTATCACTGTGTCTACACTGTGTCCTTACCACTGTCGTGTGTCTACACTGTGTCCTTACCACTATCGTGTGTCTACACTGTGTCCTTACCGTGTGTCTACACTGTGTCCTTATCACTGTCGTGTGTCTACACTGTGTCCTTACCACTGTCGTGTGTCTACACTGTGTCCTTATCACTGTCGTGTGTCTACACTGTGTCCTTACCACTGTCGTGTGTCTACACTGTGTCCTTTTCACTGTCATGTGTCTACACTGTGTCCTTACCACTGTCGTGTGTCTACACTGTGTCCTTACCACTGTCGTGTGTCTAGCGTGTCCTTATCACTGTCGTGTGTATAGCGTGTCCTTATCACTGTGTCTACACTGTGTCCTTACCACTGTCGTGTGTCTACACTGTGTCCTTACCACTATCGTGTGTCTACACTGTGTCCTTACCGTGTGTGTACACTGTGTCCTTACTACTGTCGTGTGTCTACACTGTCATGTGTCTACACTGTTGTGTGTCTACACTGTGTCCTTACCACTGTCGTGTGTCTACACTGTGTCCTTATCACTGTCGTGTGTCTACACTGTGTCCTTATCACTGTCGTGTGTCTACACTGTGTCCTTACCACTATCGTGTGTCTACACTGTGTCCTTACCACTGTCGTGTGTCTACATTGTGTCCTTACCGTGTGTCTACACTGTGTCCTTACCACTATCGTGTGTCTACACTGTGTCCTTATCACTATCGTGTGTCTACACTGTGTCCTTATCACTATCGTGTGTCTACACTGTGTCCTTACCACTGTCGTGTGTCTACACTGTGTCCTTACCACTATCGTGTGTCTACACTGTGTCCTTACCAATGTCGTGTGTCTACACTGTGTCCTTATCACTGTCGTGTGTCTACACTGTGTCCTTACCACTATCGTGTGTCTACACTGTGTCCTTATCACTGTCGTGTGTCTACACTGTGTCCTTACCACTATCGTGTGTCTACACTGTGTCCTTACCACTGTCGTGTGTCTACACTGTGTCCTTATCACTGTCGTGTGTCTACACTGTGTCCTTACCGTGTGTCTACACTGTGTCCTTATCACTGTCGTGTGTCTACACTGTGTCCTTACCACTGTCGTGTGTCTACACTGTGTCCTTATCACTGTCGTGTGTCTACACTGTGTCCTTACCACTATCGTGTGTCTACACTGTGTCCTTACCACTGTCGTGTGTCTACACTGTGTCCTTATCACTGTCGTGTGTCTACACTGTGTCCTTACCGTGTGTCTACACTGTGTCCTTATCACTGTCGTGTGTCTACACTGTGTCCTTACCACTATCGTGTGTCTACACTGTGTCCTTACCACTATCGTGTGTCTACACTGTGACCTTATCACTGTCGTGTGTCTACACTGTGTCCTTACCACTGTCGTGTGTCTACACTGTCGTGTGTCTACACTGTGTCCTTACCACTGTCGTGTGTCTACACTGTGTTCTTATCACTGTCGTGTGTCTACACTGTGTCCTTATCACTGTCGTGAGTCTACACTATCGTGTGTCTACACTGTGTCCTTATCACTGTCGTGTGTCTACACTGTCTCCTTACCGTGTGTCTACACTGTGTCCTTACCACTATCGTGTGTCTACACTGTGTCCTTACCACTATCATGTGTCTACACTGTGTCCTTATCACTGTCGTGTGTCTACACTGTGTCCTTATCGTGTGTCTACACTGTGTCCTTATCACTGTCGTGTGTCTACACTGTGTCCATATCACTGTCGTGTGTCTACACTATCGTGTGTCTACACTGTGTCCTTACCACTGTCGTGTGTCTACACTGTGTCCTTACCACTGTCGTGTGTCTACACTGTGTCCTTACCACTGTCGTGTGTCTACACTGTGTCCTTATCACTGTCGTGTGTCTACACTGTCGTGTGTCTACACTGTGTCCTTACCACTATCGTGTGTCTACACTGTGTCCTTATCACTATCGTGTGTCTACACTGTGTCCTTACCACTATCGTGTGTCTACACTGTGTCCTTATCACTGTCGTGTGTCTACACTGTGTCCTTATCACTGTCGTGTGTCTACACTGTGTCCTTATCACTGTCGTGTGTCTACACTGTGTCCTTATCACTGTCGTGTGTCTACACTGTGTCCTTACCACTGTCGTGTGTCTACACTGTGTCCTTACCACTGTCGTGTGTCTACACTGTCGTGTGTCTACACTGTGTCCTTACCACTGTCGTGTGTCTACACTGTGTCCTTACCACTGTCGTGTGTCTACACTGTGTCCTTACCACTGTCGTGTGTCTACACTGTGTCCTTACCGTGTGTCTACACTGTGTCCTTACCACTGTCGTGTGTCTACACTGTGTCCTTATCACTGTCGTGTGTCTACACTGTGTCCTTATCACTGTCGTGTGTCTACACTGTGTCCTTACCACTGTCGTGTGTCTACTGTGTCCTTATCACTATCGTGTGTCTACACTGTGCCCTTATCACTGTCGTGTGTCTACACTGTGTCCTTATCACTGTCGTGTGTCTACACTGTGTCCTTATCACTGTCGTGTGTCTACACTGTGTCCTTATCACTGTCGTGTGTCTACACTGTGTCCTTATCACTGTCGTGTGTCTACACTGTGTCCTTATCACTGTCGTGTGTCTACACTGTGTCCTTATCACTGTCGTGTGTCTACACTGTGTCCTTATCACTGTCGTGTGTCTACACTGTGTCCTTATCACTGTCGTGTGTCTACACTGTGTCCTTACCACTGTCGTGTGTCTACACTGTGTCCTTATCACTGTCGTGTGTCTACACTGTGTCCTTATCACTGTCGTGTGTCTACACTGTGTCCTTATCACTGTCGTGTGTCTACACTGTGTCCTTATCACTGTCGTGTGTCTACACTGTGTCCTTACCACTGTCGTGTGTCTACACTGTGTCCTTATCACTGTCGTGTGTCTACACTGTGTCCTTATCACTGTCGTGTGTCTACACTGTGTCCTTACCACTGTCGTGTGTCTACTGTGTCCTTATCACTATCGTGTGTCTACACTGTGCCCTTATCACTGTCGTGTGTCTACACTGTGTCCTTATCACTGTCGTGTGTCTACACTGTGTCGTTATCACTGTCGTGTGTCTACACTGTGTCCTTATCACTGTCGTGTGTCTACACTGTGTCCTTATCACTGTCGTGTGTCTACACTGTGTCCTTATCACTGTCGTGTGTCTACACTGTGTCCTTACCACTGTCGTGTGTCTACACTGTGTCCTTACCACTGTCGTGTGTCTACACTGTCGTGTGTCTACACTGTGTCCTTACCACTGTCGTGTGTCTACACTGTGTCCTTACCACTGTCGTGTGTCTACACTGTGTCCTTACCACTGGCGTGTGTCTACACTGTGTCCTTACCGTGTGTCTACACTGTGTCCTTACCACTGTCGTGTGTCTACTGTGTCCTTATCACTATCGTGTGTCTACACTGTGTCCTTATCACTGTCGTGTGTCTACACTGTGTCCTTATCACTGTCGTGTGTCTACACTGTGTCCTTATCACTGTCGTGTGTCTACACTGTGTCCTTATCACTGTCGTGTGTCTACACTGTGTCCTTACCACTGTCGTGTGTCTACACTGTGTCCTTATCACTGTCGTGTGTCTACACTGTGTCCTTATCACTGTCGTGTGTCTACACTGTGTCCTTATCACTGTCGTGTGTCTACACTGTGTCCTTATCACTGTCGTGTGTCTACACTGTGTCCTTACCACTGTCGTGTGTCTACACTGTGTCCTTATCACTGTCGTGTGTCTACACTGTGTCCTTATCACTGTCGTGTGTCTACACTGTGTCCTTACCACTGTCGTGTGTCTACTGTGTCCTTATCACTATCGTGTGTCTACACTGTGCCCTTATCACTGTCGTGTGTCTACACTGTGTCCTTATCACTGTCGTGTGTCTACACTGTGTCCTTATCACTGTCGTGTGTCTACACTGTGTCCTTATCACTGTCGTGTGTCTACACTGTGTCCTTATCACTGTCGTGTGTCTACACTGTGTCCTTATCACTGTCGTGTGTCTACACTGTGTCCTTACCACTGTCGTGTGTCTACACTGTGTCCTTACCACTGTCGTGTGTCTACACTGTGTCCTTACCACTGTCGTGTGTCTACACTGTGTCCTTACCGTGTGTGTACACTGTGTCCTTACCACTGTCGTGTGTCTACACTGTGTCCTTACCACTGTCATGTGTCTACATTGTGTCCTTACCACTGTCGTGTGTCTACACTGTGTCCTTACCGTGTGTCTACACTGTGTCCTTACCATTGTCGTGTGTCTACACTGTGTCCTTACCACTGTCGTGTGTCTACACTGTGTCCTTACCACTGTCGTGTGTCTACACTGTGTCCTTACCACTGTCGTGTGTCTACACTGTGTCCTTACCACTGTCGTGTGTCTACACTGTGTCCTTATCACTGTCGTGTGTCTACACTGTGTCCTTATCACTGTCGTGAGTCTACACTGTGTCCTTACCACTGTCGTGTGTCTACACTGTGTCCTTACCACTGTCGTGTGTCTACACTGTGTCCTTACCACTGTCGTGTGTCTACACTGTGTCCTTACCACTGTCGTGTGTCTACACTGTGTCCTTACCACTGTCGTGTGTCTACACTGTGTCCTTATCACTGTCGTGTGTCTACACTGTGTCCTTATCACTGTCGTGTGTCTACACTGTGTCCTTACCACTGTCGTGAGTCTACACTGTGTCCTTACCACTGTCGTGTGTCTACACTGTGTCCTTACCACTGTCGTGTGTCTACACTGTGTCCTTATCACTGTCGTGTGTCTACACTGTGTCCTTATCACTGTCGTGTGTCTACACTGTGTCCTTACCACTGTCGTGTGTCTACACTGTGTCCTTATCACTGTCGTGTGTCTACACTGTGTCCTTATCACTGTCTCGTGTCTACACTGTGTCCTTATCACTGTCGTGTGTCTACACTGTGTCCTTATCACTGTCTCGTGTCTACACTGTGTCCTTATCACTGTCTCGTGTCTACACTGTGTCCTTATCACTGTCGTGTGTCTACACTGTGTCCTTATCACTGTCGTGTGTCTACACTGTGTCCTTACCACTGGCGTGTGTCTACACTGTGTCCTTATCACTGTCGTGTGTCTACACTGTGTCCTTATCACTGTCGTGTGTCTACACTGTGTCCTTATCACTGTCGTGTGTCTACACTGTGTCCTTATCACTGTCGTGTGTCTACACTGTGTCCTTACCACTGTCGTGTGTCTACACTGTGTCCTTACCACTGTCGTGTGTCTACACTGTGTCCTTACCACTGTCGTGTGTCTACACTGTGTCCTTACCGTGTGTGTACACTGTGTCCTTACCACTGTCGTGTGTCTACACTGTGTCCTTACCACTGGCGTGTGTCTACACTGTGTCCTTACCGTGTGTCTACACTGTGTCCTTACCACTGTCGTGTGTCTACAGTGTCCTTACCACTGTCGTGTGTCTACACTGTGTCCTTACCACTGGCGTGTGTCTACACTGTGTCCTTACCACTGGCGTGTGTCTACACTGTGTCCTTACCACTGGCGTGTGTCTACACTGTGTCCTTACCACTGGCGTGTGTCTACACTGTGTCCTTACCACTGTCGTGTGTCTACACTGTGTCCTTATCACTGTCGTGTGTCTACACTGTGTCCTTATCACTGTCGTGTGTCTACACTGTGTCCTTACCACTGTCGTGTGTCTACACTGTGTCCTTATCACTGTCGTGTGTCTACACTGTGTCCTTATCACTGTCTCGTGTCTACACTGTGTCCTTATCACTGTCGTGTGTCTACACTGTGTCCTTATCACTGTCTCGTGTCTACACTGTGTCCTTATCACTGTCTCGTGTCTACACTGTGTCCTTATCACTGTCGTGTGTCTACACTGTGTCCTTATCACTGTCGTGTGTCTACACTGTGTCCTTACCACTGGCGTGTGTCTACACTGTGTCCTTATCACTGTCGTGTGTCTACACTGTGTCCTTATCACTGTCGTGTGTCTACACTGTGTCCTTATCACTGTCGTGTGTCTACACTGTGTCCTTATCACTGTCGTGTGTCTACACTGTGTCCTTACCACTGTCGTGTGTCTACACTGTGTCCTTACCACTGTCGTGTGTCTACACTGTGTCCTTACCACTGTCGTGTGTCTACACTGTGTCCTTACCGTGTGTGTACACTGTGTCCTTACCACTGTCGTGTGTCTACACTGTGTCCTTACCACTGGCGTGTGTCTACACTGTGTCCTTACCGTGTGTCTACACTGTGTCCTTACCACTGTCGTGTGTCTACAGTGTCCTTACCACTGTCGTGTGTCTACACTGTGTCCTTACCACTGGCGTGTGTCTACACTGTGTCCTTACCACTGGCGTGTGTCTACACTGTGTCCTTACCACTGGCGTGTGTCTACACTGTGTCCTTACCACTGGCGTGTGTCTACACTGTGTCCTTACCACTGTCGTGTGTCTACACTGTGTCCTTACCACTGGCGTGTGTCTACACTGTGTCCTTATCACTGTCGTGTGTCTACACTGTGTCCTTACCACTGGCGTGTGTCTACACTGTGTCCTTACCACTGGCGTGTGTCTACACTGTGTCCTTACCGTGTGTCTACACTGTGTCCTTATCACTGTCGTGTGTCTACACTGTGTTCTTACCACTGGCGTGTGTCTACACTGTGTCCTTACCACTGTCGTGTGTCTACACTGTGTCCTTACCACTGGCGTGTGTCTACACTGTGTTCTTGACTTCTGTCTAGTCCTGCTGGAGGCCGAGATCTGGAGCAAGGCCAAGGTCACGGTCATGGCCGTGGGTAGTGCCAACGCTGACCGTGACCTCCTGTATGCCCTAACCGGTGACCCCGACAAAGTCTACCAGGCCGCCAACTTCGATGTGCCAATAGCCATCAGAAGATCATTGGAGCGTAGATTGTGTGCAGGTAAGTCTACTGATACCATCGTACCTCTTTTTTTTCCGCCTCAGACATGTAATTTACAGAGTCAGTTTGCCTTGCACGTTCGCTTTAGTATTACAGCTTTCATCATCGGCTTGTGAGGACTGATACAGATTTACAATAGTAATACTTCTTTCTTACTTGTAGCCTACTTTAATTAATTTAAGATGGTTTACTTATACATAGATCTAATACAAAATGTCTAATTACAATTTTATTTAAATAAAAAAAGACCTGAAAATGCAAATGTGTATTTAAACCATCCTACCTATGGTGAGTAACAGAAGTACCGTGTACACAGAATAAAATAAAACGTTCTGATCACTTTTAATTTATAGCAACCGTCAGCTTAATTTTATTCTGTTTTATATTTTAATAAAAGCGAATGTGTTTGAAATTTTTTCACACATTTATCAGGTATGGTGGGTTTTTTTTTTAAATAGTGATAATTTATGCTTAGTATATTCCTGATATATTTAAATTTTGTAATCAATCTTCATCATTATTTCAGCGAAACCCCGAACAAAAGGTATTTATACAATTACTTATGATTTAATTATCGGCCCTAAATTAAAAAGAAAACTATTAAATAAAGTAGCACATTTAACACTATGAATCAGTGTAAGAGAAGCTGAGTAGTTTCAATTGAAAATATGTTTTCAACCGTTATTCTGTTTTTTTTTCTAGATGTCTGCAAAAATGAGATTGACCTTTTCTTTGTAATCGATTCCTCTACAAGTATCGGCTTCAGAGAGTACATGAACGGTCTAAAAATAGCCGTAAACATTAGCAAATCTTTCCACGTGAGCAAAGATGATGTGAGGGTTGGTGCTGTTGTAGTTGGTAGTGGTGTCCGAATCTTGTTTAAACTGGACTCGTTTTCAAGACAGAGTCAAGTTAGAAATGTAAGTTTTTACTTTAGGCATAGTCAAGATAGAAATGTAAGATTTTAATTTAGACAAAGTCAAGATAGAAATGTAAGTTTTGTCTTTAGACTGCTTCAAGTTAGACACGTAAATTTTGTCGTTTTGATATCCGTTCAGTACTAAACACAAGTATAACCTAATCGTGCTGGGGCTTCTATTATGAACCTTGACTTACTGAGCAGAAAAAAAGGCTAAACATATTAACAAGCTGTACCAACATTTAAAAAGAAGGTTTAAACGCAATCGGCAGTTTATTTTAAAATCCTGTAAATAGTTGGGGCGCAAGTAAAATCACTCAACAGATTTGCGTGCGTCAAAAAAGGTTAAACACAAAAAAGCGACATCCCAGTCCTTTCCATGTCATAATCTGGCTTGTTGTCAAAAGCTATAAATTATGGGAAACTGACATACGACATGTGAAATTGCTACGGTTATAGCCCTTGAAGATTACACTTTGTATCTACACATTTTAGTTCCTTGTTGGTATTCGGTTCTAGCAGGGAAGGAATGGTCTAGCGGTAGAGAGCTGGACTGCTAACCCGTAAGTCTCGAGTTCGAATCCGGATTCAAGTCAGTAGACCGTCCCTGAGTCTACCCAACTCTGATGGGTGCCTAACTCACGTTAGGGAAAGTAAAGGCAGCTGAGCATAGTGCTGACCACACTATCTCTTCATATGCCGAGGTCACAGAAACAAGCGAATTCTACTTCACTTGCCCCATAGACCGTCAGGTTTGAGAGGGAAACTTTTATATTTTAACTTAAAAGAAAGATTCTCTCACCCAATTGATTGCTTACAGGCGCTGCTGTCGGCTCCCTACATGAACGAGGTCGCTGATTTGGACGACATGCCTGCTTTTATTGTTGATGTCGGGCTGTTCAGTGAAGCATATGGTGGCAGGGCTCATTCACAGAAAGTGGTGGTCTATCTCACAGATGGAAAAAGCAAATCCAAGAAATATATTCGTTAGTAATCATACTTTAAAACCTTGTTTCCTTTAGTGTCAATTGAATTTTAATTAAAAAAAAAAACAGGACTTGGAATAAATGAATAATTATTTAAAGGCGTAAATTTCTCTAGCCTTAAAATATTTATTGTCACCTTACCTAGAGATATCAACAAAGTAGAATACTGCTTCCCGTGTTTCAGTTGTGTATGACGTTTAAACTGCATGATGTAGCATCTAATATGTTTTACTCTACCGCGATTCCATGATACACATCCAATATTTAGCTGTATGATGCAGCATCTAATATATTTTATTCTATGGATATTCCATGATACACATCCATTATTTAGCTGCATGATCTAGCATCTAATATGTTATATTCCACTGCTATTCCAGGATACACAGCCAATGACCAGCTGTTGAACGACGGCATCATCTCAATTGTTGTTGGCATTGGGAAGGAGACGAACCAACAAGGACTTGAACTCCTGTCTTCCAACTCTGAGTTTGTGTTCTCTGCTACTGAACCGCAGTTGACGGAATACATCAAAGAAATCGCTTGCATTGGTCAGTCAGATTTTATACACTGAATATGTTGAGAAAGTAGGCTGGCTACACTACCCTTACACTACCCCTACACTACCCCTACACTACCCCTACACTACCCCTACACTACCCCTACACTACCCCTACACTACCCCTACACTACCCCTACACTACCCCTACACTACCCCTACACTACCCCTACACTACCCCTACACTACCCCTACACTACCCCTACACTACCCCTACACTACCCCTACACTACCCCTACACTACCCCTACACTACCCCTACACTACCCCTCAAGTGTAGCAGTTAGCCTGTTGTTCTACTATGACATGGGGAGCTGACACAAACTTTCCTCTATTCCACTTCTAGAGGTTTTTTCTTCGTCAGTCTTTCCCTTTAGTCTGAAGGATTCGATACGAGTGTGGTTCATACTCAGATTTTAAAAAAATTATACTATTTTTAAAACAAATTTAGACATGTCGATGTATAAACACGTTGTACCAACTACCCCAGTACCGTTTTTTTCCTCCCAGACCCAACAGATGGCCCGATTCCAGATCTGCCCGGCACCACAGTTGTCCCCACCACAGGTACAGACGATTTTTCTCAAGGTTTAAACCCTCGTGTTGGTCACACAGGTGGTATCTCAAAGTTTAACAGGGGTGGTATCTCAAAGTTAAAGGTGGTATCTCAAAGTTTAACATTTGTGGTATCTCAAAGTTAAAGGTGGTATCTCAAAGTTTAACAAGGGTGGTATCTCAAAGTTAGAGGTGGCATATCAGTTAAACAGAGGTGGTATATCAAAGTTAACCAGAGATGGTATCTCAAAGTTTAACAGAGGTGGTATCTCAAAGTTAAACAGGTGGTATCTCAGTTAAACCGAGGTGGTATCTCAAAGTTAACCAGAGGTGGTATCTCAAAGTTAACCAGAGGTGGTATCTCAAAGTTAGACAGAGGCGGTATCTCAAAGTTAGACAGAGGTGGTATCTCAAAGTTAGAGGTGGTATCTCAAAGTTACACAGATGTGGTATCTCAAAGTTAGATAGAGGTGGTGTCTTAAAGTTTAGCTGCTTGTCTGAAGACTTTTTGAACATCAAACCACAATCACATGATAGAACATCACCTAACACTATAGCCATAGACTAAAAATTTAAATCGTCTATTTTACGGCACATCTACGTTTGGTGTTTATTATGTACTTACACAACCCTAAAATTAACCCTATCATATCCACACACAAAAAACTCGCGTTAAAAATAATTTTAAAAAAACATCATTTTGAGAACATTAAATCAATCAATTCTATAACATGTAAATATTTCCAGATCCCAACCTTACGTGCTCCCCTCTCGCCGATATTATTTGGCTCATTGATAGCTCGGGTAGTATTGGTCTGGTGGCTTTCAGCGAGCAGGTGACATTGGCGACTGGCCTTGTGAGGAAGTTCAAGGTTGGACCAAGCGACGTCCGCTTTGGCGCTGTGCTCTTTAGTCACAAGGCGGAGCAGCTGTTCGGTCTTAGAGACTTGGATACTCAGGAAGAAGTCATTCAGGTAAACCTTTCAATACATAATACAGGTAACAGTTCCAGTATATCATTCAAGTAACCTTTCAAATACATAACTCAGGTAACAGTTCCAGTATATTATTCAAGTACCTTTCAAATACATAACTCAGGTAACCGTTCCAGTATATCATTCAAGAAACCGTTCCAATAACGTCAAGTAACGATTTTAGTAACTGTTCCAATACATCATTCAGGTTACTGTTCCATGAACAATGTTCGCTTAGACGTGCACTGACTGCTCACTGTTGTGAGATACACTAAAGTCCATTCACAACACTCTCAAGAGTGTCGTTACACGTCTCGGTAGAAATTAGTTTTTTCGTGTATCAAAAGTCTAAGCAGTGAGCTCAAGACTTTTGGGTCAATCGTTCCACTGTTTACCACTAAACCACTTCCGTTCTCAGTATATCAAAAAGAATTAATGATTTAAATGTAATGCAATCTTCACGATGCCTATTCAAATAAATAAAAAAAATCATAAATGTAAATGAATAAAAATAATTGTTGATTCATTTATCTTTAATAAAGAAAAAAATTAGTTGCATAACTTTGTGAGGATTTTATGACACATAGAGGGAATAGCCGCAAATATTCCATACACGATTATTATACACACAAGTCTTACATGATAGTATAGGCGACTACATGCAAACACATTTACACTGAATATATTGACATAAACTAAACCGTAGGCATATATATGCAAAGAGATTCACATATTATGTATTGACTGTTACAGAAACTAAAAGATTCACACAGAATATATTGACTGTTACAGAAACTAAAAAGTTCACACATAATGTATTGACTGTTACAGAAACTAAACCACGCCTCCTACGCAGGGGAGACCACCTATACCCACAATGCCTTCAAGCTGGTGAGCAATAAGGGCATGTTCGAAACCAGGTCAGGAGGAAGGCCACCGGCTGCTAGGATTGTCTTACTCATATCGGATGGGGAGTCAGAGGAACCGAAACTAAGTAAGTTGTTGCAAGCTGCACTACGGAGCTTAACCCTGTAAAGCCGACTCCATTGAACTAAGTTCTACGGAGCTAAACTTTGTTGTACAGCAAGATTTACTGAGCTTAACGTAGTTGTACAGCCAGCTGTCTGGAGCTAAAATTATTTGTACAGGCAGCTCTAGGGAGATAAACGTAAACGTAACGCCAACTCTACGGACCTAAACTTAGTTGCACACTCAGGTCCACTGAGCTAAACTTAGTTGTAATTACCAGTTCATCAAATATCGCAACATTCTAATGTAAACAAATAGCTATAGAACAAGTTTAATAATAGCTACTAAACTACTAAAATAAAACATGTATAATCGTTTCAATGTTCAATACTACATTTGAGTGTACAAAATATTGAGATGAACACAACTAAAAGATCAAACACTACTCGTAATGACTTACTCTGATTAGACCTAACCAAAGCCAGTGTAAAAATAGACACTACTATATTTACTTACACGGAAACATTTAAAAATCAAGATCTAACTGGTCTCTCTCCTTCTCTCTCTTTCTCTCTCTCTCCAATTCTCTCTCTCCCTCTCTCTCACTCTCTCCCCCCCCCCCCCCCTCTCTCTCTGTTTTACCCCCCCCCCAGCTCTGGAAGCTGCCAGCGCTCTGAAGAAACAAGGCGTGACTGTTGTCGCCATTGGCACTGGGCAGGCTAACATTGAGCAGCTGCAGCAAATAGCCAGTGGTCCGGAGAACGTGGTGCTGGCCAGAGGATATGACGTCATAGATCAGGTCCTGGGCCGGGTGTACAAGGCGGCCTGTCAGGGTGAGTTCTTATCAGTTTTTTTTTTAGATATTTTTTCTTTGGGCTAGGGACAGTTGAAACTTAAATTTTCTAAGGACACTGAGTAAAAGTATGTATCTTCTATACAAGTTAAGTAAATGTTTTCTATTTTGTACCGAGTGGGGTTTGATGAGTTACCCATCTTCCTCCTTTAACAAGAGATGTCTGAAAGAAACTGATTTTAATTTAAATGACGTCATTTCAAAATAGCTAACAGATTAATAGAACATGAAAGTAATGACTAAAGAATATATCATTTTAGAGCATTTAAAAATATACTTCTCTATTTAGAGTAAATAAGCAATATTTTGTTTAGAAGAAATTTTCCTTTAAGGTTTAGCCAACGAACATATTTAAAACAAGCCCTGTATCTCTCACTTTCACAATTTAAGTTACTTATAAGCTGCCAGAACTTCAGAAATGTATGGCTTAAATGCTGTAAACGGTACGATCAATTGTTTTATCTAAATTTATTAGGTTTCATTTTAATCTTCTTAAATCTTTGTCTTTTCAATACTAAAATTAGAATACTGTTTGGTTTTTAGGTGATGTGTCAACAACGAAACTCACGACAACATCAACAACCTTGGGGACAACAACAACGCTTAGAGCTACCTCGCCCACAGTGCCTACAACGACAACTCAAATGATAACTACAACTCAACCAACAACTACCACGCCACCACCAACCACAATTCAACTCACAACCACAACAACACAAACTACAACCACTACTGAACCAACAACCACAGTTCAATCAACAACGACAACAAAAACCACAACAACGCAAACAACGACAACTACACAACCAACAACAACCATTCCTCCCACCACTACAATTACAACAACACAACCAACAACTCCAACTAATCCAACAGTAACCAGCCTAAGTACGACAATTGCCACACAATCAATTAACGACACAACAACTCGTAAACTTATAATCACAGGTTTGTAATTTAAACATCCGATAAAATCAATTTATATCACAGCATTTACTTATCAGTCTACTTAAATTATGATCATGTTTCAAGCTTATATGTCAGAGTACACAATAATTAGTATTTCATACTTATACATTTTAAGTAACAGCAGAAAGTATGGGAGGGACAAATGGCACAATTACAATGTATAATTTCTTTTGAATGTAGTTTTTAAATTCCCGGAGTTTTCCTGTTTCTGTACTCTTGGGAGGGGTGGGGGGGGGGGGTTGACTTAATCTTACGATGCCTATTTATATCAATTAAATTACTATACAGAAAAGCGTGAGTCACTTTAGTAGCTATTGGACACTTTTAATAATATTTAGGAAGAGACTCAGGCTTTTCTTTATAGTAATTTAAATAGTAGTGTATAAATTTCTACTTTTACATGACTTGACTTACTTGACTTAGTCCTCTTTGCTCCTTATGGAAAATAGGGCCTCCACCATTTCCTTCCATTTCTTCCTATCCTCGGCTATTAAATTTGTCATCTCCCAAGACATCCCTGTTGGCTTTAGTTCTTCAAGAAGACTGCCTCCAGGTCTGTCTTGGGCGCCCTCTCTTCCACTTTCCCTGGGGGTTCCACTCAAGCATTTGGCGTGTAACATTTGGGTGAGCCTTTCGCAGTGTGTGACTCACCCAGCGCCACTTCCTCCTGCTTTCTTTAACTTATCTTAACCCAACATAACTTGTGTATGAGTTCAACATCTGGCTACACAGAACCCACGGGGACCCCGCCCACAGCCATGCCCTGCCCGAAGAACACGATGGCCGACATCGTGCTGGTCATGGACTCCTCCAACAGCATCGATGACCAGGACTGGGAGAACGAGCTGCAGTTTGCCGCCGACTTGACCAAACTCTTCACGCTCGGCCCAGGCGACGTCCAGTTTGGTGCTCTCATCTACAGCCTCGAGGCCGACCCGCTCTTCAACCTCAACGAGTTTAGGGATGCGAGGAAGATAGAGAAAGTAGGCCTACGTCTCTCTTTCAACATATATATATATATATTTATATATGTATATATATATGTATATATATATATATATATATATATATATATATATATATATATATATATATATATGATTAATATATATTTCGAAAATCTAACCGGCCTATTAAAAATAAACGAAATTAACCTCATTCCACATTATTAAAACATATTCAATTTAAAAAAAAAACACTATTTTCTACATACTTTAACAAATAGCATTTCTTACGTAAAGTAAAGAATACTCTCTAGACCTAGCGATCCATTGGGTGATGAAGTGGGGTCCTTATGTTTCTTGACCTCGGTATATGAAGGGAAGTTGTGGTCAGCACTTTGCCCAGCCGCCTTTTCTTTCCCTAACATGTGTTAGGTACCCATCAGAGCTGATGGACTGATTTTGACCCGGATTCGAACTCGAGACTTTCGGGTTAGCAGCCTAGCACTCTATCGCTTAGGCCTACGTAGTGCTTTTATAGTTAAACAAACTCTAGTCATGTACAAAATCAGCCCAGAACAGAGCCCCTCGGAATTGGACGATTTCTATTTGTAATATCGTTTGTTTGTTGAACAAAATGCTAAATCGGAAAGCTCTACGGTTGACGTTAAAACCCATGTTGTCCAACAGAAACTACTGAGGGCCAGACGGATGAAGTCGCTGACCTACACTGGACGGGCACTTAACGTGGCTGACACCATGTTCGAACAGGAGAACGGCGGCAGGAGCGGCGTCAAGAAGATTGTCTTGCTGATGACAGATGGTGCCGCCACCTCTAGAGATCGTGGTGAGTAATGGAACCATTTGACATAACCTGGTTACACCTATAGGTGTGGCCAAGAAGTTTGTCTTGTTGATGACTGACGGTGCCGCCACCTCTAGAGATCGTGGTGAGTAAATGAACGAGCAGACATAACCTGGTTATACCTATAGGCGGGGTCAAGGAGATTGTGCTGTTGACGACAGATAGAGCTGTCACCATTAGTCATCTTGTTAAACCTTTAGTGTTACGAATTTGTTAAAACGTAAAGATTCTCTTTAGATTTAGCGATACGTTTGGCAGATGAAGTAGTATTCATATCTTTCTTGACCTCTGCATATGAAGCGATGGTGTGGACAACACTATGCCTAGCTGCCTTTACTTTCCTTAACGTAAGTCGGGTACCCATCAGAGCTGAGTGGACTCATGGACGTCTTACAGTCACAAAAGTGACTGTAACTTTAAAATATTTTTGTTGAAATAAAATGCTAAATAAATAAATTAAATAAAACAGAAAAATCAGAAATACAAATATATTTTTAAGAAAGAATCACTCCTCAAAAAAATATTTTGCAGCTTTTTAAAGATTTTGCATTGTACTAGTAATAAAAACAACATTGTGTTTCTGCTAGCTCTAGCGGCTGCCGATAAGCTGAAAAAGAAAAACGTGGTGATAATCGCTGTGGGCATCGGTCAAGAGGTGTCGGTGGAGGAGCTGACCCTTATAGCCAGCAGTAAGGAAGACGTCGTGTTGGCCTACAACTTCAACACGCTGGACTTCATCAAGAAGAAGGTCGTTGACCTGGCCTGCTCATGTAAGTCTTGTGGTGGCTTCTTTATTGTTTAGTTTATTTACGGCTCATAGAAACAAATACAACAGAGTCCCCTTTTAGCTAATTAAATTGAGCAATTAGGGCTCAGTTTTTTAACATAATAAAGTTTGTAAAATCTCATTAAACAATTATTTTCTTTATTGTTTACTTTAGTTACGGCTCATAGAAACAAATACAACAGAGTCCCCTTTTAGCTAATTAAATTGAGCAATTAGGGCTCAGTTTTTTAACATAATAAAGTTTGTAAAATCTCATTAAACAATTATTTTCTTTATTGTTTACTTTAGTTACGGCTCATACAAACAAATACAACAAAGTCCCTTTTTAGCTAATTAAAGTGAGCAATTAGGGCTCAGATTTTAACATAATAAAGTTTGTAAGACCTCATTAAACAATTATTTTTTAAATTATTTTTTTGCAGACGCAATGGAAACTGGCAACAGTTAAAAGGTCGTTAATACGGGCAGTTGTAATTTAGTGAAATAAAACGAAATTTAAACGATGAATAATTTTGTTTTGATTGATTTATTAGTCTTCGGAAGTGACTCAATTACTACCTTTATTGATTGCTTATTAAATAAAAATACACGTTTCATTCAAACCAGATATTAAAGTATTTGTTAATTAGTCATTAAAATAAAAGGTGATTTCTTTAAATAACCTAGGTTTATCTGTAGAGTTACCCCATCAGTCTGGTGAGTTGTATTCACGATTGTCTTTATACCTGAGATCTTTAAATAACAAGCCGAGAAACATCTAGGTTTATCTGTAGAGTTACCCCATCAGTCTGGTGAGTTGTATTCACGATTGTCTTTATACCTGAGATCTTTAAATAACAAGCCGAGAAACATCTAGGTTTATCTGTAGAGTTACCCCATCAGTCTGGTGAGTTGTATTCACGATTGTCTTTATACCTGAGATCTTTAAATAACAAGCCGAGAAACATCTAGGTTTATCTGTAGAGTTACCCCATCAGTCTGGTGAGTTGTATTCACGATTGTCTTTATACCTGAGATCTTTAAATAACAAGCCGAGAAACATCTAGGTTTATCTGTAGAGTTACCCCATCAGTCTGGTGAGTTGTATTCACGATTGTCTTTATACCTGAGATCTTTAAATAACAAGCCGAGAAACATCTAGGTTTATCTGTAGAGTTAACCCATCAGTCTGGCGAGTTGTATTCACGATTGTCTTTATACCTGAGATCTTTAAATAACAAGCCGAGAAACATCTAGGTTTATCTGTAGAGTTACCCCATCAGTCTGGTGAGTTGTATTCACGATTGTCTTTATACCTAAGATCTTTAAATAACAAGCCGAGAAACATCTAGGTTTATCTGTAGAGTTACCCCATCAGTCTGGTGAGTTGTATTCACGATTGTCTTTATACCTGAGATCTTTAAATAACAAGCCGAGAAACATCTAGGTTTATCTGTAGAGTTACCCCATCAGTCTGGTGAGTTGTATTCACGATTGTCTTTATACCTGAGATCTTTAAATAACAAGCCGAGAAACATCTAGGTTTATCTGTAGAGTTACCCCATCAGTCTGGTGAGTTGTATTCACGATTGTCTTTATACCTGAGATCTTTAAATAACAAGCCGAGAAACATCTAGGTTTATCTGTAGAGATAGCCTTTCAGTCTGGTGAGTTGTATTCACGATTGTTTTTATACCTAAGAACCGATCACAGACTCTATGAAGGGGAATATAACTGTCATTTAAAGTTATTGATAGTCACATACGTGCAGTTATGTTGTGTCGTCTGAGTTAAATTTAATTAGAATAATGATACTAATTGTTTAAAACAAGTAATTAAAAAAAGTCTAGTGACAATTTTAGCGCAATTTCCTTGTGTTATCTAAAAATAGCTCTGTCGTAGCGTAAATCAAGAGCAGGGTTAGTAAAACCATTGGTTAGTTATTAAAACGTTTTTTATTAATTTTTTTTTCAGTATTTTACATGTTTTATTTACAATAGAGTAACATGACTAAAAACCATTGCGCGCCCAGCTACCGAACGTGACGTCGCAGCCATTGAACGTGATGGCGCAGCTATTGAACGTGATGACGCGTGTGGTGTGGTTGCATAAAATGCCTACTAATTCGGTCCAAATTTTAATTAATTAAAAAAAAATTTTGTGACCAAACGAAAGGATATTTTTGAAAACTTTCTTCGGCAATATTGTTCTAAATTATGGCAGTAATCGATTGGTACATGTTTCAAGTCGCTTAGTGGTCTGGTTGCCGAGATATGGGCCAAAAACTGCATTTTTTCGAGGTTTTTTGGCTTTTCCGGGAAATCCATGAAAGAAACCCGGAATTTTTATGGCCTATGTTCATCCTCGTAACTTGCTTAACATAATTGTTTTTGGAACTAGTCCTCGATATTGCTTCGTTGAGGAGGAGATACGACTTAAAGCTGCGGACACACATCCATCCATCCATTCATCCATCCATCCATTCCCAGAAAAGACGAGTTAATAAACGCAATTCTCCATAATGGAAATTGCGCTAAAAATTACATATCGACTTTATGCTGCATCTTTACATCATCTACATATTAAAATTGTGTAAAACAACTTTGAAATGCATTGAAAATAGGGGGAAAAAAATCCCTTATGTAAAAGCGTTGGACGTTATTAAATTATTTTTTTTTACTTTTTTTTAGCGACCATCGTTTTTACTTAAGAGAGAAATTTTGCTTTATTTTCTTTTTTTCAGTGCATGTAGTATTAGAAAGTTTTTTTTAAAAAATAGGCCTACTTGTTTTATCTTCAATCTGGTTGGATTTAAATGTCAAGATTACTTTATTCAATAACAGAAGGGAGGTGGGGTGAGGGAGAGAGCGGGTACCGGATGAAGCCCTAGTACAGGTGAACTGTGTTCAAGGATGTTTTCTCACCTGATTATTAAGGGCAGATTACTGTAGTCTAGAGTTAGGACCACAAGTTATTGAACTTGTTTCAAAGCAAATATTTTCCATCGCTAAATACGAGTAGAATGAAAAAATAAATATTTCCTTTTGCTACAAATGAGATGATAAAGCTAATTTTATAAAGCTTATAATAACAGGCTTCTAAGTACACAAAAATAAAACTAAAACAAATGTGTTTACTTTAGTAAAAGCGTTGGTCGTTCAAGAAATTTGTTAGAAAATTTAGGGACGAATTCTTTTAGTAAAGAAAGAAATACTTTTCTTAGTGCTAGTAACTATATAAGTTTTTCGTATTTGATTTATTGTTTGACATTTTATTGGAACGCTATTCATCTGCTACGTTGTGGAAAATCAGAATTCAAATCTAAAATTAAGGAACTGTAACTGCGGTCGTATGTTTTAGTAAAATATTTAACAGTTATCTGTCCTGATTAGCACATTTGGTTCAGTTCACTGCTAACCTGCCACGACAAGACAAAAGCTATTGTATTGTATTTTTTTTTTTTTCGTTGGTGTGAGACAAGTCATGTTGCGAACATCATGTCGTGTCGACATAGAAAAGTATATGCAATGTTAAAACATATGTTTGAACTATGTTTTCTTCATGGTTATGTCTTCTTTATTTTAGCCGTATATTTTCCTTCTGATTTACTTTCGCTTACATTATTCTTATCTTGTAACCCTCCTGAGTTTCTTCCAGGCATCTCATCGGGGGGGGGGGGGGCGAAGACCCCCCCACTCCCGAAAAAATTCTACCGCCCCCGAACGAAATGAAATTTATATAATTTATATAGAAAATATATACTTTTAACAATGTCCGCCCCCCCCCCCCAAAGAAAGTCAGTCTACCCCCCCCCCCCCCCCCCCCCCCCGAAAATTTCAAGCGCCCCCCCCCCCGGAGAAAAAAGTCTGGAAGAAAAACTGTAACCCTCATGTTTTTCTTATGTCCTTATGGTTTTCCTATTGTTTCCTTATGATTTCTGTATACGTTATTACATTACCCTCATGTTTTTCGTTCTCCTTATTGCTTCCTTATGATTTCCTCATGGTTTCTTTATATTTTATTACATTACCCTCATGTTTTTCGTTCTCCTTATTGTTTCCTTATTTCCTTATTGTTTTCTTATGATTTTCTAATAGCTTCCTTATGATTTCTTTGTACGTTATTCTATTACCCTCATGTTTTTCTTGTTCGCCTTATTGTTTCCTTATGATTTCCTTATTGTTTCCTCATGATTTCCTTATAATTTCCTTATATTTTATTCTATTACCCTCGTGTTTCCCTTATGATTTCCTTATATTTTATTTTATTACCCTCATGTTTTTCGTGTTTTCCTTATGATTTCCTTATTGTTTCTTTATGATTTCCTTATATTTTATTCTATTACCCTCGTGTTTCCCTTATGATTTCCTTATGATTTCCTTATATTTTATTCTATTACCCTCATGTTTTTCGTGTTTCCCTTATGATTTCCTTATTGTTTCCTTATGATTTCCTTATATTTTATTCTGTTACCCTCATGTTTTTCGTGTTTCCCTTATGATTTCCTTATTGTTTCCTTATGATTTCCTTATATTTTATTCTATTACCCTCATGTTTTTCGTGTTTCCCTTATGATTTCCTTATGATTTCCTTATGATTTCCTTATAATTTCCTTACGATTTCCTTATATTTTATTCTATCACCCTCGTGTTTTCAACACAACATAACCCCCGTCGTCAGCCAACCTGTTTTGCTAAAAGAAATAATCAGAGCGTTGCCTTAAAAACAATCTAGAGTGTATCTTTTGAAATAAGCTCGGCATTTTCAACTACAAGGTGAACCTACATCAATGACAGACAGGTGAGGTTGTCAAAATACCTACCTGGTTCTTGCCATAACACTTGAAGTGTAGGGTGGGTATGGATGTGCTATTGTACCTAGGGTACATAGAGTAGACTACAATGTTCTAGGCTAGCTTTATCTATACTAGATGTATATATATATATATATATATATATATATATATATATATATATATATATATATATATATATATATATATATATATATAATGGCATTTCCTATATTGCTTTTAGTGACCTGAACGAATGCTTCAAATGTAATAGCTAAGTTATGTTGGTTTTTTAGTATTTTAAAATCAAACTTAATTGACCCTGTTGAAAGAAATTGTACCAACTACAAGTAACTAGTTATACACCGTATTACTTGATCTTATTGATACAGTCACTTCTGATTTAATATTTTATAAGTCATGACAGCAAGAGACTTGACCTAGGCGACACAAATGACTGCAAGACATTATAGTTGGGTGTCACAAATGACTGCAAGACACTTGACTTGTGCGCCACAAATGACTTGGGCGCCACAAATGACAATCATAAAAATTCCAAATCTCCACAAGCCCATGATAGAAAGGGAGGTAATCTCTGCTCCCATTGACGGCAAGCACGAACTCTTCTTAGAGTTAGCTTTCTTGATGAGATGATAAAAATGTCCTTTGCTTTCAGTTTCCATTTCTTGTGATTTAGATTGTGGATTTTTTCTATGTCGCAGATGTGTCAACACTTGCCGGTTGTGTGTATTCGTAGGGGAGGTCAACATGGGTCAAAAGTCAACGGAAGAAACTTGATTATTTTATAGATTTTTTAAATGAAATTGAAGTAGAGACGGCTATTCTACCGGATACAGTGGGGGAATGTAGTTTCTAGACCCGGGATAATCCTAGTTAATCTAGAATAGATTTACCTGATATATGACACCTAACAGATTCAGAACCGCACCTTTTACATTATTTGTGTGTGTGGTATAGTTGTAATTTTGAGATAGCGCGGTGAAATCGTTTTTCAGTTCTTTTAAAACTTGTTTTAAGTGGTTCGTAAAATCTTTTTAACATATTGTATTTAAATAAAGAAGAACTTCTTAATTTCAGTAGTTGAAGAAACGACTCTGATGGGTACCTGACCCACGATTGGGAAAGTAAAGGCGGCTTGGCATAGTGCTGATCTCACTATCCCTTCATATGCCGAGGTCCAGAAACAGTAACTTATCCTTCGTCTGACCCACGGACACTCAGGTCCAAAAGGCTAACTCACTTTTTAGTCGAATTAAGTAACCGTTAATTTATTTAACGCCAAACTTTTGGCCATTTAACGAACGGTAAATTGTGCGTGTACAAGCAATCCTAGCCTATAACGATAAATAAGTGGTTCTTAACCTTTTTGGAGATACCGAACCCCACACGTTTCTGATGCGCATTCACCAAACCCTTCTTAATAGTTCTATCATTCGCACTGACAAAATCTGATCGTGAATCAAATGAGTCGGGTGTGTGTCTTGATCTCCGCCGAACCCCTGAGACTGACTCACCAAGCCCCTGGGGTTCGATCAAACCCAACACAACACAATGTGTTGGAGGCGTGGTCGAGTCGGCAAAAAGCTCATGGTTGATACATTCGAATAGTCTCGAGTTCAAACCCACTGGCAGATAAATCTCGATCCCCTTCGACACTAATAATTAAGAACGAAGAAGAAGAAGAAGATCAAACCCAAGTCAAGAACCACTGCGATAAATCATTGATTGAGGGCGAACCCACACCAATAGTTCTAAAATACATATTGGCTAAAATCGCCTATAACATTTATTTCAAGACAGAAGTCAGGTATACTACAGGAATACGAGGTCGTGAAAAGCGAACATCATATTTACAAAGGCTCGTAGTCTATTTGTTTAGTGGTGCCGAGGTATCCCGTGGACGGGGGTATTGTAGCTGGCACGTACGGGAACTTTGGTGTGAGGAACTGGTGTTGTTCCTTCTGGGGGTCAGGGGGGAACTGGGTGGCGTGACCTGCTTCATGGGTCAGTGATTTTCTCATCGGTGGATGATTCAGGTACGTTATTCTTTGTATAAGTGTATAAGTCCGCGTGTTTGTTTGTTTAGTTGCGCGGGTGCGTGTATGTGTGTGTGTGTGTTGGCGTGTGTGAACTTGTGTGCGTATACCAATATACATGTGTATTGTATACTTTGGCACACATATTTGAAACGGCTATAAAAAAAGAGAGTTCAAAAACTTTAATTACGTGCTTTTTGGAAACAAATATAAAAATAAAGATAAATCCTTATATTAGTCATTAAGACGTTCCGCCTCACTATATATATATATATATATATATATATATATATATATATATATATATATATATATATATATATATATATATATATATATATATATATATATATATATATATATATATATATATATATATATATATATATATATATATATATATATATATATATATATATATATATATATATATATATATATATATATATATATATATATATATATATATATATGTAAGAACAGAGGATACAAAGCCAACCATTCAAGAGCGCAAGAATGTTTTCTGTAACCACAACGGGCTTAGCACTTAGCTTTTAGAATTAACATAGAGTTGTTGTATCTGAGGTAAAGATTGAAAGTTGATACACGTCTATTTAAATATTTTTTTGTCGTGCTTTCAAAACCAATGACACCTGACAGAATTGTCGCACCTTAAGACACCTAACAGAATAGTCGCACCTGTTCAAAATGTCGCACTTAAAGACACTTGTTAATTTGAGACACCACTTCAAAATGTCACACCTCAAGGCACCTGTGCACAATGTCGCACTTAAAGACACATGTTCAAAATGTCAAAAAGACACCTGCCCGAAAATATTTTACCTATAGATTAAACACCTGCCACAAGTGTACCTAAATAAGCACCTGTCTACCATCTTAAGAAGTTTTACCAGACACAGAAGATGGAGATGGCTGGCTCGTGTGCTACGAATGAGACCAGACCCATTGACTGGTCTCAGATGGACACCACAGGACAAGAGAAAACAAGGACGGCCAAAAGAAACATGAAGAAGATCAACGGAGAAAGTGTTGAAGGAAAAAAGCCTAACATCTCAACAGGCAGAGGTTCTAGCTAGAGAAAGGACGAAAAGGTGTTCAATTGTTTATGCATCATGCGCCAATGGTCGTTGCGAAAAATGAAGATGACACCTCATTTAGATAAAACTGTTTCACTATTGTGACATATCTAGTATGAGTTTGGTCATACTATTGAAACCCTTAGACCATATTTCTCTGTTAGCTCTAATAACATATATTATGCTAATACAAATCTAATACACAATTTTATTTCAACGTCAGCTCGTAACAGTATTTTGTTGATATAGATGAATAAATATAATATGTATTAATAAATATAACTGCAGTTTGTTTTAAAATAAATAAGTAACATCTTGAAATAAGCACTCTTTATAATTGTAATATATACAGGTATACCTGCGCATAGTTGAAGTTGTGTACAACTAAATTTGATCTGTTAGCTTCAGAAAACATGCGTACAGATGTGTAGTAATGTACACAATTAGAAATAGCGGCCCGTATTGTAGATGAAATAGATTTCATATGTTACTATGACTCGGACCTTAGAATGGATATTGTGATCTCCATTACAATCAGTTGATATTACTTTCCCCGACTTCAGTCGAGCACGTTCAGATAAGCTTGGAAACGAACTCTAGGTATTAAGATTAGGTATCAATAGCTCTATCACAGGACCACACACCTCAACCAAACAGCTTATACTTATACAAAATCGAGGTAGTAAATTAAATCCATAATCGTTTTACCATTGAACAAACGCGCGAAGTTCTGTTTACATTTTTAACTCAACTAACATCAGTAAAACAATTCTTATACACAATATGAATCGCTTGTAGATCTATATCCTCTTTCTCATTATAGCTTGTTTTGTTTCAAAAAGTTTTACAAAGTACAAAAACAATGTAAACATAGAGTGCATCAGACTCGTTCGTGCATGACAAGGGAATCCAGACGTATTCATACATCAACCACTGCGCCATCCTGTCTCCCTGGAACTACTAGACCTCACTTTCACGTGCGTTCTTACACGGTTGTCGGTTGTCATGGATACCATTCATAAACATCCAACTCCACATATAGTCCTGGCAGATATGTGTCTTCATTTGTCTCTTGATGATTTACTTCCCGCAGGAAGTGTTTGTTAGGATACCAGGTGAGGATGTCTAAACCATAACTGGGTCAACCAATCGTTTAACATCTCCAGTCTTCACTTGAAACACGGAAGTTGTATTTTTTTTTTCATGATTTAACTCTTTTGTCTAAATTGTTGTCTTTGTGTGTAAATGCTGAGAATAGTATAGTTAGCACCACTTGAGAAACTCCGTGACAGTTTGGTGAAACCACAAATTACCAATGTTGTTACAATCAGTATAAACAAAGTCTTATTTATAACCGTTGCTGTGTATTGGCACAAATCAATTAGAACTCACAAATAGAAAAATAATAATTAGTTTCATGTTTGGCAGATTTCAGAGATCTGATTTCTTCTGAAGTGTGTTCCGTTATTGAGCAGACGATTGGAATGGAGCAATAAACGTCGCGTTATTTTGGATGAGGCTTGGGGTATGTTACTTGAACTCGAGGCAAGCCGTAGTATATGAACTGGTCCTGATGCAGGTTCCCTTGGCCGTAGTTGGCCATCGTGTTGACCACGGGCGGGTTCTCTTGGTCCAGTTTGATGAACCTCCTCAAAGGAGGGGCGACGATCGCGCGCCCGTAAACGCCCGGCGAGTTGGCGTCCAGCTGAAACGACGCCTCCGACCCTTTCTCGGACTTGATGCGCTCCAGTTTCCGGACCTCGTCGACGATGCGACCGTTGACCGCCGTCCGCCACATCGTCCACATGTGTCTGTCTTTCAGGGGGTCAAAGGACGTCCTCAGATCCGAGCCTTGTTCAGGGTTGGTTGGATGTCTGCTTTCTGGATGTCTGTTTTCCTGATGTCTGTTTTCCTGATGTCTGTTTTCCTGATGTCTGTTTTCCTGTCTGTTTTCCTGATGTCTGTGTTCTGGATGTCTGTGCTCTAGGCGCTGGATCTCCTGTGAAGCTGGCACCCCGTTATGCTGGTGGACGTTAAGACTCAGGTAACGCTGAATGTATTTATGGTCAGATGTTGTCTGGGGTTCGGACACCATCCCGTTAGGTAAGTAGGTCACATGCGGGTCATCTTTGTTTGACGTTTTCTGTGCGGGAATCACGCGGACGTTGTGGAGGTCGTTCTCATACAGCTGATCCACCGCGGCTGCGTGCTTGCCTTCGCGGACAATGTTCTTCTCCTTCAGATGGTATTTTTCTATGGCTTTTAAGTTCTGCTGCTCTTTGTGGCTGTAGATCTCCACGTTGTTGGGCGGTTGAGGGCTGTGACGTGACGGGGGTTTGGCCGGGTAGATTTGATCGCTGGCCACCCGCGTGTGGCGAGACTGGTGCGGGGCCATCTGGTTGTGGCCAGAGCTGGGCCGGCCGTTTGGCTTGGCCCCCTGGGTCTGCTGGGCGTGGTGGCCGTTGAGTTGTGAGTTGTGGCGGGTGTGTCCGTTGTACACGTGAGTTAGGTCGTTAGCAGTTTCTCTGTACACGCTGGGTCGCTGCTCTCTCTCGTAGCCTTTCCCAGGTGGCGCCATGTTAGTTTACCTCAGGGCACCTGTTAGTTTACTTCAGTTCACCTGTTACAGCTCACCTCTAATAGTTGACTTCTAGCAGTACACCTGAACAAAAAAAGAGTTTTAGTTTTTGTGAATAGACATTATAGGACTATTTTTAGAAATATTCATTTGCTTAGGTGTCTTTAACTAAAAGCTTATCACTAAATTGGGTCTACAGTTTGGTACATGCTTTGGTTAAAAATTAGGGTAAGGTCTATAGGTCGACATGTGGTAACAGTCATGTAATTAGATAAAACAGGGATGGGAAGATACTCTGGATCAAGATAAATCTTTAAGAACATTGTATAAGCCTTTGACAAATTCCTCTTGTTTATGCAGTGTAAATTTGGTAGGCTTACATAGTTAGAAACAAGACAAGTAGATCCATTGCGACTTATATTTGTTGCCTTTGGACCAAGCAAGAAATCTTAGAGGAGACAATTTTATCATTCAAAAGAAAAACGTAAAATAAAAACAACAACCCCACAGTAAGTAGCATTAGTCTCGATGCATTCCTTTTGTTGACCAAAACTTGACTCACACAATGAGTTACATTGATTTTTTCAGATCAAAATATTCACCAACACCTATTGTATAATGTGACTTTCTACCCGTCCACTGTTATTGCCTTTACGATGTACGAAATCAGAGGCGTAGCGACTTCCCGGCGCTCGGGGACAAACTTTCAATTTGTCGCCCCCTCGGGGGCAAATTTTCGATTTCCACCCCCCCCCCTCAAATTTTCGTTTTGCACCCCCTCCCCCTCAAACTATAAAAATGCAGCTAAAATGACATTTTAATTTGTTTTTACAACCCATTTTGGCGCCCCCTAAGGTCGGCGCCCGGGGACATATGTACCCCCCTGGCCCCCCCCCATCGCTACGCCTCTGTACGAAATGGCAATACAACAACACAATCAACTTGAACGCATACATTCAGCACGAAGTTAAGTAACTACAAACACGGCACAATGGGACAAAAAAATTTGATTTTCTCCTGCTTGGCTAGTAAAAATCCCGCTCTTTTTATTATGTGTCCCTGTGTTGACATTGTATGCATACATCACTAACACCAATACATCTGCCCCAAATGTATGTGTACCCTATGTTGACATTGTATACATACATCACTAACACCAATACATCTGCCCCCAATGTATGTGTACCCTGTGTTGACATTGTATAAAAACATCTGTAACACCATATATCTGCCCCAAATGTATGTGTACCCTGTGTTGACATTGTATACATACATCACAAACACCATACATCTGCCCCAAATGTATGTGTACCCTATGTTGACATTGTATACATACATCACTAACACCAATACATCTGCCCCCAATGTATGTGTACCCTATGTTGACATTGTATACATACATCACTAACACCAATACATCTGCCCCCAATGTATGAGTACCCTGTGTTGACATTGTATACATACATCACTAACACCAATACATCTGCCCCCAATGTATGTGTACCCTATGTTGACATTGTATACATACATCACTAACACCAATACATCTGCCCCCAATGTATGTGTACCCTATGTTGACATTGTATACATACATCACTAACACCAATACATCTGCCCCCAATGTATGTGTACCCTGTGTTGACATTGTATACATACATCACTAACACCAATACATCTGCCCCCAATGTATGTGTACCCTATGTTGACATTGTATACATACATCACTAACACCAATACATCTGCCCCCAATGTATGTGTACCCTATGTTGACATTGTATACATACATCACTAACACCAATACATCTGCCCCCAATGTATGTGTACCCTATGTTGACATTGTATACATACATCACTAACACCAATACATCTGCCCCCAATGTATGAGTACCCTGTGTTGACATTGTATACATACATCACTAACACCAATACATCTGCCCCCAATGTATGTGTACCCTATGTTGACATTGTATACATACATCACTAACACCAATACATCTGCCCCCAATGTATGTGTACCCTATGTTGACATTGTATACATACATCACTAACACCAATACATCTGCCCCCAATGTATGAGTACCCTGTGTTGACATTGTATACATACATCACTAACACCAATACATCTGCCCCCAATGTATGAGTACCCTGTGTTGACATTGTATACATACATCACTAACACCAATACATCTGCCCCCAATGTATGAGTACCCTGTGTTGACATTGTATACATACATCACTAACACCAATACATCTGCCCCCAATGTATGTGTACCCTATGTTGACATTGTATACATACATCACTAACACCAATACATCTGCCCCCAATGTATGAGTACCCTGTGTTGACATTGTATACATACATCACTAACACCAATACATCTGCCCCCAATGTATGTGTACCCTATGTTGACATTGTATACATACATCACTAACACCAATACATCTGCCCCCAATGTATGTGTACCCTGTGTTGACATTGTATACATACATCACTAACACCAATACATCTGCCCCCAATGTATGTGTACCCTATGTTGACATTGTATACATACATCACTAACACCAATACATCTGCCCCCAATGTATGTGTACCCTATGTTGACATTGTATGCATACATCACTAACACCAATACATCTGCCCCAAATGTATGTGTTCCCTGTGTTGACATTGTATACATACATCACTAACACCAATACATCTGCCCCCAAGCCTAGGCTGCTCAAAGACATTGGCGCGTCTTTCCCCTCCGACTAGCAATGGCCCCATCCATCTCGCTACACCACTCTGCCACTGTCTGTTCGAGTCTTTTCAAACCGTTCGCCATCACTATTTATCAGGCTACTACCCGACCATGAAGTTCAAATAACAGAAAAAGAATATTTCAGCTTTTCTCAAAGATGATGACATCAGAATGTCATTCATGTCATTTCAAGTGTAAAATCCAACTGAATAGTTCATATTAAAAAAAAACCGGTTTAGCGTAAGTTAGAGCTTAGCCTGTGTTTGGTAAAGAAAAGATCTACTGACGCCGTTTGTTCTATGCAAGTCTTCAGTCTGGTGGTAGAAACGGTTAGAGAACACGTTCATCCATTGTGCGGGATCCGATTCGAATTCAAAAACGCTTTTCAAATAAATTAGCGATGCTAAACGCATCGTGACACTACTTTGGGCCTAGAGTTTACAACGTTGTTACAAACAGAAGGAAAGTATTTTAAGAGTTTTTAAACTCCACGTACAAATGTAGTAATTTCTTGAATTTGGTTTTATTTATACGTCTAGTGCTAATTAAAATAATCAACGTTCATTGTAAGCAAATAATTTTAACATACATTATTGTTTTTATTGGTATTGGTACATTTTTCTACATGATCTCATATAAATAATGATCTGTATTTGTGTGCGCATGGCGAATGTAAAAAACATCAACATCAGTTCTGATATATGATAGGAGAGTAATAATGTATACTGGTATACATTCTCACGTCTGTAACGTTACTAGCGGGTGTAACGTTTCTAGAGGGTGTAACGTTTCTAGCGGCTGTAACGTTTCTAGCGGGTGTAAAGTTTCTAGCGGCTGTAACGTTTTTATCGGCTGTAACGTTTCTAGCGTGTGTAACGTTTCTAGCGTGTGTAACGTTTCTAACGGCTGTAACGTTTCTAGCTGCTGTAACGTTTCTAGCGTGTGTAACGTTTCTAGCGTGTGTAACGTTTCTAGCGGCTGTAACGTTTCTAGCGGCTGTAACGTTTCTAGCGTGTGTAACGTTTTTAGCGGCTGTAACGTTTTTAGCGGCTGTAACGTTTCTAGCGGCTGTAACGTTTCTAGCGTGTGTAACTTTTCTAGCGGCTGTAACTTTTCTAGCGGCTGTAACGTTTCTAGCGGCTGTAACGTTTCTAGCGGCTGTAACGTTTCTAGCGTGTGTAACTTTTCTAGCGGCTGTAACGTTTCTAGCGGCTGTAACGTTTCTAGCGGCTGTAACGTTTCTAGCTGCTGTAACGTTTCTAGCGGCTGTAACGTTTCTAGCGTGTGTAACGTTTCTAGCGTCTGTAACGTTTCTAGCGGCTGTAACGTTTCTAGCGTGTGTAACGTTTCTAGCGGCTGTAACGTTTCTAGCGTGTGTAACTTTTCTAGCGGCTGTAACGTTTCTAGCGTCTGTAACGTTTCTAGCGGCTGTAACGTTTCTAGCGTGTGTAACGTTTCTAGCGTGTGTAACGTTTCTAGCGTGTGTAACGTTTCTAGCGGCTGTAACGTTTCTAGCGGCTGTAACGTTTCTAGCGGATGTAACGTTTCTAGCGGCTGTAACGTTTCTCACGGCTGTAACGTTTCTCACGGCTGTAACGTTTCTAGCGAGTGTAACGTTTCTAGCGTGTGTAACGTTTCTAGCGGCTGTAACGTTTCTAGCTGCTGTAACGTTTCTAGCGTGTGTAACGTTTCTAGCGTGTGTAACGTTTCTAGCGTGTGTAACGTTTCTAGCGGCTGTAACGTTTCTAGCGGCTGTAACGTTTCTAGCGTGTGTAACGTTTCTAGCGTGTGTAACGTTTCTAGCGTGTGTAACGTTTCTAGCGGCTGTAACGTTTCTAGCGGCTGTAACGTTTCTAGCTGCTGTAACGTTTCTAGCGGCTGTAACGTTTCTAGCGTGTGTAACGTTTCTAGCGGCTGTAACGTTTCTAGTGGCTGTAACGTTTCTAGCGGCTGTAACGTTTATGCTGGTGTAACGTTTCTAACGGCTGTAACGTTTCTAGCGTGTGTAACGTTTCTAGCGTGTGTAACGTTTCTAGCGTGTGTAACGTTTCTAGCGTGTGTAACGTTTCTAGCGGCTGTAACGTTTCTAGCGGCTGTAACGTTTCTAGCGTGTGTAACGTTTCTAGCGTGTGTAACGTATCTTGTGGCTGTAACGTTTCTAGCGGGTGTAACGTTTTTAGCGGCTGTAACGTTTCTAGCGGTTGTAACGTTTATGCTGGTGTAACGTTTCTAGCGGCTGTAACGTTTCTAGCGGCTGTAACGTTTCTAGCGTGTGTAACGTTTCTAGCGTGTGTAACGTTTCTAGCGGGTGTAACGTTTTTAGCGGCTGTAACGTTTCTAGCGGCTGTAACGTTTCTAGCGTGTGTAACGTTTCTAGCGTGTGTAACTTTTCTAGTGGCTGTAACGTTTCTAGCGAGTGTAACGTTTCTAGCGTGTGTAACGTTTCTAGCGTGTGTAACGTTTCTAGCGGCTGTAACGTTTCTAGCTGCTGTAACGTTTCTAGCGTGTGTAACGTTTCTAGCGTGTGTAACGTTTCTAGCGGCTGTAACGTTTGTAGCAGCTGTAACGTTTCTAGCGGCTGTAACGTTTCTAGCGTGTGTAACGTTTCTAGCGTGTGTAACGTATCTTGCGGCTGTAACCTTTCTAGCGGGTGTAACGTTTCTAGCGTGTGTAACGTTTCTAGCGGCTGTAACGTATCTAGCGTGTAACGTTTCTAGCGTGTGTAACGTTTCTAGCGTGTGTAACGTTTCTAGCGTGTGTAACGTTTCTAGCGGCTGTAACGTTTCTAGCGGCTGTAACGTTTCTAGCGGCTGTAACGTTTCTAGCGTGTGTAACGTTTCTAGCGGCTGTAACGTTTCTAGCGGCTGTAACGTTTCTAGCGGATGTAACGTTTCTAGCGGCTGTAACGTATCTAGCGTGTAACGTTTCTAGCGGATGTAACGTTTCTAGCGGCTGTAACGTTTCTCACGGCTGTAACGTTTCTCACGGCTGTAACGTTTCTAGCGTGTGTAACGTTTCTAGCGGCTGTAACGTTTCTAGCGGATGTAACGTTTCTAACGGCTGTAACGTTTCTAGCGTGTGTAACGTTTCTAGCGGCTGTAACGTTTCTAGCGGCTGTAACGTTTCTAGCGGCTGTAACGTTTCTAGCGGCTGTAACGTTTCTAGCGTGTGTAACGTATCTAGCGTGTAACGTTTCTAGCGGCTGTAACGTTTCTAGCGGCTGTAGCGTTTCTAGCGGCTGTAACGTTTCTAGCGGCTGTAACGTTTATGCTGGTGTAACGTTTCTAACGGCTGTAACGTTTCTAGCGTCTGTAACGTTTCTAGCGGCTGTAACGTTTCTAGCGGCTGTAACGTTTCTAGCGGCTGTAACGTTTCTAGCGTCTGTAACGTTTCTAGCGTCTGTAACGTTTCTAGCGGCTGTAACGTTTCTAGCGGCTGTAACGTTTCTAGCGTGTGTAACGTTTCTTGTAGCCTGTACGTAGTCTTGGGGTGCAAGTTATCAAGCGTGACCCAGGTCTACTGCGGGCTGTTTACCACCGTATCGCTGTGTTAAAGACGACTCCCCGCTGGGTAGAATATTGATAAATACGTTTATGCAAATTGCGTTTTTAGTTTAGGTTAAGGCTGTTGACATTAGATACGTGTTTTGTACCCTTTTTAAAATGGAATTCTTAAACAATTCTTTAAAAAACAATAATGATCCTACATGTAACATAAGTTATTGTAGCTGGCCAGTTGTCCAAATCGGACCCCACCGATGAAAGCGGTTCAGACAGGTCATTCTTGTGTCAAAATTCTGCAAATGTCCACATTGATATCAGTCCTGTGTCGTGATTCTCCAAATGTCCACAATAGTATCCTATCAGTTCTAGTCGTGATTCTCCAAATGTCCACAATTGTATCCTATCAGTCCTGTGTCGTGATTCTCCAAATGTCCGCAATTGTATCCTATCAATTCTGTGTCGACACGCCAGGTATAGCATAACAGAACTTCTTGTTATGTTACACAAACATAGCTTTCATGAACATAAACACAAAGCGGTGTGTTTATGTTCAAAGTTTGATAACGTAATATAGGAAGAAAAACAAACAATTCATACAAAAAGTTATCAACGCCTTAAATCTATATTAACTAGGGGCTTTGTCGCGGGTAGAAAGGAGACTTTAGAATTTAACAGTCATTGAAGGCACAGTATATCAGTGTAACAGTAACAAATTGACAACACATAGAATTCTCAATATGACAAAAGGAATTTGATGTACATGGTATTTCAAGAAAGACATTGTGTTTATAGAGAGGTCTGACGTAGCATAGATGACGAACTAGCTTTAGGGCAACAGAATATACATAGTGGCTTGGCTTACTTTAGACAAATAAGTCGAAGAATACAAATGTCAAATGTTACACAATCCAAGTTTTGAGACGACTTGTGTTCTTGTACTCTGTACATGTACACCTATCGTGTTTCTGACAACATGTTTGTGTACATTGACACCCAGCATGTTACCGACTAAAACGTTTTTGTGTACATGTACAGCCAGCATGTTCGTGACCATTAAGTTTGGAGTTTTATCGCTTGAACCACTTCACACAATATGCATTTAACGCATGCGCGATCTGTGTTAAATCCTTGCACATCCGCTAGCTCTTAAAAATTTAAATATCTTCTAGGACTGTTATATTGCGTCTGCTCTTTATGCCAACACACATAAACCTGGACCCACTGCTTGATAAAAATAGGGTGGGTGTTGCTGAATTGGTGGTGGTGTGGGGGGGGGGGGGGGAGAGGAGTTGGCGAGAGCTGGGAATATACCAAGACAGGTCATGGTATTGTTGCTACAAGATACAAGGACCTTAACTGTCATACATGATACAAGATACAATGAACTTATCAACTATAATACTAGATACAATTCCCTTATCAACTGTAATACATGATACAATATGCAAGGACCTTATCATCTGTTATACATGATACAAGATACGATGACCTTATCAACTGTTTACGTGTTCAGCCATGAGCATCAATGCATGGCAAACATATTTTATTCCCTCTTCAACAAGGAAAGGCATGAACCAACGTTAGGTTAACCGTCGGGAATCCCGTCTTAAGACCTGTGCAATCGAACACAAATAATATTCTATTTACTGAAACAAAGTGCAGTCGACAAATAATATTCTATTTACTGAAACAAAGTGCAGTATCACGCTGTTTTGTTGTCCCGACATGCTATGGCTTGAAATAGTATGTGCAACAGACGACTCTCGTGAAACTGGTTCTCAAAGAACAGGTGGTGCAATGGCGTGCAACTTTAGGTGCACCGAAAGACGCGGTTAGGTTACAGGACAAGAAAGAGAAGAAAAAAAAACATAGCCTGTCAGCTACGACAAGCGGAAATTAATATCCAAATCTTCGCAATTAGCTTTTCAATCTGGTTGGTAAAACGCGAAATATTAGTTCCACCTGCTGTGAAGATTGGCGTGTAAAAATGTGTAATGTGAATATTATTCAAAGAGGGTAGTTAGACTTTGCAAACCATAAATAAAAATTAAAATCATTCGTCTGAGTATAGCCTCACTTCCTCCTGTAAAGATAAGAATATTGAAACAAGTCGCATAAAATAAGATTATGTTCTTGTAAAATGTCTTTGAATAGATGGATGGGCGTGTCGGTTAAGGGGAGGGGGGGGGGGGGGGGGATTGCAGTGATGTATTAGTACAGACATAAGGTATGTCAACAGTCTTCAAGATAGCATAACCCTATGGAATGGGAACGAGGCTGGATGCATTACAAAATACTTGACAAATGAACAATGAAAGCTGGCTATGGAAGACTTACCAACCGAGTCAACCAAGACCTCTCTCAAGCCTTGCTGGGTAGCGGGTGTTGATAGAATGTTGATAATGTTGGTGCTATGTTGATCAAGTTGATAAAAGAAGCGTAGCAGTGTCTAATCCTAAGATTTGATATGCAATCCGATATGGTTTACACAATATTCAGAGAAAACTGTGTGAAATGTCTCGCATAGAAAACTGTGTGAAATGTCTCGCGTAGAAATCTATGTGAAATCCCGCGAGAACGAATCCATCTTAAAGTTTAGTTAAATTGAAGAATCACAACAGTTAAATCTGGAAATAAATAAAAATACAAAATAAGCATACATTAATTTTTATTTTGAAATGTTATGGTGTTAATAAGAGATAGTATGCGGGGGTAGTGTAAGGGTAGTCTGAGTGTTGTGTTGGGGGGGGGGGGGGGAGTGTGAAGTAGTTTGGGGGGAGTGTGGGGGTAGTGTTATGGCCGTGATGAGAGTAGTGTAGAGGTAGTGTGGGGATATAGTTTGGTGTAGTGGTGGGGGTAGTGGTGGGGGTAGTGTTCGGGTGTGTAGTGTTCGGGTGTGTAGTGTTCGGGTGTGTAGTTTTGCGGAGTGGCAGTGCTAAGAGAAAGGTTGAGAAGAAGTCTTGGGAAGTCATGGTGTGTGCTAGTGTTGCTAACTTAAACACAGATATATCCCTCACACAGATATTTATGATACACAAAGACTATGATTTTAATCCTTTGAGTACTTCTTATAACTTTATTTTAGGTGCTTCACAAAATCCATATCGTACCTCATGTGATAATCAGGATTATATAATCTTAATGAAACCAAGTTAGTTTGGCGAATCTCATGAGATAATCAGGATTATATAATCTTAATGAAACCAAGTAAGTTTGGCGAACCGCATGAGATAATCAGGATTATATAATCTTAATGAAAATAACTTACAAATAACTTACTTTTTAACCTACTTTTTTATCTCAACAGATGAATAATACTGCTACTGACACAAACTTAGTATACGTATAGTTTACATTTACTCGTCTAAACTAGACGCAAACATCGATTACTTGCCCCTGTGTTTATCCCCCATATCATAAACTTTCCCTATCATTAACGATTCGTTGCTAGGCTAGCTCTCTGCCCCTGAAATAAAATATAGTAGTTGCTTCCCCTTGTTTTATGTAGAATTTCCTTTCTTGAATTTTGACAATCTGTATTTTTAATCTTTAGTATAAGGAATACGTTATATATTATTCGCACAAATAAACACAATATTTACTTCCCTGGAATTACAACAGTGCAGGAATAATTCCACAAACTACGCACATAGTGGGAAAGCACTCTCAAGATAAAACAACTTTTACCTATTTGGTCTCGCGATATTATTTAGCCAACAGTGAAAAGATAAGCCTGTCATGCGCCATACACCGTACGAAGCACGTACCCACACTCTACGGGGGCTGAATGGGCCGCAGATTAAATAGCACACGATGGCAATAAAAAATGGCGGGTAGCTTCGATGAATGGAGATAGGCGTGTACGTATGTATGTCTGTTATTGTTGACGATTTCGCTCTCTCTATCTATCGTGGGATAATAACTGTGATCTCATGACGTGGCTTAGCATTGGGAGAAAATTTTATGGCAGCTGCTTTATATCAAAGGCTCTTACATACACACACTTACCTATATATAAATCGATATATATATAAATATATATATATATATATATATATATATATATATATATATATATATATATATATATGTGTGTATATATATGTGTGTATATATATGTATATATATATATATATATATATATATATATATATATATATATATATATATATATATATATATATATATATATATATATATATATATATATATATATATATATATATATATATATATATATATATATATATATAAGAAATGTTTTAAAACTTAATAACCTACTAACACAAAATAATATTTCTAGATAAAATACAAATTTTCTTATATTACATCGCATTTTCTGTCAGTTGGAGTGTAATGGAATACGTCTCTGTGTCTTGTATTTCCTAATATATATATATATATATATATATATATATATATATATATATATATATAGAGAGAGAGAGAGAGAGAGAGAGAGAGAGAGAGAGATAATATATCTAGCGATTCCGGTTTAGTTAAATACCATTTACTATTCTCATAAAACCAATCTCCCACGCCATCCACTTAAGTCTCGAGACCAACTTGTATATCCACGGAGAAATTGAGAGATTTATTGTAGTAGATTCGTGTACTACATTTATAAGTATACCGTTCAAGTGAAGTTAGCATTTGTTAACGACGACCCCTAGTGCATGTCGCACCACTTGTGTATGTCAGTTGGGTATGTTGTCAGTGGGCGTGTCTCAGTGTCTCGCGAAGACTGACGTCACTGGCATTTATCGGTTTGTGTCTATTTTAAGCGTTGGTTGATAACGTGACGTTGTTTCAGTAACGTAAGTAGCAGGGGAAGGAACGCATCAATGAGCTTTTGACGAGGGCTGTGTGGGTGAGGATTGGGATAGTCTTTGTAAGATAGTTATACTTTATGGCTCGCGCAGGGTTGGCCGTTAATTTCACGCCCCAATGGTTTCACAACACGTGGACACCCTCACGGTACCTGTCGCAAATCCTCAGCCCAACTATGATGCACGCAAGACTTAGACGCGGGATCTAAAAAAAAAATTGACCCCTTTTGATGTTTTTAAATACGAAAATGAAATCAATTCTACAACACTAAAATTTGACCCCCCCCCCTTCCCCCTAATGCTCCAATAAGAACCAGAACTTTGTTCAGCAAAACATCAGTTTCGTCATGTTAGTAAACAGTTTCGGTGTCTTTTATTAGCACTCGGTAAGCGGATTACATTTAGGTTCGTTAGATTTTAGCCAGATGCTAATCTCACCAACAATACAACATATTTTAGTCAGATGCTAATCTAACTATGAATACAACCAATTTTAGTCAGGTGCTAATCTAACTATTGATACAACCAATTTTAGTCAGATGCTAATCTAACTAAGAATACAACCAATTTTAGTCAGGTGCTAATCTAACTATGAATACAACCAATTTTAGTCAGGTGCTAATCTAACTATTGATACAACCAATTTTAGTCAGGTGCTAATCTCACAAATACAACAAACATGACACACAACAAGGAGAATAAAATAACTTTTTGTTAAAACATCGTGTGTGACACATACTGTGGGAATGTAAATCCGGAATGAAAAAAAAATAACTAGCTCTGGGTAAAATGTACGGGGTTTTCCTTACAAACTGGAAAGAATATTACGTCAAAGAGTGAGCAAAGTGGTGTGTGACTTACACACTAAATGGCAACGACCAAAAGGTAGACCAAGGCTCAGAAGGATGATGTGGAGACAGACTTACAGAAGGTTTGATTCCACACAAGGAAGAAGACAGACAGCAGACAAGTGAAGGAAAGTGGTGAAGTAGACCAAAGCCCTTCATGGGCTGTAGAGTCACAGGGATGGATGAATGCCAGCTGAATTCCGCTACAATACAGAGTTAAAGGCCATTACTTGTGTTACTATATTTAGCCTTTTTTAAAAATAAATAATGACAAGAAATATATTTTGCATTCAAGTTTAGAATTCTTAAATACATATTTCAAGCATGTTTTATCACTAAGCTAATATGAAAATAAAAAATTGTTAATATTTTTTTTTTTGAGACATTTTTAAACTTTTGAAGTGCCAACGTGGCTATTGAAAATTTTAAACTAACGGCTGCGGAAGAATTTGTTCCTCGTGACAGATTGAATAATTAAAGTTCAGCGTTAGAGAAGAAATATAGGTGTGTTTTCTTTTGAAGTGAAGTCTGAAGGCGGAACACCACGGGGTGGAGGTATCAAGTTAATGAACCATGGGGTCTAAACACAGCCAATGAGCCAGGTAGGATATTAAATCCTGTTCATGGGGTCTAAACACAGCCAATGAGCCAGGTAGGATATTAAATCCTGTTCATGGGGTCTAAACACAGCCAATGAGCCAGGTAGGATATTAAATCCTGTTCATGGGGTCTAAACACAGCCAATGAGCCAGGTAGGATATTAAATCCTGTTCATGGGGTCTAAACACAGCCAATGAGCCAGGTAGGATATTAAATCCTGTTCATGGGGGCTAAACACAACCAATGAGCCAGGTAGGATATTAAATCCTGTTCATGGGGGCTAAACACAACCAATGAGCCAGGTAGGATATTAAATCCTGTTCATGGGGGCTAAACACAACCAATGAGCCAGGTAGGATATTAAATCCTGTTCATGGGGGCTAAACACAACCAATGAGCCAGGTAGGATATTAAATCCTGTTCATGGGGGCTAAACACAACCAATGAGCCAGGTAGGATATTAAATCCTGTTCATGGGGGCTAAACACAACCAATGAGCCAGGTAGGATATTAAATCCTGTTCATGGGGGCTAAACACAACCAATGAGCCAGGTAGGATATTAAATCCTGTTCATGGGGGCTAAACACAACCAATGAGCCAGGTAGGATATTAAATCCTGTTCGTAGATCCAAGTTAAAGAACCATGGGGGCTAAACACAACCAATGAGCCAGATAGGATATTAAATCCTGTTCGTAGATCGCCGGCCGTTTAAATCCTGGTTTTATGAGGATATTTCTCAACAAATTAACCATTAACATTAATGTCTTTGAACTAATACCATTATAAGGAGGTTTGTTTTGGTTGGTTTCAAAGATTTGTCCACAACCCAACAACAGTCGCTTTAACTCGCTTGGTAATATCATTTTTTTCTATATTACGCACCCAGGTGGCAAAATAATACCAAGTTCATTAAAATATGTGTTTTAGTTTATTATCTGAATTAGATAATTGCCTAGAGATGGGCATGTTTAAAATGTTGTTTGATTAAAAACAAACAAAAATCATAAGAAATTTATATATGCTTCAACATGATACAACTAAACGCAGCTTTGAGACCAGCTACATAGAGGTGTGGGATTAGGGTGGGAACCTCTTAACCAAGGTTTGCTGATCGGCGGTTGTACCATGGTGATGTCCAGCGATGACCACTTGAAGAGATGGAGCTGGGAGCTCATCAGCCAACTACAAGATGTTGGATGTGTTACTATCTACCGGCTCAAATAAACATCTTCATACAAACTCTGACTTAATCCATTTGACTACAACAGTATACTAATTTTATTCGTCAGTTTCAATGTGGAAATTAAATAAACACGATGACAAAATCACCAGATGAACATTGTGTATTACCCAGGACCGCACCCATCACGACCAAAGCCAAAGGTCTCTATCTTGGCGGATTAAACATACAAATAAAACCACCAAACAGAGTCGTCTATTCAATATCTGCCCTAAACACAACGTAAACATAGCTACCAATGATGGGAAGGTGTGTCGCTAGACGTACGGGTGTCAAACAGGTGTCTCCCCACCTGTATCTCTAGTCCAGTATGCTGGTTATGCATGAGTAATTGTATCTCGTTCTGCAATCCCCCCCCCCACCCTCACCCCTCTTCTCGAGGTAACCCAGATACACCACATCACGCTGAATGACGTTATTCCACTCTTTTCACATTCCTAAACTATCCTATTTACAGGAGCATTAGTTCCACCCATTCACATTCCCAAATGTGCAGTTAACTCTAATTCCTTCATTTCTAAACTGTCTATTTACATGTGCAGTGAACTCTAATTCTACCATTCCTAAACTGTCTATTTACATGTGCAGTGAACTCTAATTCTACCATTCCTAAACTGTCTATTTAAGGTGCAGTGAACTCTAATTGCTTGTACGGTCAGAGTAGGTGTAGACAAATATTTCGTTAAAGAAACTCCCATGCATATTTTTTTGCTCTGGATATCGATCACCTCGAATTACGTGACTGTCTTTAAAACCAGGTAAGCCGAAGCTTTTTTTTATAATGCATGCTCTTAACCCTTGGATAAACATTCTACTTAAGGCTGGGGCTTACGTAACACAAGTTCTGAAAGTTTTGCGAAGCTAAAAGGGGAGGGGTAGTGACAACTTAGGGATTTGACTCCTATCTGACCAACGTTCTGGATATATATTGGTTAAGCGGAATGTAAATATAAAAATATTTATAATAATGCACTAAAGATTAGAAAAAAAAGTATACATTGTTTTAGATACAGTAGTAAAGTAAAAAAAAAAAAATCTTTAACAAAAAAAAATATTTTCAATGTATCTTGCGTCTGAAGTTTGTATTTTTAATTATTATTGCCATAGAAAATATATGTTTAATTTATTATTTGTTCATTTATAAGCTTGTTATTATTCATGTTATTTTATATGTGTTCTACTTTATACTTTATAGTTCTAGATATTTTAAAGGTGTGAGTTTCGATGTGTGTGTTTGGGGGGGGGGGGGGGTTGCAACGACCTGCGTATGTCATTACAGGAAACTTTGACTGAAATAACAAGCTACGTACAGCTACGTACAACAGTTAGAATGACCAACAACCTTGATTTAAACGATAACCTATTACTGTAAGGATGTGAAAGTAACCTGCGTCTGTGTAACTGACCCCAGAATACATGTTTCAAATCTCGAGAAGGAAGATTCCTGATGTAACATGTATTTTACAATTTGTTGATGCGATGGATAGATCATACATGTTTACGCTTAGACCAATTAAGTATAGAAATAGTAAAACAACATACCAAAGGATAAGTCTATACCACAGATGTAAACAAACAGAAGTCCCGAACACTTTTAGTCTACTGCCATCCTTCTTAACAAGGGAGAGAAACCCTGTGACCCAAGACTGACTGAAATAACAACAAACGAATGACGCATGATGTGTGTGCTACACATACCGCACACGTCTATGTCGCAACTCTCCAAGTTGCTTGTCAACAGAAACACGAATGTTTAGTGGCCGTTAATCCCCCACCTCCTTACCTAATTTCTGAACCACTTAATCAGGTCTTTAATTGGCGGAGGCTTTGTCTTAACAGAGACTAATTAACCTTGTAAAAAGATTAGCGTTTTATTTAAATGAAGATTTTAACATTAAATTAAAAAAAAATGCTTTTAGCTGTCTTTTACCAATGAGTGCAGTTCAACTAGAGATAAGTTTTTCACATGAGTGAACTCTGGCTAGCTGATACACTGAGGTCAAGTAATCCATTCATATTCTGATAAAAATCAACCCTTGACTCCATTGGCTTGATTTTGTTCCATTGAACACTTTCGATTCTACAGACACCTAGCTCCCCCCCCCCCCCCCCCTTACGTTTATAAACTGCCTCTAGAAATGACCTTCACGTTTAATGCTAATCTTCCTCCCACACTCTGGGCGCGTCATGTAGCTTGTCTTAGAGCTGTTCCTTGTCCACCTTGACGTCAAACTGACCCGCCCCTCATCCCTCCTTATCATGGCATAACTTTCAGACTAAATTAATTTAATTCGCGTTTTAAGATAGCTTTATCGGATTAAAAACTAAGTTTTGAAACGATAACAGCAAGTCATAAGCAATGCTTTCGCCAGGTCTTGCTGAATTTTTGATCAATTACAAAAATCGTGTTGTATCTTGTTCATCTACTATCACAGGTAATATTTTCTGATATCGCCGGTATACATTTAAACATTTAACAAGCAGGAAGTTCAAAGTTTTCTGCATATCAGTGTATATGTGGATATTGATATAGAACCGTATGAATTTGTATACATTCAAATTATTTATGTAAATGTCGCAACCTTGTTTGTTCCACAGATAGAAGTTTGCGTGGATTTAACGGAATTATTTGCTTACTTTCCTTTAGATGTTTCTGCTCTAGTTTTCTGCACCCCCCCCCCCCCCCCCCACCCCCCGCCTCATTTTATGTGACTCATATAGTTGCAGATTTATGCTGACTGCTATAAAGATACAATATGTAAAGCTGATTAAATGGTTATGTTGTCTTATGACTTAAACCACTCAAGACTTGGAGACGAATCTCTACGATTTAGTACTAGAGTTCAGGATTTGTCTATTCTTCAACTAGTAGCAAAATTCAAATAGCTTCTGCCCTAGTGATCAATATGTACATGTCCGTGTAACCATCTGACTCCTATGATCAAGAACTAAGATCAAAATATCGGTAGACACTTGTACTCAAACATTATCAATACATATTTTACAGTATAGTTTTGGTTAAAGTTAACAACAACACACAATATCCTAACCCTAACCTAGATCAAACACTCCCCCGAAGCCATGCCCTGAAGCTAGTGGTAATCGGTGATTTCCGATAATCGAAGGTTGTCGCAGCTAATCGATAACGTCAAGCCTAGTTTTGACACCTGCAGTATAGGTTTGACATTCACTCGTTAAAAGGGTCACATTAAAAAGTAAACTTAGCTAATAAGGGAGGTAGCTTTATGAGGATACATGGCTGGGGGATAATGTTAAAATGGTCATGTTTAAAAAGTAAACTTATCTAATAAGGGATGTACCAGTATAAGGAGATATGACAGGGGTAAGGGGGAAGTAAGGAAACAAGATGGAAGTTGAGATGACTGGGGGGGGGGTTTACGATGAAGTAAGGAAACAAGATGGTAGTTGACCTAGAAATAGAGGTACAGTGGAAAGAAAAAAGTCGTAGAGGTATAGGAATCTTACCTTTAGTTAGGGCGACGACACCTAAGATTGTTCGACTGTTGACCTATTTCTGTCTTCGGTAAGTTTTACTGTGGGCAGACGATACAATAGCAGACGTCTGTGTCTTGCGCACTTCTGGCGGTCTGTCAAGTTTTAAAATAATACATTGTACGCCGCTATATGGTGTTATGTTTTTATATTAATTAATAACTAATTAATATGTTTTACAATTCGAATTTCCATATATATATATATATGTATATATATGTATATATATGTATATATATATATATATATATATATATATATATATATATATATATATATATATATATATATATATATATATATATATATATATATATATATATTCAAACTATGAAATACACATTTTCTTTGATAAGCTCAGTCCTTATTTCACATTTCTATGCATCGCTGTAACAATATTAGCCCGACCAACCCACACCTTAGCCTAAGGGTCAGGAGTGCCTAGCCACTCAATTGTCCTTTTGTTTACACAATTATATGCACCAGTAAAACACGTTGTGGGGAGCGATGCGACTGCTAGCCCGAAAGTTTCGAGTTCGGATCCCACGCTAGAGTGTGTAGGACGCCCTGGGTCCACCTGCTCTGATGGGTACCTGACTTACGTCAAGGAAGCTAAGGCGGCTGGGTATAGCGCTGACCACACCATCCCCAAATGTGCCGAGTTCATTGAAACAGATTAACTCTACTTTATCTGCCACATGTTTTTATTTTGTACGAACAGGTAAAAGATGATGGTAACACGTTAAACGCTGATTGACAAGTTTTTTTGTATGTTCAATAACATTTGTGTCGCTAGTGTTCTCTGGTACCATATGACGTCACCAATGCCATCCTAATCATTGAACTCAACCAACCAATGGAATCCTTCGTTACATGTTGGGTGTAGCTCATCTATGTCATACTATAATCGCAACGTCTTTACCGTTTGTTCTTAACTACTGACTACTATTGTACGCATAGTACTCTATATACCCTGACTACTAATCTACACTACTACTAGACCATGAAGCCTTGACTACAGTTCAGACTACTGTACACAGAAGAGTCACACAGCAGCACATTAACAGATAATCGTTACCGTGTTCATAATTACGCCATTAGAAGTCAAACTTACAAGCAAACACTTTTACTTCTCTAAACAATAACAACGCATCGCATTCAAACTCACACACGACTGAGAAAACGAAAGTTGATTGGCCTATATTTTTTCTACGCAAATATTATGAAAACCCGGCGACGCCAACTGCCGATACGGGACGTGCCAGCTCCCATTCACGGTACCCCCACACTGTCCTCCCCCTCCCCCCCCCCTAGCGATGTCAGTTAGGAAACATACATGTTTGGGGGTACGCCAAAGGCGGTTTGTCATTTCTGCCGGCGAATTCGCTTTATGCAAACAAGGTTTAGTTGGGCCAATGTTGTGATCGGCGAGTTCAAACTTTGGTGGTGGCTGGGTAGAAGATTAGACGGCAAGAAAAGTTTCTTGACTTAGTTTTGTAGGTACGGCTGCCGGGGTGGGGTGGGGTGGGTGTTGAAGGCGTTGTTCAGGGGGTGGGGTGTTGAGGGCGTTGTTTAGGGGGTGGTTTGTGTTTGGTTTGATAAACAGACACGCGATGGTCCCTACCAAAGTTACCGGGTGCTTTCTGAGATTATATTTAGGTTCCTTATCAGAAGAGAAGTGAACCTAAAAACTTGTGTGATATCACCTCAAGTGCTGTTGACGTTTTGTAAAGAGGTCTAGATAGACTGATATATGAAGGCATATGAAGGGACAGTGTGGTCAGCTCTATGCCCAGCCGATTTTACTTACCCTAACGTGAGTAAGGTACCCATCAGAGTTGGGTGGACTCAGGGACGGTCTAATGACTTGAACCAAGACTCGAACTCGAGACTTACGGGTTAGCAGTCCAGCTCTCTACCGCTAGTCCAATCCGTCCCTAATAATGGACGGTAGCATAGCTGTATTGGTTACTCGGAAGAAGATAATATCAAACTGTATCTTAAAGCCTCCAGTATTACATGTAGTCATAAGTACCAAATCGTTAGGGCAAGGTACATAATTGATTGATAGTTAGAGAATGTACCAAATTAACACACGCTCAACATTATACAAATCTACAACGCCCAGGTGTTCTGACTTGTATCTTGCCTGGATTGGAACCTGCAACTTCTTGTTCGCGTGCGTTTCACGTTATGGAATATGTATTTAGAAGCAGGCGATAATAAATATTACATCAGGAAGTAATCATGAAATTAAATGTCAATATAGGTGTTATATTGGGGGTAAGCTCCAGAAAAAAAACCGACTTCCATGTGGAAACAAGTAAACTCTATTTCACTTGCCCCGTAGACCGTCAGGTTTGAAAGGGAACTTTACTTTTACTTTAACGTCCTTTATTCTACAGCTATGCTATTGTTAATTTTTCTACAGCTATTTATTCTACAGCTATGCTAGTGTTCATTATACTACATGTATGCAAGTCTTCATTGTTCTACAGCTATGCTAGTGTTCATTATACTACAGCTATTCTACTGTAAATTATTCTGAAGCCATTAATACAATCATTGTAGTAGGAATTACAGTTAACTTCGTCATAGTAATGTTTCAACAGTACCGAATATTTAATAGAAAACGTCACATGATATATTACATGCCGGTTTTTCTTACAATAACATCCTCAATCAAAGCTCAAATAAAGGCTGCTTTTCGTTCTTTTCATGTTTACTATTTTAAACACATCTATGCAGTTTACATTACTCATTTATTTTGTCTAAAATGCGCCGTATATAAGGTTCACAAATAACATTGTTGGCAGTTTTTTTCTGAGTGATTCATGATGCGAAGTGCTCTTAAAAGCAGTGGGGCTGTGGGTGGAACTTAGGAATTTGCTTTGAACTCTGTATACCTGAGTGATCGGTATTGATTGTTTTCTCAGGTAAAAAATGAGACGTTATATGTCGCAGATACATCGAGACAGGGTGTGGTGGGTGTGGTTGTGGGTGTGTATCTGAGTGGGTGTGTATATCTGAATGTGTGTATGTCTGAGTGTGTGTGTATGTCCTGTCTGAGTCTGTGTGTATGTCATGTCTGAGTCTGTGTGTGTGTGTATCTGAGAGGGTGTGTATTTGAGTGTGTGTGTGTATGTCATGTCTGAGTGTGTGTATGTCTGGGTGCGTGTGTCTGTCTGAGTGTGTGCATGTCTGAGTGTGTGTGTATGTCTGAGGGTGTGTGTATCTGAGTGTGTGTCTGTCTGAGTGTGTGTGTATGTCTGAGTGTGTGTGTGTCTGAGTGTGTTTGTATGTGTATGTGTCTGTCTGAGTGTGTGTATATATTCATGCCTATCTTATTATGGAATTTATATATATATATATATATATATATATATATATATATATATATATATATATATATATATATATATATATATATATATATATATATATATATATATATATATATATATATATACTTGGAAGGAGGTTGTAATAAATATTTCTTAACAGGAAATGTAATTTCAGTATAGGTCTTATATTTCAAGCTAATTGTCATTAAATTGATTTTGTAAGGTTATGTATTTAGATAACATAACAAAGAGCTGATAATATACAGTGATAGCTTTAGTTTCCATTGGTTTAAACCGTTCGATCACCTAGCAGACGTACCGTCGCATATAGAGTACACATAACCCATGTGACATACAGTGCTTCACCCGGTACAAGCTACCAAAGAGACATACAGTAAAAGTAAAATTTCCTTTCGAACCTGTTAGTGCATGGGACAAGTGAAGTAGAGTTCAACTATTTTAGTGATCTCAGTTTATACGGCGATAGCATGGTGAGCACTAGGTTTAGCCGTCTTTACTTTCCCTATCGAAAATCAGCTACCCATCAGAAAGGTTTGGACTAAAGGACGTTCTACTGATCTGAACCCGGATTCGAACTGGAGACTTTCGGATTAGATGTCGAACGCTCTACTATTCGACCCTACCTTCTCACATACAACTAGTTTTACCTGTTTTAAACGAATCTAATAAACTGTCGTACGATTTATCTCACAAACTTAAAACAAAATCATTCGTTTCCAGCTGTTCAAAAAAATACTTCACATGTACAAAAACCTTTCACAGAATACATTCTCTTATGTCGACCACCGTGATAAAGACATGAAAGTAGAAGATTGAAGATGCTTGCCACGGATCTGTCTCACATGCCAACATTTCATTTACTTTTTCCTCAATCTGTTCCTATTATTTTGTTTACGTCGGATATTGATTTCTGGTGATTGAATGGCTTGAAGTAATGGATGGGTTGGTTGGGCTATATACATACACCTCTCTACTTAATTAAAAAAATGAATTGATTGACTAATTCTATGGTTTCAATAAGCAAGGAATCGGGATAAGAGCTTCTTGAACTCAATACATAACAATACATTATAGTACTTAGTCATTGTAAAGTTTGTTGAAAACATTTAATTCACAACTGAACATAATTCAAGTTTAGTGCGGGTCATTCAAAGCGTTCACATCTTAACAAAGCTGACTGGGGTGCTGATGTACTCCTAGAGCTGGGTAATTTAGCGGAGAGAGATGTCAACAATCTTTTAAAGTGCTGGTACCTCTTGAGGCCTGCTAGTTAATGGGGGTTATACAAAAACAAGATTCAACTAAGCGTGGAATTAGTTCCATTTGATTGGGAAAGTTTGGTAGGTCTAGTGAAAGTTTGCTTTGATTACATTTAGAGAGAAGCTGATGTATTGATGTATTTCACTCTTATGTAAGTGTGTGAGTTAGTTTCTTTTGTCATAGTTCAACAAAGTTATCGGATCATCAAAGACCCAGGCCATGACTTAACTTGACTTAGACCTAGCTACAAAATATCATCGAGTGTGCTTTGTCTTTTATCACAACAGATCCAAGTTTTGGTTGGGATGTATTTCTTTCGTTACTTAACTAGTTGTTTAAAAAAGATGAAGAGATGTCGCAAATGTTTTCATTTAAAAAGATTATCTCTAAAATTTATTATTAGAATTTTTTATTTGTGAAGAGCACGAAACAGAAAAACTAAGGTTTCTATTGACATAAAC